TTCTAACTCTAATAGGTACTTAGCTACTCATAATTAGTTAAACAAAATACTGTAGATATCTTAATTTGAATTTATTAGATACTTGATAAAATATGTTCTTCGATTAACAAATTTGAAAAATAACCTCACGAACATGAGACACAACTACAGAGATAAATATATACAATAACAATAATGAGTTAAAAATTTCAATTTTGAGACGAAAATATTAAGTTATTAAAATAGATTTTATGAGCTCTAATATAAATTTATATTGGTAATAATGTGATATTAGTGTTAGATTAAATTTAATATATGAAATAATGGACAAACATGGGATGAGGTGGGTATAAAAATAGCTAAAAGTGCACGGATTTTTATAAAAATAAAACTTAATTAATTTTTTAAGTGTTATTTTGTACAATATAAAATTTTATCTTAATACTATGTGATAACATTAAAAATGAAATTTATTTTTAATTAATAAATAATATTAACAACATTTAAAGAATAACATAAATTTTATCTTTTTATAATTTTACCAGGGCTAAATAGCAATGTTTGAAATCAGATTTGTTTGACGAGTAGTACGTGGGCACGCCAAGTAGCCCATTCTAGCCCTTTATTTTACAAAGACTTCGATGTTAGTATAGTCTTGTACCACTAAAATCTTTGAAGAGACTTTTGCAGGCCCATCTACCTTGACAACGAAAATTTTGATTCATCATCACTAATAACACTATTGTTTACATTGTTATCATCATCGAGTTCCATGCCATAATGCTCGAGAAAACAAAAGAATTGAGCCATGAAAAGATGAAGGATGAAGTAGGGATTTGATCCATGTTTTCTACAATCGACACTTAAAAAAACTTCACCGAAGAAGTTAACTTGCACATTCAGAATTTGTAACAATTGATAGCAATAATATAATGTATATATGTTAGGATTCTAAATTTATCTCTAAACTATCATCTTTCAGCGCACGACTTATTTTTTTTAAAGTAAATCTTTAAATGATAAATTCCTTTATGCAAAGAGTTGTGTAGGAATCTTATAATCACACGAAACCTTACGAATTTAGATCACCAATCAATTGGTTATTTAGCTATTGGTGAAAGAGATGAAGTAAGAAATAATGTGCAAGCTGATTCACTTGAAATTGTTTGTTTGCGATCTTTTATATGGTAATTTCCGCACCAAAAAGTATTATTGTTATGCAAAAATCTAAACCAAAGGACACCTTATATAACGACATTATTATATAGGCTTAGTGCCACTTGACATAAGAAAATCCCTAGAATGATTTTCTCAACAAACAATAATAGCTTAGGGACAGATAGCTAGCTGGATCTCCGGCAGAAAAGCTGAAGAGGGAAGGTGAATTCGGCCACCGATTGCAGAGTGTCATTTAGCCGAATACCACCATGCATGGTCCATGGCCCCTAAAAATTTAAGATTACCACTTGCATTTGGACACATGTACACTTCGTTTCCTGTTACGTTTAGACAAAGGCCTTACCATCAGTAACAGATATATAATCTTGTTTTGGCTTTAAGACTCGGGAGTAATTATTGACTCATACATAGATTCCTTCTTGTTCATATATTAAAATTATCTCTGTAAATCAGGCCCAGATTTATGTAAATTTATATGGTGAACTCGACATTAACAACAACTCTCAATCCATAATGATTAATGAGTGGGGCCAAAAATCAATGATAGCTTTGTTATTCACGTGACCTTAAATTCATGCAATTATATTAAGTAAATAGACTTTTAATAGATACTAAACTTGGCTTATCGGAAGCAAAAATATTCAACATGCAACCAGTTGTCCCTTCCATGTACATCTCAAGTCCACAACTTATCGACCATCGCCTGTGGGTTGATTCTTAATTAATTTGTTATTCTCTTTTTACCTTAATTAGGAGAAGGGTGTGTCCTCTTACATAAGTGTAACGGATAACAACAAGACTAATTAACATCTACAAGATTGCGAAAAAATTAACAACTATGATTTGTAAACATCGCAACAATGTAAATACTTATTTAACACCTCTAATCTCTTTTGATCTCTCTTTCTATCACTTCATATGATTTATTTTATCTATTACTTTTTTTTCTTTCTCTCACCCAACATAGAGTGTTTACAAAACATTTTCCAAAAATTAATCCTACCATTATTGGTTCTTAATTTTGACAAAAGGCAGTGATGATGGAAAAACAAGGCAAAAATGTGTGGGGACTGATCGCTAGCTGTGTCTGCCTTCTGTGATGGCATTTGATTGGATTTTTGGAAATAATAAGAACTTTGATCTCATGCATATCTGTGTACGATATGTAGTTTTGTATTCATACTCAGGTTGAGTGGTAGCATTCTACACCTTTTTCCTTGTCTCTTCTAAATAATAGTTTTGTTTTGTATTTGTAACATCACGTGAATGCCTTGCAGACACCTCTTCTATCCTTAACCCTTTCCTCCTTTTATAAGAACCCTATCACCGTGTTGTGATCAGCCCCTTTCAATTTTAGAGTCTTGTTACCACAGTACTGATCATCTTTGCCGAACAACCCAATCTCTCTCTGTCCGTCCATGACTCCTGTTACTCTTAACTCGAGGTCTTTCAATACAAGATCAAAGTCAACTCTACATTTCTCCTAATAATCACGAATCAACCTCTGTCTCATGTTACACCTTCTTTGACATAATTGATCAAAGGCAAACCAAAGATATCAGAGATTTAAGACACGATGATCAAGAGGCAAGTTCTTATATATTCCTTTTATTTTGATCAAGCTATACTTGTCTTTAACTATACTTTCTATTATGTGTTATATATCTTGATCTTTAGCAGGCTCAATTAGAAGAAATATATTTAATTCCTAATACCATTTCTTTTGTAAACTATGTGCATAGTAATCCTAGTTTAGAAGGAGGAAAAACTAATATATTCTTCACGTTGATGATGCACAGCTCTACTAGTGTGTGGCTTTAAATAGTAGGAGGAAAAACTAATCTTTTACATGCTGTTCTTCATTATAAAAGATAATTACGCGTCAAATTTATTCTTCACGTTGATAAATTACATATGTGCATCTAGAAAAATGAACGTTGTTCATGTCTCCAAAATATTGAAACAAAAAACTCTCTAGTCTGCATCATGCATCTAATATATAGCTGCACAGTTCAAGGAAAAGCGTAAGGCCAGTACTAAAAGAACAACACAGCCAGGGAAATTGAAGCTTGATTTCACTTTGCTATCAGTTTGAGGGCTAATTCTGCTTTGCAACAACTGTTTCCAATGGATGAAGTAGCTGAGGCTGCCCTGCGTTTGATGGAATTATCTTGTGACCTCGTTTACTTTTAAGTATAATATTTCTTCCTTAAATTTCCCCCAGGAGACATGTAACTCTTTAAGATTTAATATAAGCTTCGGGTTAACTTTTCGCTTCAAATTAAGTTGCACAAGGGAGATATTTAACTACAGTTGAAAAAAAATGAATTTAGTTGGGGATTATATATACTGAAAGAAAGAGTAATGATATATTTGTAATATTTTTGTGATTTATTTTTACGACATTGTTTATCTTATTTAATATATTGTTTCTTCTCTTTTTATCTCTCATCTAAATTATAAAATTTGTTATATAATTTTTGTATGAATAGCATTGTTCAAAAGTAAATGTCACTCAATTGATTTTATCTAATCCAATGAATTTAAGCTTTTGTATATCTAAACGCCCAAATAGATATTTAAACTTGATAGATATTGGTTAGCTACAAGAAACACCTTCCCTTTTACACTTACTAATATAACATGTTTCGTACGAGACCTATAAAAAAGGGAATGGCTTTAGTATTTCAATGAACTCACATTGTAATGGGTTACATAAGAGGACTCAAAGCAGCCCAATGTACTAATGGGTCAGACACAAAAGTCCCCTCTCGATCGTTGTCATCGACAACGCTCGGCCTTGGATCAACGTTGTAACTGCTGCATACATATTCTATGATCACACTACAAGTAATTAATACATAAAATTTAAAATTAGGTTCAATAAAGGATATCAAAAAGTAAATTATTAACATTATTTAATAACAATTTTATATAGTGTGATTACAGAGCGTTTAACTAATAAGCATAATATTTTTTTTCATTAAATAGAATTAGATGGTTATATCGACGGTTGTTGAGGAAATAAAACAAAAATGCAGGTCATTTTAGTTGAGAGCATACACTAGCTAAGATGACTTTCCGACAACAACAAAATAATATAATAATAATCGCTTGGATAGTCAATTTTACCGGTCATAAAATCTTATAATATATGAAATAATTGAGTAAATATTTGTTTTAACCCTTTAAATTATAAATACGATTATTTAATTATTGAAATTATAAAAAAATTATTTTAATCTTTAATTTTACTAAAAAATATTTGTATACAAAATAACAAGTATAATAATTTTTTAAAAATAAAATAAAAAATAAAGTAATCACTTTTTATATTTTAATGAATTAAAATAAATATTAACCAAAATGATAAATAAGACTCTGCCTGAATCAAAGATCTCACAATCCGATTGCGATGGTTCCCACGGTGTTGTAGGTTTGGTCTCTGAGTTTCACGCACCCCTCATTCGTATCCGAGGAAATCAAATCCATCGTTTTATTCACCACGTCGTTTTAGTTACTGCTAATTGTTTGTGCCAGCATTTGCAAGCAAACAAGTCATTGATTAGAATCACTTTCGAATCTTATTTTTCACAAGACAGAGAGACTCTGTCTCTGACATGACATCACATCCTTTTTGAATCTGTCCCTTTCCTTCTTAGGTGGGCGCGCACTCGCCAACCACCAAACACCTCCACCAGATCCCAAACCCTGCACTTTCTTTCTTCAATCTTTAACCATATTTATACACACCCACTACACAATTTCCAACTCACCCACTCAAATGGAATCATAGAGTCTAAAAAGAAAAACACTTCATCTCCATTTTTTAATTTGCATTCATGGAACGTGCTCGGAGGCTTGCCAACAGTGCCATTCTCAAGAGGCTAATTTGTGAGACCAAGCATTTCGGGAAGAACGATTTTCTCTTGATCCATTCGAGGTGCGTGTCATCGTCACTTTCTCACACTGCTTTCAGAGGCAACAACAACAACAACAACAGGAAGAACCTCTCACGCAATGTTGGGTTTCGATCCATTTCCGTTGAGGCGCTCAAACCCAGCGACACTTTCCCTCGGCGCCATAACTCTGCCACCCAACAAGAACAGAGCAAGATGGCTCAGACATGTGGGTTCCATGATCTTGACTCGCTCATCGATGCCACCGTGCCCAAATCGATTCGTCTGAAGGAGATGAAGTTCGGCACGTTCAACGAGGGGTTAACAGAGGGCGAAATGATCGAGCACATGAAGTGTTTGGCGTCGAAGAACACGTGTTTCAAGTCCTACATTGGAATGGGGTATTACAACACGCACGTGCCACCTGTGATCTTGAGGAACATCATGGAAAACCCAGCATGGTATACTCAGTACACTCCTTACCAGGCTGAGATATCTCAAGGGCGTCTTCAGTCATTGATGAATTATCAAACCATGATCACGGATCTCACTGCTCTACCAATGGCAAATGCTTCTTTGCTCGATGAAGGAACCGCTGCTGCTGAGGCTATGTCTATGTGTAATAATATACAAAAGGGAAAGAAGAAAAGATTTGTTATTGCAAACAATTGTCACCCTCAAACCATTGATGTTTGTAAGACCAGAGCTGCTGGTTTTGGCCTTGAGGTTGTTACTGTGGATGTTAAGGATGTTGATTATGGATCTGGTGATGTTTGTGGGGTTCTTGTTCAGTACCCTGGCACTGAGGGTGAGGCTTTGGATTATGGGGAGTTTGTTAAGGAAGCTCATGCTCATGGAGTTAAGGTTGTTATGGCCACTGATCTGTTGGCTCTGACTGTGTTGAAGCCTCCTGGTGAATTCGGGGTTGATATTGTTGTTGGTTCTGCTCAGAGGTTTGGGGTTCCAATGGGTTATGGAGGTCCTCATGCTGCATTCCTTGCCACGTCACAAGAGTACAAGAGGATGATGCCCGGGAGAATCATTGGTGTCAGTGTTGATTCTTCTGGAAAGCCAGCTTTGAGAATGGCCATGCAAACGAGGGAGCAGCATATACGAAGGGACAAGGCCACCAGCAACATTTGCACTGCTCAGGTAACAGCCTGATTTGGTTTAATCAAATTTTAGTTTTCTCACTTCTGGTGCCTTTTGAGGTGGAAAAAGATTTTTCATTTCTCAATTTTCACTATTTGTTATTGTTTCAATTTAGTTTTGTTTACCATTCAAATGATACACGCTTGATTCTCTTAAAGTCAAGTCTCAAGTTTGAATCTTGTGCATGAAAAAAATCTCCGTTCGAAGAGCTAATCTTACCATGCTGTGATTGTTCTTGGCTCCAGCAAGATTGACTCTTATAGATTATGCATGTGGTTTAGGGGGGGGAAATCAGTTTTGTTTTGAATATTCTGTTCAGAGTGGAGCAGTTGTTGTGTTAGTGTATTCCTGGAGCCATGTTTTGGTTTTGTTTGAGTTGGTTTATTTTGTTTAATCATTATTATTACTGTTCAGGCACTGCTTGCAAACATGGCTGCTATGTATGCTGTATATCATGGACCTGAAGGCCTTAAAACCATTGCCGAACGGGTTCATGGTCTTGCTGGGGTGCTTGCCCTGGGATTGAAGAAACTTGGGACAGTGGAAGTTCAGGACCTTCCCTTCTTTGACACTGTGAAAATTCAGACTGCCAATGCTCATGCAATTGCTGATGCTGCTTGCAAAAGTGAAATAAATTTGCGGGTTGTTGATGGGAACACTGTGAGTGCTGCTTTTTGTTAGTTTGTTTCCTTGTCTTTGGATTATGGAGCTTGGTTGCTTTTCAGATTACTGTTGCCTTTGATGAAACAACCACATTGGAGGATGTTGATAATCTGTTTAAAGTTTTCGCCGACGGCAAGCCTGTAAGCTTTGTTATTTCATTGCTCATAACTGTCAATTATGTTATGTCATTGCTCATCACTATAAGGCCACCTTAAACATTAATTACTTGCATGCAGGTCCCCTTCACAGCTGCGTCTCTTGCACCAGAAGTTCAAACTTCACTTCCTTCTGGACTAATTAGGAAGAGTCCTTATCTGACAAACCCTATCTTTAACACGTATGGCTCTGTGCTCATAATTTGAATTCACATGATTGTATTGTGGACGCTTACCTGAAGTTCATTTGATCTTAATAGGTACCACACTGAGCATGAGTTGCTCAGGTACATTCATAGGCTACAATCAAAAGATCTTTCATTGTGCCACAGTATGATCCCTCTGGGATCTTGTACAATGAAGCTGAATGCAACCACTGAAATGATGCCTGTGACATGGCCTAGCTTTGCTAACATGCACCCCTTTGCACCAATTGAACAGGCTCAAGGTTATCAGGTATGTACAAGGTTAAATAAAATAAAAGTAACGATGATAATAACAGATTCTTATAAATGTTATTTATGCAGGAAGAGATGGGATAGTTTCTTTTTTGCTTTTTTTCTTCTTTTTTGTGTGTCTAAACAAGGAAATCTCATATCAGGAAATGTTTGAAAATTTGGGTAACCTGTTGTGTACCATCACTGGATTTGATTCCTTCTCTTTGCAACCAAATGCTGGTGCTGCCGGAGAATATGCTGGGCTGATGGTTATTCGTGCATATCATTTGGTATGATGACTCTAGTCATTATTAACATGTTTGCTTAAATTTTGTGGGAAATATTAGTTACTTGGGTAGTGTGGTTTCTATTTATTTACTAGGGCATATGGCTGAATTATATAGTTTCTTTTGATTTACTGTGTATATATTACCTCAGTTGTGTGCTTGTTTCCCTCTACTGCATATGTAGAAGAGATGCAGTACCTTCCCTTCTCCTACGTTACTAATAAATATTCTGAAATTTCTGAAGTGCTTATTTCTTTTTGCAATTGAACACTGTAGGCCAGAGGAGACCACCACCGCAACGTGTGTATTATACCTGTCTCAGCACATGGTACAAATCCTGCTAGTGCTGCTATGTGTGGAATGAAAATTGTATCTGTTGGAACTGATGCCAAGGGAAACATTAATATTGACGAGTTGAGGAATGCTGCTGAAACAAATAAGGACAATTTATCTGCACTTATGGTACTACTTGCTTCTTATATTGAAATTTTACTTGCACTATTTGAATAACCTGTGAATTGGGAGGAAAGGGGTATATGAACTGGGGCATATTTTAAATATTCATTTGTGGTGCTCTTGATTTAAATTATAGGTTACATATCCTTCAACCCATGGTGTTTACGAAGAAGGTATTGATGAGATATGCAAGATTATTCATGATAATGGAGGTCAAGTATATATGGATGGTGCTAACATGAATGCACAGGTTTGTTTTTCCATGCATGACTTTACATTCATGTGCTTTATGTCAGGCCAAGATTCTGGCATGGATGGTTGTTAGGGGATGTTATTAGGTCAGGATGCTGTTATGAAAAATATATGTCAAGTTTTAAAAAACTAATCCTTTTGCTTGATTGGTTTGGTTTCTTTTAGCCGATTCAAAACTTTTTATCGGATTGCCATGCAAAATTAAGCACTGTACAACTGATGCTTTTGTTGCTACCATTCTGTATATAATCTTGGTTTGGAATTTAATACTTTGTTTCTATTTCTCGAATGATGTTAGTTATCATATTTGTCACTTGGTTCATGTTTCCAGGTGGGACTTACAAGCCCAGGTTGGATAGGAGCAGATGTATGCCATCTGAATCTCCATAAGACATTTTGCATCCCTCATGGAGGAGGTGGCCCCGGCATGGGTCCTATTGGTGTAAAGAAACACTTGGCACCATTTTTACCTTCACATCCAGTGGTAATAATTTTTGTTGTGTGTGACATTAATATGTATAGCATTCATACATGTTTTTAGTTGCATATTCATTAGAAAAAACATTGTTCTCTTCTCACAGCAAAAATCATCTCTAACTTCCTAGAAACTGGGTGACCTGGTTTTCTCCATATCTCATATGCTCAAACTGAGATCCTTGCAAAGCTAACTCTTGCATAACTTTGTCGTTGTTTAATAATATCTGTTTTCCTTTGTAATTAATTTTCTGCTGTCATATTTGAAGGTTCCCACTGGTGGCATTCCTGCCCCTGAGAATTCCCAGCCACTTGGTACCATTTCTGCTGCACCATGGGGCTCAGCACTGATATTGCCTATTTCATACACTTACATAGCCATGATGGGTTCTAAAGGACTCACGGAAGCATCAAAGATAGCCATTTTGAATGCAAATTATATGGCAAAACGATTGGAGGTTTGTGCAATGTGTCATAGATAGCACGAGTTTCTTTTCCTTACAACTTTTACTTATACTTCTGAATTTTGCAGAATTATTACCCTGTACTTTTCCGTGGAGTCAACGGAACAGTTGCTCATGAATTCATTATTGACTTGAGAGGCTTCAAGGTAGGTCTAATTGATCCTTGCAGTTGTTTCTTCAATTAATTAGGACTATTCATTCTCTGCTTAATTGTAAACTATTTCAATGGTAGAATACTGCTGGGATAGAGCCTGAAGATGTTGCAAAGCGCCTTATGGATTATGGGTTTCATGGACCCACAATGTCATGGCCTGTGCCTGGCACACTCATGATTGAACCCACTGAAAGTGAAAGCAAGGTAATGATGAAAAATACGGGAAACTAGTGTGTAGTGACTCCTTTTCTTTGTACTTTCTACTGCGTAATTTTTTCTCTAATTCAACTAAACATCATGGCAGGCTGAGTTAGACAGGTTTTGTGATGCTCTTATTTCCATTCGACAAGAAATTGCTGAAATTGAGAAAGGAAAGGCTGACATCAACAACAACGTACTTAAGGTAAGAGATTTTTTAAGAATTTAATTGTTGAATAGTATTATACACCATTAGATTCATAATTTTGATTTACAATTTCAATCCAGTTGATGCACTTTTAAGTGATTGTAATTTTAAAATATTCCTCAGGGAGCCCCTCACCCACCTTCGCTACTCATGGAAGATGCATGGACCAAACCATACTCCCGGGAATATGCAGCCTTCCCAGCTTCCTGGCTCCGCGTTTCTAAGTTTTGGCCTTCCACTGGTATGATATCCTTGTATATGTAACGATTTTCTAACATATAACTGAGGCCACATGTTAAGAAGTAAAAAATAGAAAGTTCTATTGAAAATAAGAATATTTATTATGTCAAAATTAAGAAAGAAATATTCAGCAAATACTTTTTATGATAATTAAGACATTTAATAGAATATATTTAATGCTTTTAATGTGTCATTGTAACCCTTTTAGAAAAATTGATACAGTAATATACATCTTACGATACTCTTTGGATTTCATAAAATGTGGTTGGGTGTATCAGGACGTATTGATAATGTGTACGGTGACCGCAACCTCGTTTGCACGCTTCTCCCAGTATCACAGATTGCTGAAGAACAAGCTGCTGCCACTGCCTAATCTTCTTCCATTCACTAGTATTTTCATTTGTAAACTGTAAATAAACTCTTTCTATCATACTGTCTTTGCAAGCACTTCGCTTCATTTATTATAATCATCATATCTTAATGATGATAATGTAGGATTCATCCAACCTGAACCATACTTAATAAACAAATGCAAGCCACCCAAGAAACAAATAAACAGTGGCGACTTTTGTTCAGTGTAGTGCATTCCTGCTTTTGCATTTTAGGATTGTTATTTAGTTCATGTTTACGAGTGCCTAAACATACTTGTTAAAACAACATTTAACGTATTCTTATTAATTTTTTTTAATTATTTTTAAAAATATTAATTTTTTTTTTATTTCTATTTATATGATCGAGTTTGATTTTAATTCAAGCTTTCTTGATTAATGAAACAAATGAAATTTAATTAAATATTTAAAGAGTAACTTCAAATATTTTAAAATAACAAAATTCAATTTTACCGTGTGAAGAGAAGATAGTTGTGGCGAATGGGGATGAAACGAAATCTCTATTATCTCTCGTCAAAATCTTGAGTCTTTACTCGCTCCCCACTCCGATAAACCATAAAATCTAATAAGTTAAATATTTTATAACGAGCAAATTCAAAACAACATTTGTTAATGAAAATTGTTATAAAATCATTAAATAATTACAAATATTAATGCTTTATTTTTTTCATAATTACATTTTCTTTTCTATTGTATGTCTTTTTAAAAATTTTCAGAGCAAATACTTGAATATAGGAATAAGTCTATTACTATAAATTTTTTATATACTCAAAAACTTGAACTTAAAATTTTATTTAAACGATATTGAGTCTTTTACTATTCAATCCAACCTCGTTAGTAATTTTTTTGCTTTGATTAATCATTTATTAAATAAAAATATACTTTTATCTTTTTTACATGCGTAATTTTAGTTTTTTTAATTTTAATTGTTTATATTTAATGTTTATAATTTTTTAATTATTTAAATTAATTCTCTCACTTCAAATTTTTATTCAATAATAAACAGAAATAAAAAAAGTATGATATAATATTAGTCTATAAAAATAAAAACTAACTAAATTATTAGGTACATTTTGTTAATTTTTATTTAATTAATTCTCATTTTCCTAATTTATACAACTTAATTATGTATCATGCATTTACTATATTTTTTTTAAATATTAGATGGAATTTTGAAATTAAAAATTACTTTAAATGATTCTCAATTTATAAAAATTAATTATGAGCAACTTAAACTAAAAGAATAAAAACCTACATAACTTATATATATATATATTTAACCCTAAATTTGAGTACTACGCGATCTTTTACGTGAATAAGGTGAGTTGCTCAGTAAAAGAAGCATAATTTTGAAGTAACAAAATGTACAGTACGCAGATAAGAACTCAAATAATCAGACATACATATACTACTGGTCAACTTAAAAGGCTTGTAGAGCATGCCTCTGTGAGCTCCAATGGCGTAGGAGTTGCAAGTTTGAGTTCTAAATCTGGGGCTTTGCTCTGAAAAATGCAATTTGTTGAATGAGGATGCGCAAGCCACTGAGGAATAAAAGTTCGATTGCTACTTAATTGGCTGAAGCTGCTGAGATCATTAGAATGGAATTTAAATGTACCAAAAGCTGCTCTTGATTTAGAAAAGCAAGAATTAAATGGTGTAAATGTGATTTTACTTCCATTTCCCACCTACAAAAACATTTCACAGAAAAAATTCAGTACAATTAGATAATTAATAAAAGAAAATGCTCGTTTCATGTAATCCATAAATTAGAAGCGTGTATACGAGTTAAAACCGACTCTAGCCAAATGGTTAAACCTAAATAAGTGCAAGGTAATGCATGTGCAATAATAATTAAAAGGCATGTAACTACTTTTTCCATTTAAGACAAATTGGAAATTAATTACTAATTGAAAATCAAACAAATGGAGATATATTTTAATTTACTCACATCGAACAGGTTGGCATGGTGTTTTCTTTTATTGAAACTTCTCTGAGACTTGCGAAGAAAATATTTTTGTGCATGACTGGCCACTTGGGTAGGTGTTCTTGTTGTCACAAAACTTTTAGATATGCCTCTCCAGTTCCCCTTGCCCAGCTTCTCAAGCCCTTCAAGAAATTTCCGGTGTTCCTCCTCTGTCCACGGTGCACCTGACCCCATAAACAAATAACAATCAATCACTAAAATGCAAATAATTGGGAAGCTCAAGCGCAACATTCAAAACCATGCACCCTTTGATTTGTAAAGTTACTAAAAATTTTGTAGCCCTTGGATATTACGGAAATTAAAATCTTTACTTTTTTCCTAGCTATAAACTACTATCAAATAGTGAAAAAGTGTCAATTTGGAGATCAACCATTGAAGCATAACTCTTTTTTGATCTATTTAAACTAAGCTTTTAAAAGATAATTTATTTTAACATATATATATATATATAATGTAAATTATTTTATATTTTATATAATTTAGGGAGTTGAGGAAGTAAAATTGATTAGAATCCATGACAGATGAGAAAGAATGGCAAGGTAACCTTTTTTGGTGTCTTGGATTGTTGATATTAGGCCACTGGAGTAACTATCTGTATTTTCATTGGCACCAAGTAGGGAAGGCGAGGAAAAGGAGGAGGATACAGAAGAAGAGGTCCGTGAAGATAACGAGTAGTCCATGCTGAAACTTCTTTTCATGGCAAAATATGAAGGTGAAGTAGAGGAGATTGATGAAGAAGAAGAAGAAGAATAAACGTCAAGTTGCACTCCAAAGAGCTTTAGTTGTCCGTGACTGAAACTTTTGTCACAAGTCCTTGCATTGTGACCAAAGTTTCCACAATATGAACATTTCCTGGCTATTCCCATTTCTCAACCAGACAAAGAATATATTGTTACTCTACCTAACACTGAAAAATACACGCATATATATAGACTCCAAAATGAGAATAAAAGCAAGAGAGAAAGAAAGGCAGAGAAACTCTTTATTGTGCGGTCTTTGGTGGCGCTATTGTTAACGTGCAAAGTGGAAGTAAAAAGGTGCATTGAAGGAAAGGTAAGCGGAAATAAAGAACGTAGTTTTTTCGTTTTGGACCTTTCCCACCCAATGTTTTGCAGTTAAAAACCCAAAACAGAAACAAAATCAAACTTATAAAATGCTTATTCTTAGTACATGATCAAGCTATCTTTTCCTTTTCAAGTGGCACATAAGGCATGCGGGGATCAAGAGAATTATTCTTCATTTCGTGCCTTCACCTACATCAGCCACCAGCCAAGAACAGTAACTAACACACACGTACGTACGTTCAAATATAAACAAAATATATTCCTTTCACGTACTGTTAAATATATTTATTCTGCATTTTCACCGATTTACATGTGATTATTTTCTGTCATCTTTTTTGTACTTTTGTAAACAGTGTAAATATATATCTTCTATAAGAAGTAATCGTGTTTGATTGGAGTAAAATAAAATTATTATAGATATTTTTTTAATCATTTAATACAATTGTGCATTTAAAACTCATGCTCAAAATCATTTCTAATGTCTTTCATTATTACTTGTACAAATATATTTGAGAGGCATTTTCTTTTTTTTTTTCTTTTTGGTTTAGGTAAAGATCACCAGTGAGGTAAGCACTTAAGGAAAAGCATATAAAGGCCTCGTGAGAATCGATGGAGGAAAAGAGCAGAATGTTTTATGAGATTTAAATTCGTATATTTTGATTGCATTTTTCATGAATTTATCAATTAAAATATCTTATTAAGGAGCGTATTTTATATAACTTTTTTATTATTATGAAGGTTTGATTAGAGAAATTTTTAAAACACGTAAATTGAACCAGAATGTTTTTTATTATGGTATGATATCTATCGAACATTTTTTATTACTTGATATAAACGTAATTGAACGAGAATATTTTTTGCATGAAAAATAACGCTTAGATAATATAATCGACCAAAAATTTAGAATGACACTAAAAAATTTCATTAGAATCTTTATAACTTTTTTTTTGTCACTGTTGTAATATATCTTAAGTTCATTTATATTTATGCATTACTTTTTATCATTGCAAAAAAAAGATTAAACGCACGTTAATACAGCACATGGTTATTGACTGTTGAGGAGTCTGCAATGTCGTTCAATGCTAGGATAGTTGAGAGGGGGATACCTGAAGATCTCTTAGGCTTGTTTATTTCCGTTTGAGTTTTAAATTTTTAAAAATACTGTTTTTAAGAAATAAATAAAAATAAAACTTATATTAACAAATAAGTTTTATTTTATTTTTACTTCAAAAACTATTTTTAAAAATAAAAAACAAACAAACTCTTATATGTTATTATCTTTCCTTTTTCTTTGGAATTTAGAAAATGGAAAGGCAAATCTTGTAGAGAATCATATCATAATTTAAGATGGCGATGGTTAAAAGGCCAACATTATTCAGTTGGAGATTTTTCATGTTTGATCATTATATTGCCGGCAAGTTTGGACAACGAACCCGGATCCCTGCTGCCCAATATATATATATATATATATATATATATATATATATAGTTCGTAAAAAAATTTTGTTAGTAACGTATTTTTAAGAAAAAAATTTATTCTCACTTTTTAGAGTTAAGATTAAATAAGTAAAAGAGATAAATTTTTATTGAAAAATATTAAAATTTATTTACAATTTCAAGAATAAAAATATAATAAATGTTATTTTTTTTACTAAAAAAATTATTTTTAGATGTTTTAAAAAATCATACTCTTTAATATATTTTAATTTATCTTTTAAAACAATTAACCAATTATAAGAAAGAAAAATAAATAAATACTATTTTGTAGGTATTGTTAGTATTATATATCAATTAAAATTTTATTTTAATAAAATATTTATATTAATATCATCACAAATTATCAAGATATGATTATAAGTTCAATTAATAAATAGTACCGACAACATCTAATTAAACAATTGTTCTTAAATTTTCCCGTATAAAAATGTATCAAAGGCATGTTTAAAAGAGAACGTGCTGGCATTTCTCTTCATCTTTATCATTGGGCTCTTCCCAGTGGGAACAGAGGGTGGAAAAACAACTTTGTCTTTTAACAATGTTAAAGCCAACTTTGTCTTTTGTTTTTTATTATAGTTTAGTAGGTGTATACAAATTGAAAAAGGTGGGAATTGAAAAGAGAAAAATATCATTTGCTGATGATATTATATAATGCAATAAATAATATAATGTAATAAATAAAGAAATATAAAATATAACAAATGAGTGTTAGTTAACATTTTAAAATATTTATAGATTAAAATGAACGTGACTAACTTGTCCCCATCTATGAGGAGAATCGTAGCTACTCGTGGTTTCTTCTTTAGCAGCCACTGGTTTTGGCAACTCAGTTTCTTTTATTTATTTTTTGACTTTTTCTCCTTTCTATCCCCTCTATAGTTCTCTAAATTGAATAAATATTTTAGGAATTCCAATTTCCATGACATCAATATTTTCGACCAGTCTTTGTATTTTGAATAACTCAAACCTCTAATCATTAATCACTAACCAAGTGGAAACACAACAGAGAGAGCATGTTCGATAGTTTTGAATAATTCTCTGAAATAACACGGATAAGTTAACATAACAAACCAATTTTGAGGAACATTAATTATTATTGAGAGTTAAAGCTGAAACTCAATCATAATTCTAGAAATTGAAGGCAAAAGGGAAGGATATATCAATGGGGTAGATGGTTAGAATTTGTGCCATGGCTCACGATTATTGACATTGTTACATGCTATAACTTTTTAAATTATTTATGATGGTTAAATGATATACATAATAAAAATTAATAGATAAATAATTGTGAACTATAAGATTATTACATTATATAATTTTTCCAAAGATGAAAATTAATAATTGATCTGAAGTTTGTTTCTGTATTCCGTAGCATTATTCAATCCAAAATAACTTACAAACAATGAAATCCAGTAAAACAAAAATACAATAACGTAAGAAAGCTGACAAGCCAACCATTATTATCTGAATCGGGAAAGATTATGATGGAGAATGAATAATAAAAAATGATATTTATTTAAGTTTAATGAAATACATTAATTATAAACCCTCTATTTAAATTTTCTACACAAAAATCATACTTTTAGTTTTTTTTATAAAAAAAAGTGTGTGATAATAAAAATAAATTTTAATATTAGAGACAAGAATATTATAATTTCATCGTACGGTAATGGAACGTAAGAGGAAAGATTTAGCTGTAATATATATATTTTAAGAGATGATTAAAGTACACTTATAATTATTGACTGAAAACGTAATAGAAAAGAATTTAATAATTTGTTTGTATATGTATAATTGTTTTATTTTTATCTCAATAATTATTTTCTTTATTAATAGTTATAATTATATTTTATCTTCGAAAATGTTTTTCATGTTAATTTTGTTTGAGTACTAAAGATATTTTATAATCAGGAGTCAAAAATTACTTCTCTTAAAGAGTCGAGATTAGTGGGAAATTTTTTATTTTTTATTTTTTTAATTAACCCAATCTATCTTCATTCACTGGGTGCATTTGGGGCAGGCACCTTCTGCTTCCCATACTCATGGAAGAAAGTTTCAGTAAACATTATCCAACAGAAATTGAGAACAGTGACAAGAAAGCAAATTTATCAATGTATATGATTTCTTATTATTAATCACAATATCAATAGTTTTAAATTTCATATATTTGCATAATATTTCCAATTTTTTTATCTTTCTTTAGAAAATAACATTTTACGTCCACTGAGTAAGTGTAAAATGAATAAAAATTAAAGATATAATAAAAGTAATTTGAAAAATAATTATTATTCTTTTTATGGTTTTATTAATTTTAAAATTTTAAAATGAGTTTGAACATGTGACAAATAATGAACACTTTTTCCAATAACTTTTTCATAAAATTTTTATAATTAGTAAATACTTAAATGTAACTCTAAAATTTAAAATTAATATTTTCATTACATTATTTATTATTTTATTATTTTCATTTCTTCTCTTTTTATATCTGACTATATACATTAAATACTTTTGCTACCTCCAATATAAATGACACATTATATTGGTCATAGTGGATGAATGAAATAAGCGAAAAACAAATTTGGAATATGAATGGTGGGTCCAGATGAGGGTGAGAGTTAGTGAAAGAATTCACATGAACCACGTATCTCCACTTCACTCTTTACCTTTTCAACCATTACGTACCACCACTATTTCTCCCATTCATCTTATCTTCTTTCATGTTTCAAATAATTTATAAAAATATTTTTTAATTTGGTATATGGTTAAAATTTTGATAGACACAATAATGCATGGTGCAAATTTTAATAGAGTTGGAAAGTTAGAACGCTTATATAAACAAAGCTTTAGAGTCTATTTGTAAGTAGCGATATTTTTACTCTATGAGAAAACATACTCTAATTTTGTTATACACTCATAGTAAGGTAGGAATAAATAGAGAGTTTTTGGAAGGGAAGTTTTTTATATCAAATAACTTGAATTATTAAAAATGAAATAAAACTTGAAACTAAAAAAAAATAAAAAATTTTAAAAAGTAAAAATGGAATTGTGGAGGGCATATTTGTCTAAACGATGAGAGGCATAGCACCCTCAGATAAATAATTAATAGTGACATTCCCAAGCGTGTTAGTTTGATATGCTCACTGTTGAGTAGTATTCATATCATCATCTGAATGTATGAATATGAACACGAACCTCCTTCTTCATTCATAAGCCTCCTCTCAACCAAACACACGCAAACTCAATCAAATAGCTCAAACTAAATATAAAAAATAAAGAAAGAGAGAAAAATATAATGGCCTCAGAATCTCAGGCTCATTTAGGTCTAACTCCAGAGGAATTCGCTGAACTCGAAACCATAATCAACACACACCACAAATTCGAGCCTTCTTCCCCAAACATTTGCACTTCCATCATAACGCAACGCATCGACGCTCCACTGTGCACGGTGTGGCCCTTCGTTCGAAGCTTCGAGAACCCGCAAAAGTACAAGCACTTCGTCAAGAGCTGCAACATGAGAGGTGACGGTGGCGTTGGCAGCATCAGAGAGGTCACCGTGGTTTCGGGTCTCCCAGCCTCCACCAGCACCGAGAGGCTCGAGATTCTCGACGACGACAAGCACTTACTCAGCTTTCGCGTCGTTGGTGGCGAACACAGGCTTCAGAATTATCGCTCCGTTACGTCGGTGAACGAATTCAAGAGGGAAGGGAAAGTGTATACTATTGTTCTGGAGTCTTATATGGTTGACATACCAGAAGGAAACACCGGAGAGGACACTAAGATGTTTGTTGACACTGTGGTGAAGCTTAACCTTCAGAAACTCGGGGTCGTGGCTATGGCTGCCCCAGTGCATGGACAACCACAGTGAACTATCGTTTTTATTCACTCTTTCAGTGAGTTCCTTCGTTCCTCAGTGGTGTTAATTGGTTACTATATGCACGGTTATTAATTAATTAATTAATCCCTCTTTATCATAAAAAATAGTTATTTTACGTTTATTGCCTTTTACTTAAATGGTTATATTGGGATTTATATGTTTTTAAATAATATTATTTTTTCTTGCGTATATTGTGACGGGTAACTCAGCGGGTTTAGAATACTAGGGCTTTTATCGTTTTGCGTTCATCACCGTGGCATGCATGATTTTCCAAATTAATCTACATAATTTTTTACGCACAGTTTGAATGACAGCAATGATTTCAACTTTTCGGCAAACCCCTTTTACATTATAATACCAACGTACTCTTAATCATTTACGGAGTAGAAAGGAGTAGATTGCGTTTAGATGTCATAAAATTTTGAAGTTGACGAAGAAGAGGAAGAATGTTTACGGATCAGTCGACATGCATGGTTGAGATATGTGACAATTGACATCACTCGGAAATGTTTTAAGATTTGCGTACGTTATTGGAATGGGTTATTGCATTGCAACTTGCGAGTTTGTTGCGGGCTTTCGTGTACTCAAATGTGGAAGAGCAGTTCAAATAAAAAATAAAAATATTTTAAAATTCATTCGTCTTTAAAATAAATAAAAAAAGATTTGTAATTTGATTTAAAATTCACTGTGACAATAACTTGAAAATATTAAAAATTAAATAATTAGTTCAAACTTACTTTCTAAAATAGATTCACATTAACATAAAAAATTTGGCGGTCTTCTCTATCAAATTTTAAGGTTAATTTTAAATATTTGAAAATAAGAATGCTTTTATTAAAAATAATAATTGCAACAATTTTGAATGAAAATCATCATTAATAAATATACACAGTCAGTCCTTACAATTGATATCAACAAATTTTCTTAAGATAATGCAAGAAGGTAAGGAACTCACTCTGTAGTTACTATTCATCAGCAGCTTCTATTTTGATCGTTAAGTATCGAATACATTTTATCATATATTTTGAATTAATTAAAAATATAATGTAAAAAAGATATATATTTTGATTTATTTAATCAGTAAAGCAAAGTTTCGTTATTTGAAGAAGAAATAGGTTAGGAGATTGAGGTAGGCATTGTAATTAATATATAAATTGATTGGAAGCAAAAGGAAAGGGGTAGTTGGTTGAGCTTAAAATGAAACCTTTTCGTGCGGTGTTCATGTTAGCCCTGAATTCAACGGCAGCGACAAAAGGCTACAAAATCTTGTGATTATCACCTGTGACCATCCTTAAAGGAACATGTGATTACCGAGCCTCATCCACGTACGTAATACATGCATGCCTCAATTAGTTTATTTCTTATTATTTCAATTTCGATGTACATTAATAAATTTCATTGAAGCTATATTTTCTAAATATATATTCATTAATTAATTGTGAATTCCGTTTAGTTTTATATTTTTATTTTTCCTTAATAGTCATTAATTAATGTATCAAATATAAAATCACATTATCTAACAGTTTTTAAAAATTTTATCAATATTCTTCTGTTTACAGTTGCTCGAGAAAATAATCATAAGAAAATAATTAGTTTCTATAATTACAAAATAATAACATTCGCATTAGTAAAATTAAAATTGTCATTGAGATCATTTTTCTGGATGCACAGTTATAAAACTAGCATATTCTTAGCATAAAAATAATGTTTAGAAGTAAAACACAGCAAAATATTATCAAGATAAATTTCATATGTGTACTTTATTGTGCAAGAAAAAATTACCCTACAAACAAATGTCATATTTAGTCACCGATAGGCGTATCTCTGTAGTATAACTTTTATCTAACAAAATTAGAATTATTATATATAAAAATTACCAATACACGTATGAGTATAGCTGTTTAGATACTCATAAAAAAAAACCTTATTAATTATTTTGTTTAACTGAAATGCAAATAATGAGCTTGTGTATAGGTATTTAAACACTCACAAGATTAAAAAAAAATAAAAATTATTTTATTTTATATACATATACCAATGTGAGTTTACAAATAAGTACTGTTTGAAAAACATAATATCCTACTCAAATCAACTCAAGTGTCATCCCAACTACAAATATATTTGGTTTATATATTTTATATTAAGCTTTGAAAGAACTTTTAATTATTTGTTTTTTCTTTTTAATTTAGTTATATCTTATAATTTTTAATTTAAGATTTTATATTTTTTATGTTTAATTTTTGTGCTAAAATATCATACTTATCTTAATATATATGTGTGTATCAAAATGTTGTATTTTTTAATAAATTATGAAAATATAATGTTCAAAATTCATTATTAACGATTTTTTGTGTAGGCAGTGATACAACAACGAAAAATTATTAAGTTTTAAAAATTACGATTGATAATTTTTTTTTAAATTTATTAAAAGATTATAAAAATTTAAAACTCATTCATAATGATTTTTAAATGATAATAATAATAATAATAATTTAAAATAAAAAATCATTAGTAGCAATTTTTAAAAAAATAATATTTTTTAAAGTACCCAAAAAATTTGCTAGCAATTTTTAAAAATTTTCATATTTTTATAAACTTTTTCAAAACAACGTATTTTGATAATTTGTTCATTTTTTTCATATAAAAAAACAAACCCCGATTGGGTCGGGTGGGGTGTCATGGGACTATTGTAGTTAAACATTCGAAAGTGAGCTCGGCCTGTAATTCCTTGGATTGGAACAACATTGGATATATGTTTGTGACAATAAGTAAGTTAAGGCCCATTTCTTTATTTGAGTCTTTTTGTTTTCCTATAATGAGGCAATAAACTAGTTTCTAAGCTGAATTAAAGCTCTGGATCCACGAGAGAAAAAAAAAGGCTTTTTCTCAACAAAGAAACTACTGAATTAATAGCTTGTAATAATGAGTGGGCCAATGGCAATAACCTGAGCCCACATTGCAGATATGGCTTTGTCATTTCTGAAGAGAGGGCAGCAATATGACACGCTAGCCCAGTTGATGGCCTTTTTATATAAAGGGTCTTAGAGCCCATATATGACCTTATTGGGTATTTGCATTGCTTACAAACTAGAAATTAGACCTAGGTCAATAAGCCCTCGAACAATAAAATCTAATAAAGGGAGTTAGGGATGGAAGAACCTCCTCAAAACTAGAATCAAGCCCACTTTTAATCTTAAACTTAACCCATCAATAAGCATATTGATTAGTTTCTCTTAAAATATTTTGAATCTAACAAATTTAATGCTTCTAAAAAAAAATTTAATTTTCTGAATAACAAAAAAAAGATGACCACTATTTTAAATATTTACAATTAAAAAGATGACTTTCTTATTATCACTTTTAATTCAAATAATATGAATATTCTTAGTAATAACTAATTTCAACCCTCAAACAATCCCTTAGAGCTCCACTTTAAAGAAATAACAAAAATATAAGGAATTGAAGAGATCAACTATAAAGACTCTATTATGATCTCGAAAAAGATCCCTACAGTTGGCCAAACCTGAATCGTGCATAAAGGAGCATTAACATTCATAAAAACCATAGAAGAAAAAATAATATTTTAAGGCACGTGACATGTCTCGTAGGGACAATTTATTACCCAAAGAAAGAAGAAAGAAAAAATTATTTTGTTATTTTAATAAAATTTTGAATTTTATGTTGATTAAAAGTGAATATTTAATATTATCACAAACTATTAAAATATCAATTTAAAATAATTAAAAAAAACACCTAAAATCTGTCTTAGAGATTGTGTTTTTATGCAAGGATGATATAACAATCTTGAATATCCATTTTTAAATTGTATGAAAAAGTGTATTTTCATTCAAAAGTTAACTACTAAATTATCATCACGGAATATATATATTGCTAAATATAATTAAATTTTATCCAAGCACGCATCAACAATGTTTATATAATCGGGTGATTTTATATATGTGCTAAATATTTCTTAACTATATCCCACATTTAATCTATATTCCGAAAATTCACATACTCGATTTTTATTTTCCTTCAAGTTAAGTTGGAGTGGAACGAGTATCCACGAGTTTAATCTTAATTTAACTTACAGTACATTTAAATTAAATTCATTTTATGCACTGATTATCAACGTGTTTATTCAATTTTAAAACAAGACATGCTCTATAAAATTTTAACTGTTCTTATTATAATATTTCATGTTTTGGTATTGATTATTTATTTTATTTGTCTTTAACAATCGATGAAAAACTAATTTTAAAATAATAAAAATATTGATAATAAAATTAGATTTAGCAATATTTAATAAAAATAAAACAATTGTAGTATAATATTATTTTATAAAATGAAATTTTTTTATTAGTTTATACTATCTCTTAAAAAATAATTTCATTTTTTACTTATTTATCTATGTAAAAATCTTAAATAATATTAATTACTATCTTTTTAATCACATTTTAAAGTAAAATAAATATGGATATAAGATTCACTGACAAACGATATATTAAAAAATTTATAAAATGATTATAATGAAATGATTTAACTTTTATTTTATATAATTTTTAAATAAAATTAAAGTAATACAATTTAATCAACAATTTTTTTAAATATATTTAAGAATACATAATAAAAAATATATATAGTTGTTTTTTTAAAGACTATAGAATCAAATGCACTGCTACCATTAAGTTTAAAAATTCTAATCGAAGTTTTTGCTTTATATTTAACCAAAAATACCTTGTAAAGAACATGAAAGAAACTAGAAAGGCAGCAGCACAGGTGCCAGCATTTGCACAGCGAATACAGGGGTTATGGTGGTAGTTATCATAATTATCCGCTATGCAAATGTGTAATTCAGTAGGAAGTCATAGACTTGGTCATGCAGTGCGAAGATACAAATTCTTAAGTAGCCACTGGCAAAGTGCCATGCAAAGCAACCAATAAAGAGTTGATACTTTGACACAGGTTCCGTGGTGAAATCTACTTATCGGTAATAACAACAATAAATTGGTGAAGGATGTTACGATCATTACTCACTTTGCTTACATCACCGTTCAATCTCCTCTGTCTGGCCACCACCACAAAGGACACTGCTAGAAGTCTATAACAGTGTTCCTATTTCTCTGTCCCTCACATTTCATTTGCCTTGTGCGTTTACTTGTTACATTCTGAAGGGAAAGCGTGAAATTTTATTTCTTTTTTAATTCTCCTTTCTCGTCACATTAGCCTTGTTGTTTTAAAATAGATAAAAAGAAAAAGGCTTTCTCTGAAAATGTTTCTGAGGCTACCTGCCATGAACAGGAGTTTAAACAGAGAGAATCCAGATATTTTGATTATGATGATTGCAGGGAAACAGATAATGAGAGGGGTTGAGGAGGACAAAAGACATCAGAGAGAGAGAGAGCGAGGGAAAACATGGGCCCAGTTAAGCCTGCAACACAAATGAGTGCAACTGCACCAAAGAGTAATGTGTTCCCTCTTCCCATTCCATTTCTTGTTTTACTCTTTTACCTTTCCCTCTTGATTTATGGCTTTTTTTTCATTCATCTTCAGCACCCCTTTTTTGTTTTTCTTTTTCTTTTGGCCTTTAGGCAAACCTCTTTCTCCCTTTTCTTGGTTTTGTTGAGTTTCTTGTCTTTGTTTTGCAAGACCAGATAATGAGGTAACATTTTCAGCGTTTTTGTGTCAAGGATTTGACAAAGGAGAGGTGGTGCAAGAAATCTTGATGGGGTCCAAGAAAACAAAACTCATTGTTTGGGAATGGAGTGCTTGAAGAAAAAAATGCTTTTGTTCATGCAAAAGAAATCAACACTTACACACCTTTGGTGTTGGTCTTTCATTTGGTATGGTTTAGGCAAGACTGGAGTGCCATATTTTTCTTGTTTCCAAATACATAGCCTAGTTATTTTACCAATACTGTTCTTTTCCATGTTCCTTTCTTTCTTTTTATTTGTAGGTTCCTGAAGGACAACTTATCTTGGCTAGGAGATGTTAAATGTTAAGAAGATTCCTGGTTTATCATGAAGAGTCTCATATTTTAGTTGCTTCACTTGCTTTGTTGGGTGATAACTCCTTGGTAGGCTTTCACATCATTTTGGTTTGATGCTTTTCTTGAATTCATGTGTCTGTTAGTTGTCCTTCTATAACTAGTCTAGAAGCCTTCTTCAATCGATTTTCTCCTTTATTTATTTCAGCATATAATTTATTTTAAAAGGATGCTCAATTAAGTCACATGCTGCATAATTACTTATCCGTCCATTCCCTTTCTCCTTCCAAATTTTTTTTCAAGTTTACAGCGAGGATGTTTCTTGGTATGTAGGTCAATTTTCTTTTCTCTCTTCAATGACAGTGACTCTACCTGGGATCATACGGCTCTTGAAGTTAAGCTTTTTTGTAAAACCACTGCAAAATTAAGAGTCTCTTGTTACATGAAGTAATTAGTGCTTGTTACGCTGATGGAGAGTGATATGTACAAGATTTCCGGTCGAGCTTCTAATGTAATAGATGGAATTTCACAACATTCCACCTCAAACCCTCTGATTCAGTGCTACTCGGTTGACCTTAACAACCAATCCCATATCATAAATGGAATATCAATGCTTTCTGGAGAGCAAGGTGGACCTTTAAGTAACGTCCATGCTGAGGATTGCTTCACAAATTCTGCAAATATTGCTGACTCCAGTTCGTTAGTTACATCTCGAGGAAAGACTATTGTGGGAGATGCTTCAAATCCCATGGAGAACACTGAATTTCAAGACCATTTAGTTGGAGGAATGCCTATTACTCCTGCTTCACTTGCTGCAATTCTTGCCGCTAGAATTGGTCTTCAAGAAAATTTAGAGAATTCAGCAGCTTTGCCTCGTTCACTCTGCTCAATGGGGGCATTGGGACCATTTTTCAACAATTCACAAGATACTTCAAATCCTTTGCCTACAACTTTTGAGGACTGTGGTTATGATGAAGTTCCTAACAAGTGGAATGCCAACAAGTTTTCTAAAGCTCCAGAGATTGATGGAACTGGGTGTCAACCTTATTCTTCTATAGGAAACCTGGATCCAGGTGGATGGGCATCATCAAATGTTGCAAACATAATCAATCATTCTTACCATTCCTCGAACTTCAGTAATGAACTTTCTCTAAGCCTTGCAACATCTACAACCCCAGGACAGTGCTCAGAGGTCAGTTGCTCTGATGTGACACCATGCATGAATGGAACCGTGTCAGGCTTGGAGCAAGCCTCCTGTAGCAGTAGTAGGGAATTTTCTATGAGTTTGAGTGGTAATAAATATGTGCAGTTTTCACCCGAAGTTCTGGGATCAAGATATCTTGCTGGTATTCAAGAGATACTTGCTCAAATTGCAAGATATTCATTTGAAAATCTGGAACAAATAAATTATGGTAGTAGAGCAGGTGGAAGTAAGTCAACTTTAACCTTCCCACCCAATGGGAAAATATTGACAAATCACAAAGCAAACTCTATGCATGAAGCTCATGCTGAATCTCCATTGCAAAGGCATGCTGCTGAATCAAAGAAAGCCCAGCTGCTGACACTTCTACAACTGGTATTATGCTGCATTTTATATTAATTCCTCATTGTGTCAATCATGTTAACTTTACATTTCACTTTTCCGTATTGAAATTCATCGATGGAAAATACTAAATTAATTGCTACAATTTATTTAGAATAATGATTTGAAAAATGGAAAAGTGGAAAAATTTAACAATAGAACATAAAAGTTTTCATCATAAAGTCTTGTCATGCTATTGGTAATATTCTCTTTATTCAGGTGGACAATCGATACAGCCAGTGTTTGGATGAGATACACACCGTTGTATCGGCATTCCATGCTGCTACTGAGCTGGATTCGCAAATACATGCACACTTTGCCCTTCAAACGATCTCTATCCTTTATAAGGACTTACGAGAGAGGATTAGCAATTATATTCTTGCCATGGGATCAAACTTCAACGACTTGTGCTCAGAAGAGAAGGAATGGTCTGTTGAAACTTCATTCCTTCAAAAGCAATGGCCACTCCAGCACTTGAAAAGAAAAGATCATCAACTATGGAGGCCCCAAAGAGGCTTACCAGAAAGATCAGTTTCAGTTCTAAGGGCTTGGATGTTTCAGAATTTCCTCCATCCGTAAGTTTCTAGCTTTGAACATACTTCTTTCTTGGGCTGGCTTTGAAGTATCATCATGGGAATGTACATACATAAGTAGTGAATTTAAGATATAGACGTAATTTTTTATTATTGTTTGATGGATTTAAGGTATCCTAAAGATGCAGAGAAGCATTTGCTTGCAGTAAAAAGTGGGTTGACCAGAAGCCAGGTATTACCTACTGTTGTTACATCCTGGCTAGTTGTTTTTTACTTTGTTTGAAGAGAAACCGTTTGATATGCTTGTTTGGTTGTCTTGAACTGTATTTATGAGCAGGTATCCAATTGGTTTATAAATGCTCGTGTTCGGCTGTGGAAACCTATGATTGAAGAGATGTATGCTGAAATGAATAAAAGAAAGGCTTGTCGAAATGAAGAAGGAATGCAGAGCAATCACGGTAACAGGATAGGCATGAGTAGTAATCAAAGGTTTAATGTCAATTAAAGGTGAACAAATTCGCTTAACAATATCATGGAGCTTTTTGTATTTTTATGTGGAAAACACAGCACAACTGGAACCAGAAACTGTGCATGATGCTTTGCATAGTTGGGTTATATTATAATGAGGACGTCCATGACTTACGTTAAAAAAAGAGAGTAAATAACACGAAATTTATTTGACTGTCCATACTACTTATTTTGTTGATTTTCTTTCGCACTGCACTCGTAGAAAATTTAGCGAAGTTACGATTCGTGAAAACTGCCGGTTAAATCATTTATGAAAAGAACAGATCAATTCCTAAGAAGATGATGGCATCATGGGTAAAGAGGCGGACTTATGTTATAGTAAAATAAAGTGATAAAGCTATATTTTAACAAGATCTGAGGCCAGATAAAGTAACGGGGTGACACCAACGGTCATGCATGAGGCTTGGGGATTTTTGCAAGAAATAATAGCAAGTTCATCAGTGGAGTAAACAGAGAGTACATATTCTTTCCATTATAATCTGTTTCAGGAATTTCATAACAAATAAATGTAACTAATTAACAGAAAAAGATGCCTGACAGCATGAAAACAGTAGCTTTACAGTTGTGACAAGCACTTTCATTTATTTATTTATTTGTCCAAAAACAACAATTTCGAAACTTCCCCAACTATTCAGACCCGCAAACTAAAATCTATGATTACAAATGAAAGAATGACTATAACTGCTTTCAACGAAACTCTTCCCTTTTCTTTCCTCCTCTCCGTATCTACAAGATTATGACATCCCCCTTCCTTCATCAGATTTCTGAAAAAACAGAATAATTATAAACTTGTTCTTCAACAATCCAATCAGAAAGAGCAGCAACCTTCATTCACGCACAACTAAATTTCCACGGAAATTCGTGTTTTTATTGGTTTTAATTTCAAACCCATACTCTCTGGTGAGTAGAGCTCTGGGGAAATGCAAGATGGACTCAAGGGACTTCTTGGGCTGACGCTTGGCTTAGACGGCCTGTACAAGCCATATCCCATGAGAAAGTACTCCATTGGTATCAACATAGCTTGAGGCTGCTCCTCTGTTACCATTGACCCACACGCTTGAACCTGTAGCTACGCCAACAATAGCCTATTAAATCTAGCTCAATTATAATTCATACAAACACATTCTTATCACATATTAATTTGACCTGAACAATTGTTAATTACGCACCTCGACTAAGGCACTGAATCGTCTATCTAACTTAGATGCCATATGGAGAGCCTCACAGTGAAAAGGAGACATATCCCCAACAAAAATTAGAGAACGACACTGTAATTTTCTCAATCCTTCACTTATGTCAGATCTCCTGCAAAATCCCAAGACAAAGTTAATGTCATGTGTATGTAAGCTATGTGCATATTGCGGTTTCACAATATGTCGTATTAAAGCATCAGCATATCCATTTGTACATAAAAAGTGGCAAATAAAGAGCCCCGAGTGCATGTATAATTAAATTCTGATTGACGTTGAAACTAGCAATTATCTTTTTTGGATACATAGATCACACGGATGTTTGAACTTATGACTTCCTCAAACATACCCCAAATTCACGGCTAGCCCCACTCTTATTTGGCTTCTAGCAGTAATTGATATAAGGCAGAAAAAAACTACACTCCTAAGCCCCCCCCCCCCCCCCCCAACAAAATTCCAAAGATATACATATTATTGGCAATCACTTTTAAATTGGAAGAAACCCACTATTTTGAAGTGTGATCTTACCCATTAATTGCTTCAAGGAACCGCCACACATTCAAACTCTGCCTCTCATCCAATGACTGTCACGAAATATTTAGAAGAGAGTAAGACAATTGTTCAGTTTCAGACCACCAACAAGCAGCTATAACACAGTCCCCACATAGAAAAATAAATTAAATTGGACCAACCCTTTGGCATGCTTGAACTATATCGGAATCTGGCAAATTAGCACTCCCTCGAACATCCTATCACCACCAATAAAATTGAACAACTCAACCACGCTGAAGGAAGTAGGGAAAAATTTTTCTTTTGGAAGAATAGGCATACCTTGCCAAAGTATCGCTTTAGCAATATTTCTTTTACCACCCCGCACATACCATAAAAGTAGAGTAAATTTGACACGACCTGCAATTATTACAAAGTTTTCAGCAAAAGGCGATATTTACTTTCACAAGGAGACAAAACCATTTTTATGTTTTAGAAAAAGAACCTTGTTGTACAACCATTCAGTCCAAGATGGTGCTTTGCATAGAGGAGAAACAAGTATCAAACCAACAACACGGTGTCTATATTTCATCTGTTGTCATAAATGAGAAAGATCTGTAAGATCCCATGATTTGAAACTCGGTCATTTAAAAATTGGAAAAAATAGAGGGGAAGAGCGTATGAAAGACTCACAGCAAACAAGGTAAGAATGTAAGCCCCAGCAGTTACTCCCATACACATGACTGCACTAAGACTGCAAAGATAGAGGAGAAGGATGTTAGATTGCCTTCTCAAGATCGAGAACAGATGACATCAGCTTCTAGCTTCAATTGCACAAGTTACAAACCCATTACATTCAATGCACAACAGAAGGAACTCAGTTGAAAATATTGTAAATTAAAGCCAAATGGAAATTGATCTAACATTACTGTCTTAATGCTACTAGTATTTCTGGATGAGAAGAGTGGAGGGAAAGGATAGACAAAGGGGTGTCATTCCCCTAAAAGTTGGGAGTTCAAAAAATTATAAAGAGGGTGGGACTCTCACTTTACAATCCCTCCAAAATGGAGATAAAGATTGGAAACGGCTTAGCTTGTATTTTAGAAACTTATCCTTCGTTATTTCACTTCATAAACTTAGTTATTTGAAAAAGTTTTAAGTTTATAAAGTGAAATTTTGGACTCTCAACCTTCTACCATCTCATTTTCTCTGTCGTTAGTTAAGTCTCCAACGCCCAAACATGGAAGGAAACTGTTTTCCATTCCATATCTTCCCTTTCCATTTGAATCCTCTCCATTATTACCAAAACTTTCTACCATAGCCTACATAGAAAGAGATTGATAAGTAAGCAAAAATATGCTCACCCAAAAAAGTTAAGAACATCAGCAATTTGATCGGCTAAATCATCAGCTGAAAGAATTGGATCATCTGGATCAATCGCAGCAGCTCCCAACTGCAATAAGCAATGATATAGCACAAAATGATTAAGAAACCACCAAAATTATAACAACTCAACAACAGTAATATTTACAAATGAGGAGAGATAAGTATCAAGTGACAGCATATTACAGCTTCAAGACATAAAGTTAGAGACCTCATGCCCTGGGGGACTGATGTGATATATGCAGAAACTGTGAAGCAGCAGTGAACAGGCTTCTGGACAAAATAATAACCCCTGAAAGCATGAGACATCTGATGAAACCACATGCATGAAAACAAATGGTTAGATCGTTGGTTTGTCAACAAAATAAATAATGTTAACAAAGTCACAAACATCATTTTTTATTTTGACATTCTCTGCATAGAAACTTTTAAGAGAAAAACCAGTAGAACCATAATTTAATTACCCATAACTACAATATTTTCAAAACTAGTATTGAATCTACTTAAATGTAATAAGATGGCATTTTCAACATGATGATTAAAGCAAATAAATAAAAGCCAAGTATTTTTTAGTTAAAAAAATGTAAAGTTTTGACTTTTGAGAGGAATAAGGGAAGAAACCAATAAGCATAGGAGATTTATATAAAAGGGAGAATACTAACAGTGAAAATATTTTTTCCATTGTAAATCAATTAAAATGCATGGTAGGTATAACTTTTATATTAATTATCACAAAAGTCATAGATTTTTGCTTCGGATGATAGTGTAAAAAATTATTACATAGTTAGTCCATTTCACCTAAATTCTTAATACAAAATAAAGCATCCATTATAATCAAAACACAAAATCCTATAATAATTGCTTTTTTGAATAAAGTGTATTAAAATAACCTAAATAATGCCCTCAGGCCTCATGACAGTGCTTAGGTAGACCCATAAGGTAAAATCCATTTCCATTTACTTACAATTTAAAGCCAAATCAGGGTAAGTGATAAGAGCTGGCTTGTCCTGGTCTCCATACACAGCAACTGAGACACAACCATAACGAGTTTTCACAAGATGCTCCTGCAAAAATATCACAGTAGCACGTTAATCAGAAACAGCACATAAAGTTAACCACAACAGACAAGCAAATCACACGTGAATTTGATAAACTAAACCATCTCCTTCGTGTTTACGTAACAAGAAAAAGGAGCGAAGGTAACCAACAATAGAAGTCACATGCGAAGAAGCAAGCCAAACAAAAAGTGCAATTCAATCAAGGCGGATACTGCATGTGAAAAGGTTCATAAATTAATCTGCACCTGCCCGAATCTTACCAGTGATTTAAAGTAAGACAAAAAAAAAGTTCAAAACCAAATCCTGAAATTCCATTTGTTTAATCCGTTGAATATATGATAACATAATAACTAAAATGTGTTCACTAACTTGAAAGGTTTTACGTATTTAGAATCGTATAATTAATAACCAAAATTTATCTGGCAACTTTGCAGTTGGAGCAGGCACGGTGAGGTCAAACCACGAACTAAAGTAGGCGTATAATACTATTCTTACATTACAGAATTCAGAAAGATTCTCGAAAAACCACGAACTAGACTCGCATTGCACTAAACTCGAGGATCAAACGGAAACGAACAGTGTCGTTTTTGCTTAACAAGGCAAGGAGGAATTGAGTTCAACGGCGCGGGTATATGAAGGCAATAATAAATTGAAGAGGAAAAATAAGTGAATAGACGATATTAACAACGAGAATGATAAACGGAACAGAAAGAAAGGTTGTAAAAGGAAAGGGAATAGTTGTTTGTAATTGTGGTTGAACAGAATGCAGTTAGCAGTACCTCGGGTGGAGGAGAGAAGGGTTCCATGTCCACCGACACTGAATCCGCCATTTCAGTCACTATTCTGAATTGCGTTAGCACAATGGCACTCGCATTCCATTCCTATGCTTTTATGATTACTTAAGTATGTGTCAATTTCTCTCTCTCTGTTCTGTGTTTGACTCACACGAGTCACCGACGCTCAACCCCCGTGCCACCTTAATTGAGGCCTCCCGACAACAGCGCTCCGCATTAACACTTCCTTTCTTAACCTCACACTCTGGTTTACTTAACCATAGTTCCCTAGGCCGACACTTTTTCCTTCACATTTTTCTCACCCCCTTTTTTTTAAATATAATAACACATTTCCTAACTTTTAAACACTGCCTAATAAATTGTTTTTAATATTAATTTATGTTAGAACATGCTAAAAATTATACAAATAATAATTTTTTATATTTTCTATATAATAATAATACTAGCGTTTTTTAAATTGTCTCTGTTCCTGTCGACAAGGACCCGCTTCTTTAGTTTTTTATATAATAATAATACTAGCCTTTAAATTATATTTTCTCTCTATTAAAAATATCTAGTAAATATTGTGCATTGAATTTATATATTTTTAACAAAAAGAATAAATATTTCTATACTCCCACATGTTTAATAAGGTTTGCTTTTATTTTGAATTTTTTATTTTAAAATGATTTTAAAATATTTTATAATATTAATTTTAAATATTGTTAATGTAAAAAAATTTGCACCATTAGTTAACTAAATTGGTAGATTTAATCTTTAAATTAATCGTTAAAATTTTTTTATATAACAATTTATGATTAAACGATAATATAAAAAATTATAATTTTATTATGTTTAATTAAAATTAAGTATTACTTTAACTATATAAAAAACATAAAATTGTGTCTCGCGTGATGGGAAAACCAAAAACTTATAATCACGTGAGAAGAAAAATACGCATAAAAAATTACATTGCACTAAAAAATAAATAGACAGGTTATTAGGAGTGGGAAAAAGAGCTAAAGCATTTTTTTTATTAGCAACATCTAAAATTGATTTATGTCTTTTTAAAAATTTACAATTTTTTAGTATTAAAATGTTCTTAATGTTTTAGAAACTTTAAAAACATTCAAAAATATTTATTTTATAAATTTGCAAATTTTAAGTTTTTGTTCTCCTTTTTCATCGTAGCTTTCATTCTCAAGGGAATCCGACTGAGAGATGGGATCGTCGTGATTCGTGAAGAACCACAAATAACAAATTAGTAGTATCATTTGTTGTCGCCAGTGCATATGGAGCCCAAGAATAATACAAGCTATGTCATTCAAGTTTGAGATACAAGTGTGTTTAAGTTAATTGAAAGTTTATTTTATTGATTATAAAATTTATTCAACTAAATTATCTCCATTAGGTAAATCTGTCTCAACTCCTTAAAAAGATATTTTTCAAAGTGAAATATTTCAATACATTACTCGAGATATATAAATAAATCATCGCAATTACAGTTTATGTTATTGTTTTTAACAAATATTAAATAAGATACATTTTATATACGTAAAAAACACATCACTCAAATGTGGGTTATTTATGCTAATAAGAATAAAATTTATTAGGTTTTATCATAGTCAAATTTTTAAACACGTTATACGCAATTGAATAGCAGTATTATCACATCAAACAACGTGCATTTTGTTTAAATTTTATTAACATTTGTTTTTAAGATTAAAGTTAAGCATTAAAAACCATATTTTTTATTAAAATATTTATTACATTAAAAATATTAAAGTATAGTAAGTACTTTATTTGTGTAAACAAATATTTACTATTTTAAAATACTTAAATTCAAACTTAAACGCTAAAAGTAATAAAAAAAATTGTTTATCTTTATGACTGACTACATTGTCCATTTTTATTTATTTTTTGCTGAGCGACTACATTGTCCATTTTGTTTAGTTGAAAACGAGCATACATTATAGGGCCCATTTTTATTTGAATGTACATTTAATTCCTAAGAAATTTTGGAATTTGGAAAGATATTGGATACGATTATATTATTATTTGTAATTAATCAAAGACACAGACTCAGGTTAGGTATCTACTCTAGTCCCTAGCAACCACAGCACCCAAGATGAAACATCGTGATTGTGTGGTTATACGATGAAATAACACTATCAGTTATAGGTATAATTAATTGTTTACTAAATTAATAACATTAAAATATATATATTTAAGGTGTGGTCAGAAATACAAAATAAAAACTAATAAATAATCATTTTCTATTAAAATTATAATATTTAATGTTATTGCTAAATTAAACTTTGTGATATTTTATATTTTATACATTTTAATGAAAATATCAATACTAAAAACTATAACATAACTTTGACGTAACATTGATTTATATGAAATAGCTTATCAATGTTTTGGCTTATCTTTATTTTTATTAAATAATTAATAAAATATAATATAACATTAATTTATATGAATTGATAGGTTAAAAAGACCAAAAAAATATTTAATTGAAAAACGGCTTCAATTGGAGTGTTGGGGTTTATATTATGAATAAATTGTTAAAATCATATTATTAAAAAATATGTTGTCCCTTTTTTTTTTCTTCTAAAAACATTGTTTGCGATAGTTCAATTAACAACCAATCAGAAAATAAATAACTATTACTATAAATTGTTGTCATAAGCAACAACTGAGTAACAACGTAAAAACAAAAAACATTTTAAGTGTAATTTCGCTTTAACAAGATTGAATATTTCCTTCTTCAAGCAAAAATGACGTCATAAAACGTTATTTTTCATGTTATACATACACGCACTAAATTGACACATATGTTGTTAGTGAAAAAATAAAATATAGAATATATATTTTAAGGCATCATTCTTTTCTATTTTTGTTTTTTAAATATCTTATCTTAATAAATGATTTAGAACGAGGAACGTTTTTAAACCAAACAATTATGTCCGCATTACAGCCACAAATTTAAAACTATAAACATCTTATAATTTAATGAGATCAAAAACTTAAACGAGACGACCTTTTAACAAAATTTTGCTGACAGTTATTGTTTTTATTCTAAAAGGATATATCTACCTATAAAATGAAGAAAACGTTCACTCACTCCGGAAGAAACAAGTTTACGGAAATTTGGAAACTAATAATATGTTTCTTTATGTCTCTCATTCTTTCTACTCAAATAATTATTTATACATGCACAGTTATTTATTTAAAATAAATAAATAAATTTTGCACATGGAAAATATAAATAATTAATTTTTTTATTTTAAAATTTTATTTAATACAAAAATAGTAATAATTAATAGTTATAATATTTATATTTTAAAATTTATAAATGTTATTAAATTTTAAAATATTTATATGATATAATTTTTAACTAGATATTTAATTAAAATTAAATTTAATATAAGGATACTTATTCAGTGTAAATAGAAATATCAGTATTATTAATGCACGTTCTCTTATAATTTTGAATATATTTAAATGTAATTCTTAATGATGTATTTATATTTAATTTTTTTTAAATTAGCGTCCTAACTCCTAAGTGCATTAAGTACAATTTTTTTTAAAAATATTATACTTTTATACTTTAGACAATAAAATTATAATACTTTTTAAAAATACACTATCATTGCGTATGAAGAATATTTTTGCTAGGAGAAATTCAAGTAATTTACGTGATTTTTTTTTTAATCTCAAGAGAATAATTTTTATACACAAAAAAAGGAACACCCATTTTAATATTTTAGAAAATTCTAATAAGTGTTTTTAGGATATTATTTAAATATTAAAATACATTTTTTATTAAAAATGCAAAAATACTCACTTTCATAATTTTAATATGCTTTTTAATAATTTTTTTATAACTAAGTGTCTTAGAGTTATAGATTGATAAAGTCAAAACTTTTAATATACATTTAAGTATATATATTTTTTTAAATTATTAATCAGGGTCCATTAATTAACAAATTTTTAGAACTGATATCATTAAAAGTGCTTTAAAATAATAAAAAGTCCCAGTGGAATCGCTCAAAATCAGCACGGTGGCGATCTCAGAGTAGGCAGATCCAGGTTGCAGATTTCAACAAGCTGTTACCTGTGACTTTTGTGAACATTTATTAAAACCCAATCCCGATGGGCGAATACTCTTTTGTGGAAACTGAGCAACTTCACACGCCGGTAGTTAAAGCCTTAAAGGTAAAGGGTAAACAATTAATAATCATAAATTTTTATTAAAAAATATTTATTATATTTTATAATTTTAATATAATAATTTTATATTTTTTTTATAATTTTTATTTATTTATAAATACTTAAAATTAATTAAGAGTTAAAAATAAATAGTTAATAATAGTAAAATTTTATTAAAAAAATATTTATTATATTTTTATGACTTCAATATAATAATTGTGTATTTTTTTATAAATTTTTTTTATTTATGGATGCTTAAATTTAAAGTTAAGATTAACAAAATATATTTTTAAAATATTGTTAATTTTAATCTTAAATTTCAGTATTTAAAAGTAGTTTTTATTCTTTATTTGACATTTAAGTTTTGTTCGAAATCTGAAGTCTAGCAGCAGTGTTTCGATACGGAGAGACTCTTGAGCGGTGAGAGTGTTTATTTAAAACAAACGAAGTTTTTCTTCTCCTGTGTAAGTATTTACATTGCTTTTTAGAAGGAGTTTTTATCATTGTCTTTACGTGAGTGATTGAGCAAGAAATGCATAACAATTAGTTTGATTTTAACGACAAACTTTAGACATGCAAACAAGTATTGCAGAGCATTGAGCTTCTTCAATATGTGTGGTCTGGAATGATCGGCGTATAGTTAGTAAAATGATCAGTACGGAAGAAATCTAAAGCTACTATGACTTTTATTTACATTTTTATTGTTTTACTGGCTACGTGCACAATACTTAATGTACACATGATCAGTGTATAGTTAGTAAAATGAGATATTTGACTCGTTCATCGATTGAGAGTAATAAGTTTAAAGAATTGGATAAAATGCTTAATTTTTAACTCGCATAAAATTTAATCAAAATTATTCGAACGTGATTAAAAATATCAAAATTTAAAGTTTTAATCTTATACTTTATTGAAGGAATTTGAATTAATTCAATTAGAAAAATCCACTGCACATTTTATTGATTTTTCCTTTGTTTTTCTGGACGTGGAATTCTTGTAGATTACAAGACCTTCCAAGGAGCACCTAGTGATAAGTTTGCCTCGTGAGTGATAGATTTTCACAGCTTAATGAATTTTAACATTTTTATGATTATATATATATATATATATATATAATAAATTAGTCACGGAATAATAATTATATTTTTCTTTAAAAGCACTAAAACTGATAAAAAAAGGAAAAAGGACATATATAATAATAATAGTAATAATAATAATAATATAAATAGTTTTGAGAAAGAAAACAAAGTAAAAAAATACGTCTTAGATTTACAATGGCGCTTTAAAAAAATATAATACAAAAAAGTTAATAAATGATTGAGTTTTAAGATAAACAAATGATTAATTTTTTTCATTAGAAGTTTAATTCTAACCTAATTTACAAATTTGGTTATTTATAAAATAAAATAAAATTTAAGGATAAATTGGAATAATATATAAAGTTTAAGATGTGTATTTGTAAGACCAGTGAAGTTCAATAATTAATTGAATTTTTTAAGGTATCTAATTACAAAAAAGATAAAATTTAAAACATCTATTTACCCAGAAGATAAAAATTAAGGTAGTTAAATATTTTTTTATTTTCATTGTTTATATTGTTATAATATTATAATAGCATTAAATTTAATTCCATATTTAATATTCTTTTATATCAAGATGTATACACAAAATATTGATACTTCATTTTAATTCTTATATAAAAAATCTATATATTTTAATTCTTAAACCTGATATATTATTATTATTATTTTCATTCTTCTGTAATTTTTTTTTTACGTTGTTATGACTTATAAACCAACAAGAACTAATTTATAAACACTTTTTTAAAGTTAATTCTGAGAATAACTATTTTAAAAATATTGATTTTTTAAATTTCGACCAAAAATCAATATATATTTTTCAAAACGAACTGATCCAAACACACGCTTATATACTTTTTCAAATACAAACCAAAATAAAAAAAAATAACATTTTTTTTTCTTTCTGTATTTTTTTTTACATGTATATGTAAAAAAGAAAAGAAACAAGGAAAGTCAGTTTGGCTTGACCGCTTGACCATAAGCAGTGGAAAGAGGGGGAAGGGGTAACTCGAAGCTACGGGACAATTCCCTCGTTCTCTCTGGCTACTACCACCATCATCATAAGCATCATAGATGGCTCTTCTCAATCGAGCTTCGTCACGCTTCCCTCAACTCCTCTCACCTCAACGGGTACTTTCCCTCCACACAACCCTTCCTTCTCTGTCCGCATCCACACCCACCCCCTATGCTCCGCCACCGCCCCCATCCGCCTCCTCTCCCGCCGGCGTATCCAAGGCGGCGGAGTACGTTATCTCTAAGGTGGACGATCTCATGAATTGGGCCCGCCGTGGTTCCATCTGGCCCATGACCTTCGGTCTCGCATGCTGCGCCGTCGAAATGATGCACACCGGTGCTGCCCGTTACGATCTCGATCGCTTCGGCATCATTTTCAGGCCCAGCCCTCGCCAATCTGACTGCATGATTGTTGCCGGCACTCTCACCAACAAGATGGCCCCTGCTCTTCGCAAGTACTCTTCTCTCCCTTTCTAGGGTTCTTACTTACCTATTATTTTTTCCGTTTAATTCTTCTCTCTGTTCCCGTAGATTTACAATCACATGCCTCAGTCGATGGAATGATTTGCTTTGTTTGTGATAAATTTGAGTGGTTAAATAATATTTTGTATGGATTGGTTTGCCTCGTCTTCCTTCCTCTTGAATGAACCTTAAGATTCTTTCTTCTGTAGCGCGTGGTGGTTAAATAATATTCCAATTTGACTTGATATGCTGTCAATGCTTTCGTTTTTTTCTTCTTCTGAGGCTGTTATATTGTTGTTGAGGAAACTCCGATGATAAATTGTGCTGTGTTCAGCAAGGTGAAGGTCTGTTAATTGAGGATTCCTGAGGCTAAATTGTACATCAGAGGGGAAAACCAATAATCCTCTAGATTTATCAAGCAAATGATAATGTGTTTTGTTTGTTTTAATCAATTCTCGGTTCGGTGTTGTAATAATAGGTTTCTTTAAGTTCTGTACTGATAAGAATCTGGAACTTGGACCTTGTTTTAATCAAAGAAATCTCGTTGAGTTCATTATTCTGCTAATGTTGATAACAGTATTGGATAAGGATTATGAAATACTGAAGATAAAAACTGAAACAGAAAAGGAAATTGACGAGACACTGTAGTCTGTAGACTCTTTGAATGGCCTGTTTCCTAAAATCCTACCTTGCCATTCCTTACTTGAACCTTGCTTGCCTCTTCTCTTCCTAACAGAATCAGGTACATGGCCCCACCTTGCATGTGTGCAGATTGTTGCAATTCATTTGCCCATACTTATTCCCCGTTCTTATTTCCCTTGTTGCCTCCAAGTGCTTTCCCTTGCCTGTCTTCCTAATTAACGCACAAGTGATAGGTGGGTGGCTAACAGAGAGGCTTCCTCCATTGTTTGAATGTTGTTATAGATATCATTTAAGTTGAATGATACCGCAGGTCAAAAGAGCCAAAGAGCTTCTTCTATGGATAATGACTATGTTGTGCTGTGAGAGGGGTGAACTTTCCGAGTTATGTTGTGAAACTAAAAAAGGTTTTAATTTGCTTCTGTTGTTACATAAAGAGTATGAGAGCATGTCACGTTTCTTAATTCTTATTCTTATATATTATAATACAATATTCTAGGTTGCTCATCTTTATCCATCATTATATCATTTACTAGTTTTGATCCTGAACATTACTCAGCTTGCAATTCAACTTGTAGGACCCTGCATCTTTTTAGTTTCAACTGTCGGAATTTTTTCTTTTGTGGTCTTAATGCTCTCTACAATCTTGACAAACATTTATCTTTAAGCTGATAGTGAAGTCCACTGTAACGGCTTATCTACTTGGTGTAGGAATTTTTCCACAATAGATGTGTATTACACATTAGTAATTAATTTTCATACTTTTTTCTGTCTCCCTTCCATGTGATTCTAAGTTTCCATAATTGTTAGTATTAATATTAATATTATTTTATTATTACTACTACTATTGTTGTTGTTATCTTGGAACTTGATTCATGTTCTGTCTCACACTTGGCCAAATTAAGTTAACTAAAATTTACAATTTTTTACTTGATACTGAAAAATTGTTACAGGGTTTATGACCAAATGCCTGAGCCTAGATGGGTCATCTCAATGGGAAGTTGTGCTAATGGAGGAGGATACTACCATTACTCTTACTCCGTTGTTCGGGGATGTGACAGGATTGTTCCTGTTGACATATATGTTCCAGGCTGTCCACCAACTGCTGAGGCTTTGCTGTATGGACTTCTACAGCTGCAGAAGAAGATCAATAGGCGCAAAGACTTCCTCCATTGGTGGACAAAGTGAGGCCGATTAAGTTTATTTCTTGGCAGCCAAGCTATCTTACAATAAGCAATTCATGGTGGTTTACCTTGCTGAAAAGTGCCCGCTCATGTTTGGTGGGGATTGTGTTGATACATTACCATATCAAAGTTTCTGAATGTTCTTTCTGCTGCTTTTACGGGGCTTTATGTCGCTTGGAAGAATAGTGTTTCTTAGTTGTTAATGCTTCATCTGTACCTGGGACTTATACAAGACAAGACATGTTTGGTTTGTAAGTTATGTTTTTATGTCGGACCAATTTCGCCCGCTTATTAATGGCGTTTGAATAAATAATTTGAACTGATGGTTTCTTCCATACTCTGAACGTTCCGCACCCCCTTTCGCATTTATATGTTTGTTTTTACCATTAAAAATTCTTTTTATCGCGATGAAATCAGTATACCTGCGTGTGTGTGTGTGTGTATTTTGAGATGCTTATCAGACTACTTCGACACAGTCAAGAGCACTTTAAGAAACAAGCTTGAGATATCCCACCAAGGTTCAATCTCTTATACCCGTCATCCACTGCCTCCACTTCTGAACGACCATTATCTCAAGACCATTCGATCTTTTTTAGTTATTCGCGTGGTAAGGCGCCCCCATTTCCCTTTCAAACTACCCGCCACGGAGCCCCCCCAAAAAGACAAAACCGAGTTGATGGAAAGTTCGATCTTTTCATTATTCTCTATATTACGTATTATTATTTTAAGATTAATCTGAGTTGATTTGAGTAAGATTATCATAAGCGATAAAGCTCTCCAACCAAGTAATGATATTCTTTATAAGTTTGTCATTTTTAATTTAGTTTATGATTTTTTTTAAGATCTTGTTCACTCGGTTTATAAGGGCCCTATGATAATGGTTTAAAAAAAAATACAAAAAATATTAAAATTTATGAAGAAAATGCATTAATAATGTTTTTGAATAAAATTTGTACACTTTTGATTCTTGATTAGCATTTGTCTTGTTACGAACGATTGAAATGTGTTTTAATAAAGAATGAGTTGAAGAGATAAAATAAAATATCTTCAATAGAGTCACAAAATAAATTATAATAAAAGTAACTATATTATTTTGTAACTTGAAAAATACTGATTATGATACTGTGTAAATTTTCTTTAAGTTGTTCGAATATAAAACAAGATATAATAATTAAATGGCTCATGGGTGAGATTACTGATTATTTGAAATAGCTTTAACTATGCAGTTTGAACTTTATTTACTACTTCCTTAAAAAAAAATTCAATACTAACTGCTTTTAATTTGAATGACATTGGGTTGAGCTTGAATTTACAAAGTTTTAGTAAGAATTGCATTTATAAAGTCTAATTATACTTTTAGGCCGTTTATTTTAATAAAATTCATAAAAAAAAAAAAACTAGCAAACAAACACAGATAAACTGACAAATAAACTTTCGCATAATAATAAAAATATTATTAATAATTAAACTGCACACGAAAAGGCAGCCTTACTTATTACATAGAAAAACACAAAGCGAAGCAAAATATCTGATCTCTCCAACTGGAAGGAATCGTAGGAGCAGGAGTCAACTTAACTAGCCACTCCACTTCCACTCCTATAAATAACACACACCCAAATCAACCCTGTCACCTAGGGTTTGTGGCGATGGCGGAAGAAGCACAGTACTCATCAGGAACCGACTCTGCGCCCCTTAAGCGCAAGTATGAAGACCAATCCACCCACAGGCCCACCGGTTTCTCCGCCCCTCTCTCTCCTCCTTCACCTGCCACCGGCATCGAACTCGCCAAACAGCGTGCTCAAGAAGTCGCCGCTCGCCTCCTCAGTGGTGCTCCTCCTCTCGACGCTAAACGCCCCAAACCCGACAACGGTGCCCCTCCCACCGGCTTCGATTCCCTTGGTGACTAACTACGTCACTCTTTCTCCTCCATTCTTCACTTTTCCCTTTTTGTGTTAGGGTTTTGAACTTGTGATTTTGGTGAATACAGATGCAAAGCCTCAGTATTCAGCTCCTTCTGCTGCTCCTGTCTCTTATGGGCATCAAGGTACGAGCAAGAAGATAGACATACCTAATGGTAGGGTGGGTGTTATCATTGGCAAAGGTGGAGACACTATTAAGTATCTGCAGTTGCAGTCTGGGGCTAAAATCCAGGTTACACGTGATATGGACGCTGACCCTAATTCTTCGACTAGGATGGTTGAGCTTATGGGTACTCCTGAGGCTATTGCCTCTGCTGAGAAGCTCATCAACGAAGTTCTTGCTGAGGTTTGTCGCGCTATTATCTTTGCATTAAATGATTTAAATGTTACTGACATGCATTGTTTTTGTACCAGGCTGAAGCTGGGGGTTCGGGCATTGTTGCACGAAGATTGACTGGGCAAGCTGGGTCTGATGAATTTGTTATGAAAATCCCAAATAATAAGGTGTGGCAAGGATATATGTACTAGGCTACTAGATTATGATTTGTAAAGTGTTTTAAGTGATTGGTGTATTATTTTTTTATCTGTTTGGGTTGATACCGATTGTTGGGTGCATCTTTAGGTTGGCCTTATAATTGGTAAAGGAGGAGAAACAATAAAGAATATGCAAGGTTCAACTGGAGCAAGAATTCAGGTTTTCACTTATAATTAGTGAATAGTGTATTGTTGTCTACATTTTGCGCTTGATATACTTAATAAATCATAGTTAGCTTAAGTTGGGATGTGGGCTTTTACTGCCGTGTTACTATTAATTAGAAAGTAGGCTGAGATAATATCTGACTCTCAAGACTTGAAATTCCTATTTTTTGATACGTTTCATTAATATTGTATATTTTTCAGGTGATACCTCTGCATCTCCCCCCAGGTGACACGTCAACAGAAAGAACAGTAAAAATTGATGGGACTCCGGAGCAGATTGAATCTGCAAAGCAGTTGGTTAATCAAGTCATCAGTGGTGAGGTATGTTTAAGGACACCTCTTTTTTGTTTCATTTGGCATAGCATGTTTTTCCTGCCTTGTGCCAAGTCTAGTTTAAATTTTAAATTATGGATTTTCAACTAGGCTTTGTGTTTTGTACCTTTTAAAGTCTAATTATCTTTTAAAATGATTGAGTTTGATCAAACTAGGTTAATTTTTGTCCTTGCTTAATGTGATTGTTAGATGAATACTGATGAATACTGTATGCCTATGCTGCGTTTTTGTTTACTGTTTTGGATGAATCCTTGATATGTTGCATGATTTTTGGCCTCTCTCTCTTACCAAGTTCATTTGCAGGGGCAGAAAAAATGATTTCGGTAAATTTTATGATGGCTTTTAATTTAGTTGGCATAAATGATTTTTATTCATTCCATGTTTATTAATTCCTTGATCTCATCAGTTATAATGCATCGTATTGTGACCATTATTAGTAAACTCCTGTATGTTCAGGATGTGTTAATGTTGGGCCAAAACATTTTAGCTCTAGGTGTAGGTATTAGGAAGTAGTGCTTTCTTCATAGCTTAAGATATTGATGTCTCTGACAAGTGTCCTTTCACAGTGCGTGATACATCAATATTTGATGGGTATCTGTTACTTATTATTCTATGCTCAGAAGAAAACTAAAACAGTTTCATATTGTTTAGTTGGAGCTCCTGTAAATTTAATGCACATAGGTAGAAGATACATTGAATTGATAATGGCCATTATGATGTTTGAGCGCAAAATCTCCATTGCTCTACAGACTAATTACATCAGCTAGCCAAGTGGAAATTTGATTATAGAGACTAGCCACTGCAGTAGCCATCACTTATTTACTATATTTTCATCATGTTAACTGTATGGTATCTTGTTCAATTAGGGTCTTGATATAATAGTAACATGCATGAATCTGTATTTTTTGGATTGGTCTATGCCTAGGTGGGTGGGTAGTCATAAACTTTCAGGGTCTTTCTGATTCTGACTTGATAAATGTCTATTTTGTTTGTCTGTAGCCTGCCATATAATTAAGATAATGCACCATAGTAATTGTATATTTTTACATATCCATGAATTGAGAACATCGGTGGATATATTTATAATTGGATAGTTCTGTTTTGCTGTCCAAGACACAAAGCTCTTCCGAAGACTTACTTTTACCTGTGGTAAAGTTTTGCCCTTGGCCTTGTGCTTTGGTGAGGTGGATCTTTCATCTTTTGTGGTTTAGGTTCATGGGGTCATGAAGGCTACTGTAATTATGACATTATTTTGGGTTCAAGTGGACACTCATTGGGATTATAGCCTGTTCGACAATGGAATGTGCTTATTAATTGTGCATCCTATGACTGATCTTGTGATTGGGACTATTGTAGGGTTATAGTTTCTATTGGACCATTGGTCACACCACCATGAATCCCTTTGTTGGTTTTCCTTCAGCATGCCCTGGTATGGTTCTAAATCTCAGTTTTGATATTTATTATCAAGGGCAGTAAGTCTCCTATTAATATGTTTTGGACTCTGTAAAGTGTCATTTGATTGGTTACTGAATTATTGTATTGAAATCCTTTTCAACTATGCCATTTGTATTTTTTAGTTTCATTACTCAAAAAAATTTAATCCTTGTGTCTTATTCTGGACTTACATTTGGCATAGTAATAACCTGCAATTTGCCCTTTGCAAGGTGCTTAACCTTTTTTTGCCTATCCTATTATTTCTGTCCATATTTAAATCTTTTGGTTGTTTCATTCAACTAACAATTCCAAGATTACTGTTATCTTCTGTTGTTTCTGAGGTGTTTAATGGCCTGTTCAATTCATGCATGGCATTGTTGCCTTGCTATATCATGCCACTTAACTTCCTCCTATTTTAAAGTTTAAACTCCCCTTAATAAAATTGTATTTAACTTTTTGGTGCTTTTATTTGATAATCCTTTGAGGTTAACCTGTTAGGTTGGGTTGAGGAAAGAAAGGTTGAGAGGATAGTTTCTATGTATTTGGGAGCAAAGAGAAGTTGTCTTGACCATCTGTTCTGTATATTTGCATTCATGATTTCTCCTTCATCTTCTGGTGTGTGAAATATCTTGTTTAATTAATATGCTCATGAATTATATATAATGTTAACAATTGGAATAAGATCCTGCATATTTTGAGATAATATATGGTGGAGTGCCTTTTTACGGCAATAAAGATTGTATGCATGTCTGCTTCTATGGTCTATACTTCCTTTTTGTACCCATTCAATTCGAATAGGGGAAGGGTGTGCTTCTGCTGGAGTAACTCAGTTATATCACGAACCAGTACGGTATGTAGGTATTTATATCCCTTTTTGATCTTGTATGGAATCTTGTTAATGCAAGGCAAATAACTTTTATCTTGTGTTCTTTATATGTTGATTTTTATTTGTGTACGTTTAACCTTTCTATATGCATGTGTTTTTGCTGCTTCCTCTACTCGAATGATTTGGAACCTAGGGTGGAGTTCATTCTTTTTATTTTGATTGCAATTTGTCTCTGCAGAATCGTCTTAGAAATCCAGCAATGTCTGGTGGATATCCTCAGCAAGGTTACCAATCTCGACCACCCTCTAACTGGGCTCCGCCTGTTGCTCCAATGCAACAACCTGGTTATGGCTATGTGCAACCTGGAGCATACACTGGTCCATCACCCCAGTACAACATGCCTCAGCCACCATACACAGGCTATCCTCCCCAGCAATCTGGTGGATATTCCACAAGTTGGGACCAGTCCACTGCAGCACCACACCAGCAGTCTACTCATTCTGGTGGTTATGATTACTATAGTCAACAGGCACAGCAACCACAAAATCCTGGGGGTCCTGCCCCTTCAGCTGATGGGTCCACGTACAATTACAGTCAACAGCCTTCCTCTGGTTATAATCAACAGGGACAGGGTTATGCTCAGGATGGGTATAATGGATATAATGCACCATCCCAATCAGGGTATGGACAGCCACCGTCATATGATCAGCAGCAAGGCTATGGCTCAGCTACTGGATATGGTAGTGGGAGTAACCCAGCACAAGAGGGCCACACTGCTAACTATGCATCGCAGGGAGATTCAGCTCAAGCTCCATCCGTCCCACCGTCTACCATTGCACAGCAAGGTTATCCTACCAGCCAACAGCCAAGCTCAAACAATGCCAACTATCCACCTCAAGGAACTCCTCAGTCAGGTTATGGGATACCCCCTACCTCCCAAGCAGCTTATGGCAATCAACCACAGTCTGGTTATGGATCTGGTTATGGACCCCCTCAATCTCAAAAGCCAGCTGGCAATCCACCTGTTTATGGACAGTCACAGTCTCCCAGCACAGCAGGAGGCTATGGTCAATCAGCATATCCTGCCCAGCCTCCACCTTCTGGGTATGCTCAACTGGAATCTGGCCCTCAAAGAGCCCCACCATCTGGTTTTGGTGGTGCAGTGCAACCAGGGTATGGTCCTCAATCATATGGTACTCCTCAGGGTGGTCAGCCTGGTTATGGTCAGGCACCACCTCCATATGGTAACAATTCTTATGGTGCTGGTTATACTCAGACTCCGGCATATACTAGTGATAGTAATGCCGGTGGAAATAGTCGTGGAAGCTATGATGGTGCACCTGCCCCGGCTGTTCAACAGAGTGGTGTTGCTAAAGCATCACCTCAGAGTTGATATTTTTGTGTTTGGTTTCTTTACTCCCTTATGGGCTGGTTTTATTATGTTCTACCATTTACTATTGTAGGAGTGACAACTTTGTAGCATTGCATTGTTTAGATGGAAGCATTGGTGTATTGAAATTTTCTACTTGTATTTTATCGGATGTCAGACTTGCCTTCTTTCTGTTATTTGATTAATTGTATTGACTCATGCAGTTCGGCTTTGTTATTTTTTCACGACCCAGTTTATTCGAAACTCGGTTTTGATCTGTTTATAACTATTTGGAATAAGGAATTGGGAGAAAGTGACGTCATTTGAAAACTATCAGGATGATATATATATATAAAATACATGTAATGTTGAGAAATCGGTACACTTGTTGCGTTTTGCCTTTATCAGAGGGTGTACGAGGAGGATGCTCAAATACCATAAGTAACGACTCTCTGCAAGTGTAACACAAGGCAGGCTTAGAGAAGGGGGTAAGAAATTTAAATAAAGTAAATCATGAATATTGATATTGATTTCATGAAACGTCCGTGTGCTAAATCCTACCCTCGGTTTTCTATTTCGTTCTAGGGATTTAAGATATCACGTCTTATAGCAAATTTTCGATCAAAGATTCTTGCGCATATGAATTTTCCGTACGGTTATTGAACCAATACTTAATAAGAATCAAACAGTTTATAAAGAAATTGAAATGTAGAAAGGATGTAAATAAATAGTATACAAAATCCAACTTGTTCAGCGTTTATCATAGGTAATCGAGTTAAACCCTACTTATAAGAATTGAACAGTTTGAGCAGATATTGAAATGTAGAAAGGTGTAAATAAATAGTATACAAAAATTAACAACTTGTTCAAGGTTTATTATAGGTGATCGAGTTAATGCCTCTTGGCTCTGGAACTGATTGCTGGTGACTATTTCTTTGAATACTCTAAAGTCGGCGTGCAAGTTCCCATTATGATCAAGAGCAAAAAATCCCTTCTTTATATCTGTGTTGTATACTGTTGAGGTTGAAATGAGTAAAATGAAGGCAAAAAGACCAGGTATACAATGCTATCGAAAGCTTCAACTATATAGCTTGCAGATCAAAATCAGCAAGCAGTTCCTAATTTTTCTAAATGACGTGATTCCTGAATGCCATGATCATTTTTGGTGACAAGAACAAGATAAATGCCAAGATTGAACCAAAGAACATCTTAATAAAATATCTAGCTGGGTCATGATCAACATCTTCAGAGGTGCTGGTTGGTGCATACATTGCTCTTGCCGATGGGAGAGCTTCTATTACCGCATCTGCCAAATCTGTAATAAAGGAAGGGTTAACACCAAGGGCAGGAACACGACCCCAATTCTTGATGCCAGATTCAAGGGCCAATTCCTTGTACTCCATGTCAATTTCTTCAAGGGTCTCAATATGCTCACTCACAAAACTGGGTACAAGAAGACAAGATTACTTCCATTCTCAAGGATGTTTACAACTTTCAACAGTACAGTAACGAGTAACAAATTGGAATATCCATATGCTACTGTCTAGAATTTAAATCATCAAGAGTGGAAGAACAGTAATAATGTACCTTACTGGAACAGCTAAAAGACTCCTCACACCTTTTTGGCCTAGCTCAACAAGAACTTCATCTGTATACGGTTTCAGCCACTGTACAGGACCCACTCGACTCTGGAAATCAGCCAACCAAAACAAATGATATGAGAAAAATAAAACATCATAGAAAGCAAGAATACAAGCTAGCAATTAAACATGAAGTCACCATTTAACTCGATGTCAGAAAAGCATGTCGAAAACAAACCTGATAAGCAAGAGTGTGCTCATTACTAATTCCTCTAGCTTTCAACTCTTTCATGATCAAGAAGATGCACTCCTCCATTTGATCTCGGTACGGATCACCAGCATCCTCAACGTAGCTGACTGGTACACCATGGGCACTAAAAAATATCATTACCTGATATAGAAAAAAAAGATATGCCATGGTTCAGATTGCAGTAAAATACATCACAATGACTTCATTTAATGTGAAAATCATGTAGAAAGCATTCAATACAAGAAATAAATCCACCTCCTTAGGTTCAGAAAAACTCTGGAGCTCTTTCTCAATTAAGTCAGCCATTGACTTAATATAACCTTCTCGTTGATACCATGAGTTTATAATGGAAACAGGAAGCCTACACAAATAAGCATCTTCCCTGGCAAATAAATAACATTATTTAATAAAAATCTTTGAATACTAAAGATCATTCACAAAGACCCAATAAAGTAGTACCTGAAAATATCCTGGATAACACGGATGCTTGACCCAGTTGTCGATATAGAAAACTGAGGATAAAGGGGTAGTACCACAAGCCTTGTTATGCTGTCCCTCTTAATCTATCACACAAGACAAGCTTTTCATTTTAGACTCAACTCTAAGGTGATATAATGGAGTTAAGAATAAATAATCTAACTCATGATTAATCTTCATGTATATCATTTAATTGTGAAATGAAAGCATAGATGTGTGACGAGAATAATGCAGAATGGTTACACTTGACCAAATAGTATGAGAACTTACTTGCTCAACTGCTTCTTCAGTGAACGGGTACCAGTACCGCATCCCAACATAGATATTTGAAGAGAGGCCCTTTGCTTCCAAAGCCATTTTAAGTGCAAGTGCCTGCACAAGCAACAGAAACCAGAAAAGCATTGTTAGTTCCAGCCTAAACCACCAATATACAGAACGTTTTCTGGTATAACAGGAAAAATCCAAAACAGCATTACTTTTAAGGAAAACAAGAGCACCACCCAGCATATAATGGGAAAACCAAAAGATTTGAAGTGCACCTGATCATCTGTAATTTTGCGTAAAGGAGAGCCACCACCAATAGCAGCATACCCTTCCTTGGATTTAGGAGCCCGAAGTACAGAAATTAATTTTGCCAATGGTCGCTGGAGAAACCGAAACAACCTCGGGAGACGAATGATATCCTGTCTCAATACAAAAAAATATAAGAATGCAAATTATAAGAAAGAGTACTAACGCTTGGAATTCATGCAAACAGGGGGAAAAAAGTATAAAAAGCACAAAAACAAACAAACATACAGGATCGGCAAAAAGATTAAATAGAAAAGGTTGAACATCATTCAAAGTCTCCGGTCCTCCTAGATTGAGAAGCAGCACGCCAACTTTTTCTTCCACAGCATGGGAAGGAGATTCTAAAGCAGTCACATCATACACACTCGTGTCCACGGAATATGATGTTGGACCAACTAAGCTTCTCTTGCCAGAGGGATTCAAACTCAATGGTCCTCCAAGCTTTCCATTTTTTCTATAGGTGGAGCTAGAACACAAAAACAAAGATGCTTGAGAAGTTGACTTGCAACAATCCGAATGGCAAGTGACATAGGTAGAACTTCGGATATCAGAACATGACCTGGCAGTAAAGAAAGCAATTTTGATTAGCATTAGTATTCTCCACCTATCAGTGTCAAATCCAAAACAAGGGTTTGCTGCTGGTAGATAATCACAAAATAGAATAATGATATATTATGCCAAATTCTATAATTCCACAATTCCACTTCATAACAGAAGCATTACCCAATAACTTTCATAACTGTCAAAAACTCACAACAATAGGCAAAACCGAGTGTTTCTTTATCCTATATTTACTTTACGCAACAGTAAAACCATAAATAATCTATATGATCGCGCCTATACCAAAACCTACATAATGCGACTCAAGCGGCAAAATTCATTAATAACTATAGTAACCAACTGGAAAGTCGAATCAAGAAATGAAAGATAGAAAGAGACACATAAATGAATAGGGTTTGGTAAAGGTTTTAGGAAACCGGTCTAAAATCGATGAAATTAAGAAACTAAAGAATGGGAATGCGAGAAGGAGAAAAGTTGATGAAAGCTTACGGTGAGGATTTAGGAAAGGACGAAGGAAGAGGAGACGAGGAAATCGCGTTCATGGTGAACAATCTTGAGTTCGGATCCAAACCCCAAAAGCGTATATGGGCGAAGAAAGTTGAACGAATAGAAACGTGATTCTGAGGTGAACGTATTATATATTATTTATTGTAAGTTTGGTTTGGTTGGCGAAGTTGAATTCGAAGTTGAAGTTGAAGCCAAATCAACTCATAAGTCAAATACCAAACCGAGAATCAGTCCATGCTCCCCTTATAATGAAAGCAACGTTTACGTGTTCCAAATTTGGAGCACGCCAACCCACGTTTAGGTCCCTTCGTCCTTTCATAGAAATTTCTCACTTCTTTTTTCTGTTCTGTCCTTTTATATAGATTTCTTATCAATCCCATTTTCATATTATTTTTCTTAATATTTTATAAAAATTTAAAATAAAATATTCAATAATTTTTAAACATAAAATTACAGAAGCGTCAAATGAAAAAATAAATATATTTAATATCTTAAAAAGGTATTTTTTTAAATTTAATACCTTCAAAATTACTTTATTCTTTGAAAAAAATATTTAAGTCCTTGAAAATATAAAAAATTTCCTTTTGGGTTTTATTTTGCTGAAAGTGAAACTTGTCCGTTTTCTTATTTTATACAAGTATATTATTCCATTTCTCGGACATTAAGTAGGGTCAAAGGTCAAATTCATTTAGATATTCCATTATTGTAATTTAGTTTGAGGCTAAAATATATTTTAGATATCACACCTCTAAAGTGCATTAATAAATGTTAAATAAGATAATTGAAATTGTAATTATTGTGAAAAAAAAATTATACATATTTTGCATCTCTTCCTTCACTTTAAAAGAGTTAATCCATACATTTTAATGTCTATCTTTTGATTTTCTGCAGCCTAATCATAAAGTTGTCTGAAATTTCTTCATTTATTAAATTATTAGTCATGTATTTAGTTTTGCGTAAAATCACAACATTTTTTGGGTGCATATTCAAGTGTCTGTTCTTTGTTTTTTTTGCTCAACAAAATCATATAGTATCTTGTTGTGGGCTGGGTAGCTTCGGTTCTTTGTGTTTGGGCCGTGACTGGTCGCACTTTTGACCTTTTTCCTATTTTGGGGATAGATTTTAAAAAAAGGTGTTTACGAAAGAAATTCGGGTTCACTTAATAAGAAAGAAGGAAATTTGGGGTACTAAATTGATTCAAATGCGAAGGGTTAGTACAATTATGTGTGAAAGACTTTACTGTATTTATACGTGCATTGTGTATTTACTTAGTAAAAAAAATTGATATTTAAATATTGTTAATAATTTTGTTAAATAAATAAGTATTACAATTCATAAGTGAAAAAAGTTATTTTAATTTTCTACGAAGATATAGGACACATTAACTTTGTGGGTTTTTTTTATTTAAATATTGTAAATTTAAAAATAATTTTTTAAATTATAAATTTCTTAAAATTATTTTTCTGTCTGAAATGATTTGGTTGACGTGATATATTATTTTACTTAAATAACTGATAAAAATATTAATTTCTTTAAATAACAAATTTTGTCACCTAAAGTACGAAATAATCAGATTATGACAAGTGTAAGCATAAAAATTTTACAATATTTATGACAAAATTAAAAAGTTGTTGTGCATGAAAAATGAGAAACTTATAAATGGTGACATATATCACGATCTTAATGAGTTTCATCATAGAAAGTGAGAAGCTCTTAGATGGTAACAAGTGTCACGATTTTAGTGAATTTCATGATAAAAATTATACAACATACGGAAAGTTAACAAGTGTCACAATTTTGACCAATTACGCAAATTAACTATCAATTATTTTAATTTATTATAAAATTAAATATTTTTAGGTATAATGTTAGTTAATTTTGTTAGAATTTTATTATGTGATTATAATTTTATAATAAATTAAAATAATATATATTTAATTTGCATAATAAGTTAAAATCGTGACACTTGTCAACTTTCTGTAAGTTGTGCAATTTTTATGGTAAAATTCACTAAGATCGTGACACATGTCACCATATAAGAGTTTATTACTTTATATAGCAAAACTTATTAAGATGGTGAAACATGTTACCATTTACAAGTTTTTCATGGTGAAATTGCTTTTTATTTTTGTCATAAATATTGCAAAATTTTTTATATGCTTACACGTGCCGTGATCTGGTTATTTCGCACTTTAAATGATAAAATTTGTTATTTTTTTTAAAAAATTAATATTTTCACTAGCCATTTTAACAAAATAATATGTCATGTTAACTAAACTACCTAAGACAGAGAAATAGTTTTAAAAAACTATAAATTAAAAATATTTTTAAATTTATAATATTTAAATAAAAAGCCCAACTTGATATTTTATGTTGTAAAATAATTTTTTTAAAATATAATAAAAAATCAAGCGATACTTTTGGAACATAAATAAAAAGATTAATGGCTAAAACGTTTCTTATAATACAAGGAAAACAAATTGATTTATATCATACTATTATATTTTATTATATTCATATTTATAAAACAGGTAATATCTAAAAATATAAAATTAAAATGATTTTAAAAATAAATTTATTTAAAAAATATTATGTTTTCATAAGAATTGTTATTTATTAATATTTTAGCCATTTTTTCTTAATCGCTTTAATAAAATTAAAAAATATTAAATATATCAGAAATTATCAATTAGAATAATTGCAAAATTTTAGAGTATTTTTTATTAAATAAATTTATCGATCTTTCGTATAATTTTAGAATATTAAATAAAAAATGTAAAAATATAATAATACTTTATCTATTTTTGTCCAATTGTCTAACGACAAATAAATAATTTTATTTATGTGATCATATAAAAATTAAAATAATATTTTTATATTTATTATGTTTCTTATTCATATAAAATCATTTTTAGAATATGTCAAAAAATATATAATAAATATTTTTATCTTGTTTATTAAAAAAATACATAATAACGATTTACTAAAAATTATAATTTAGCATAAAATCTAATATATTAATAACTAAAAATTTTAATAATATTTATTATTTGTTAAAATTGTTATTATATCATAAAATTAATAAAATATTATCACTGAACACGTAGATTAATTAATTATAAAAGAATTAAAAATTTTAACAATTAATTAATTTCTCACTCTGAACAGTTAATATAACGAAGAGTATAAAATTAGGGTGATATGATAAATAAGGAATTGGGGGAAGAAAGAAGCATTGGAGAGTGGTGAGCGAAGGCATTTGCGATTAGAAATGGAAGGAGACAGTAACAGCAACAAAAGGGGTGAAGGAAGCAATAGCAGCTACACTCTGAAACCCTCACGAATATGCAACGAAGATATCATATTCTGCATCGACGTCGATCCCCAATCCCTGGTTGAGATGAAAGGGGCTACAGGTCCCAATGGCAGACCTCTCACTCGTTTGGATTCCATCAAACAAGCCATCATTCTCTTCGTCCATTCCAAACTCACAATCAATCCCCAACATCGCTTCGCTTTCGCTACTCTCTCCAACTCCTTTTCTTGGCTCAGGAAAGACTTCAGCGGCGAAATTGACTCAGCAATTGCAGCTATGCGAGGCCTTTCAGCTTCTTCTTCCACTGTCCAACCTGATCTCACTAATTTGTTCCGAATTGCTGCCCATGAAGCTAAGAAATCACGTCTGCACGGTCGCATTTTAAGAGTCGTAAGTCCTGTCTCTCCTCTATCGTTTCACATTTCTTGTTTACTGTACAATTCTTTGTTTCTATTTATATCAAACAAATAACTCATCAATCTCGATAAGAAGTAGACATATAGTGTCATTTTATCGATAAAACTTATACGATGTTCTCTAGTTCTGTTTATCAATTAAAATCGAAGTGTTATTTTAATAACAGAATTGTAGTTAACATTATTACAGGTTATGAAGGTAAAACTTGAAATTTGATTAGAGAACAAGACAAAAAAAAAACAAACCTATGATACTATGTCTTAAACTTTTTCCAATTGTATATTATATTGTATTCTAAAAATACTACAACACTAAATAGTTAAATTAATCACGTGTATATTAAATAAATGAATATATCCAGAATAATGCGTAACTGATCTGTTTACACAAATTTAAATTTTATAATAAATAAAGATTTATAATAAATTTATTAATTAATATATTTGAACAAAAAAAATAGTTTTTTTTATACATTGAACTGGAGAAAGTATTTTTTTAGTATGTAAATTTCTGCTCCTATTTAAGTTTTTTTATGAAGTGTTCTTTTTCTGTTCTCTTATAACTATATAAGAGTATTATATGACAAATATGGTTTAAATAGGAATGGTAATATACTCACATTTTTTGTTTAATCTGGTATAATGAATCCTAATATGCAATTATACTGCTCCATTCTAGATTCTATTCTACTGCAGATCAACGGTGCGCCCACAGCATCAGTGGCCAGTGAACCAGAAGCTCTTCACTTTGGATGTAATGTACCTTCATGACAAGCCTGGACCTGACAACTGCCCCCAGGAGATCTATGATACACTGGTGGAAGCACTTGAACATGTTAGTGAATATGAGGGTTATATCTTGGAGAGTGGACAAGGGTTAGCACGCGTTCTTTTCCGTCACGTGTTGATACTCTTGTCACATCCTCAACAACGCTGTATCCAGGAGTATGTAGATATACCCAAGTCAATTGCAAAGAAGACTCCTCAGGTGGAGCCAATGGCTACTGAAGATAGTGTCCCAGTATCCAGCCAATAAGAATGTAATTGCATAATTGGCTCTCTCTTCTCATTTAAATTGTTCGCTTCATGTGTGTGTAGAAGTATGGGTTCCTATATTTGCCAAAGATTTTAATGCTTTGAGTATTATATAACTTGTATATCCTGGTAAATTTCTTGCAAATCATGCATATCTTCAATGAAAAATGTTGGATTCACTGTCAATTTGTCAGTTCACGGGTGTTTTCATACTCTGTCAAAACTGACATTAAAATTCCTCTCCAGGGATGTAAATTTTCTGCCTGATGCTTGATTTCCCTTCGTTTCAAGTTTAGGAGCTGTAGAAATGAGTTGTACTTCTCCTCCCTCAAAGGTAATGGAATTGGTCATAGATTGCAAAGTTCAAGTTGGACCCTATTGTTACCATGTATTGCAAAGGTTGATACCAGCATGAACAATATTTCTTTGCGTTGGGATTATATTCCTACAATCCTTTTGTTCTCTGGTGAATGCCGTTTGGTGTTTTAAATCAGTGAATCAAATGTATGGGAAGTTTATTTTAGAATACATCATTTTTGTGATCGAAGGTTTACGCTTGGTAATGAAAGCAAACTGTGATTCTACGCGAGCTGATATGTGCAAGTGATTCTCTCTCTCTCGCTCTTGATGTATGCTTGTGCATGTGTGTCAAGCATATCTATAGACTAACTTTCTTTTACAATTATAGATAAATGATCAAAATTAAAAGTTTTTTAATAATTGCATAACCACTTTAAAATGTAACATAAGTTAATGCTTTAATTTTAACTATTTATAATTAGATCTAATGATTAATATTTATTTTTCTCATTTTCACGTTCAGAAATAATTCTTTTACTTGATGCATTCTGTGTATATATAAACCCGTGAACTTGTCAAAGAGATCGCCACGTAAATACAGGAGAGGCGGAGACAAAATCTGGTAATTTTTCGAATTTAATTTTTATACCGTAGTATATATTTTTAGCATAAAATTTGTTATTGAAATTAATTTAAGCATAAAATTAAATTTTTTAAATATTTTTTTACCTAAACCTAAAATAACTGGATTTTAATACTTTTTAAACTCATTTTTTATTATTGAATGACGGGTATTTTCTCTTTTATTCAATGGGTATTGTTTATTATGTAGTGGAATTTATACGAATGTCATCTTATAATAAAAAAATGTGTTAATGATATAGTCACATTTTTTCTTAAATATTAGATAATATCTTAATAAGAACTCAGACACCTGTTCTTATTATTATTATTTATATCACTACGCTTAATTTCTTGCGTGTAAACTTAAACTCACTTAAAAACTTTTATTTTTGGTGCGTCGTAGTAATAATAATAATAATAATAATAATATCACACCCCCACTGAATTGGTGATTAGAGAAAAAAAAAGCATTATTATTATTTTATACAATAATTATATTTTTAAACCTATAGTCTTTGATAACTATTTATTTTATCTTTTTTTTTTACAATATCATTTATTTTCATTCTCTTTTTTATCTTTTTTTTTTCTGTTTTTCTCTTCACATACTCCACATCCATTTATTAGGTGTGAAAATATAACCTTAATGCATACAAGAGTAACTGTACGTCGCTAGTTTAATAGTATTTTATTACTTACACAATCAATACAAAATATGATGCATACAAAATTAACTAAATTTATCATTCACAAAATAACAATAATAATAAAATTCAATATTTAGAGTGGACAGAGAGACATATGAAACCTATTATAAGACAAAGTATTACCAAGGGTTCTCAACCAATTCTATGAATTCAATCACTTACCCTCCTCTTAACTGCTTACATTTGCTCGATAACCATTTTAGCTATTTTTCCTTGTTTTCGTAGGGTAGAGTGAGAGCTACGGAGGTCAATATCAGCAATTAAGTGCTGAAATGTAGTTCCACTAGCTCGGCCAAGGTACTAATTATAGGATTTTTTTTTTTCTCCGGCCGATACTTATAAAACAAAAGCGTCAAGATCAGACATAATTAAGTTAATCCGTTGTTTCCTCATTATATGGACATTAATGTAACATGGATGAATAGTTCAACGGGGTAATAATTATGCCCAATAATAGTAGACCGTTGGCGATCTTATTTATTTTAATTTTGAGTTTTGTTAATATTAAAGTGTTACTAATTTTAATTTTAAGTTTTGTTAATCTCAGCTTTTAAAGTTGAGTTTAAACATATATAAATAAATTTTTTTTATAAAAAATACATAATTATTGTATTAAAATTATAAAAATATAATAAATATTTTTTTAATAAAATTTTATTATTATTAACTGTTTATTTTTAACTCTTTTAAGACTTAGATTAACCGACTCTTTAATTTTAGACATAGAAAGTCATACCCATTTAACTACTATTATATTAGAAGCATACCCTTACATGTCCCTTAAACCCAGCGTTGGGACATCCTAGTTGAATAAATAAGCATTAAAAAACTAGTCCATTATTGATTTTACGTAAGCTTATGTTTTAGCCCACAAGGAACCACGAAAGGATATTTATAAATTAATATTGCAAACAATTGCTATATATTTGGTTCTCAAATTATTGAGTGTGAGACTTAATTCATTCTTTTGAATATAATAAAGTACCGAAGAATGGGTATCTGCATATCCGCTGAATCTTCAGTGATTCATGGGGCGCCTGAAGAAGCTCGGGATGAAAATGTAACAGTGTTTAAAGCAAGCAATGTTCTAAGTGGGTCTGAGGGACTTTGCTCCGTTTACTCTAAACAAGGTAGCAAAGGACTCAACCAAGATGCTGCTACACTTTGTCAGGTATGTTTATTACAATGATAACATAGATCACATGATAACATTAGTTTGGTAAAAAATAAAATTTTTTGAGATATTATTTACCACAAGATCGCTTTCAATAATTTCCAATTATAATGAAACTACCTTCAACTAAATTGAGCAGCCATGCATACCGTGAAGCATATGAAATTATTGAACTTCTCTTTGTTACTTACTCCTTTATAAGGATTACGGGACGGAAGACGCAGCATTTTGTGGAGTTTTTGATGGGCATGGAAGGAATGGTCACATGGTGAGCAAAATAGTAAACACCCGTTTGTCTTCACTCATACTGAACCAAAAGAATCCAAATGTGAAGGTTGATACAGTAGAAGATGATTGGGGTTCAAACAGGAATTTTAAAGAATGGAAAGAAGCTATTACTTGTGCTTTCGGGGTGATGGACAAGGAGGTGAAACTACAAGAGAATATAGACAGCTCTTGCAGTGGAACTACGGCTGTTGTTGTCATAAAACAGGTAAACCAATTAATCGTAAAACTATTGATTCAACTTTTGCTTTGTGTAATGGAAACATAATGAAGATAAACAGGGTGAAGATCTTGTGATAGCTAACCTTGGCGACTCAAGAGCAGTCTTGGGGACAGTCTCTGACGGTGAAATCATACCTATTCAATTGACCACGGATATGAAACCGGGATTACCTCGTAAGACATTTTCTATGACTTGCATGCAGCTCTTTTACTGTGTTTGCTTTTTGGTTAGCACCTAAAATTAAGTAAATTCATTTTAACTATTCTTGTCGAGTCCGTTACTAAAACTAAGTAAATTAATTTAACCCCTAAAAATAAATAAAAATTGTAAATTACATGTGATCAAGTAACAGGTGTTTGTAATCGTGTATTGAATGAAATGCAGGCGAAGCCGATCGAATAAGAAGTTGCAACGGTCGTGTATTTGCTCTTAGGGAAGAACCACACATCCAACGAGTGTGGTTACCCAATGAGAACTCCCCAGGCCTAGCCATGTCTCGAGCTTTTGGAGATTTCATGCTAAAAGAGCATGGGATCATCGCTACGCCAGATATTTCGCATCACGCTCTCACATCCAGTGACCAATTTGTTGTGCTTGCAAGTGATGGGGTATGTGTTATTTCCTTACGATAGTTTTATTTTGTGCATTAACTTTTAAAAATGAGGGGTAAAAGATGAAACTTGCTTTTATTTTGCTTTGTATGTGCTTTAGGTGTGGGATGTACTAAGCAACGGAGAAGTTTCCTCAATTGTGTGGAAGGCAGATACCGAAAAGGATGCAGCAAGGGCAGTAGTGGATGCAGCAACCGCAACATGGAAACGAAAGTATCCTTCGTCAAAGGCAGATGACTGCACCGTGATTTGCCTCTTCCTGAAAAAGAAACCACTGCATGTTGTTGGTTTGACTGGATGATGAGTTCTTTTTATAATATTTTACTGTAATATCACTAATATTTAAAACTGTCTCATTATATGCCTCGATTACTGGCAATTGTGTGGAAAAGCAGCAAGTTCAAACTCTAAGTGTGATCAGTGAAATCCCAAACAAAAGGCCTTTCACTTCTCAATTCTATATTTCATAAAATTCTGTACAGAGATTTTGTTATCTATAGATATCCATATGGGACAAGTTCATCGGTTCATGTTAACACTAACTCCATGATCGGTAATGATATCCAATTGCTTTCAGGAAATAATCTCTTTTTTCCTTCAAGAAATGAACTGATTAAACACGCACTAAACTAACGAGATACTTACGACAATGTTGACCAATTGAAGCCAATACATCTGAATTCGAATGTATATCTTTTTCCTTCTTTTTTTAGTTCTTATTTTCATTTTCTCTACTTAACACGTCAATTTCCATTGTGTACAAAAATTGAAATGTCGCTCTATCCGTAATCTCGTTTCACAAAAGCTAAGAAAAGAAAAACGAGAAGGACGGACATAGCAAAAAGAAAAGAAGAATGTACTATATAGCCCTAGTCCCAAAGGGGAATGAGTCAATGCGAGATGTATCGGTATAGCTCCACCTAAGAGGGGAGAAAAACTTGCTGAGTGACAAGGCCACTTTACTTCCAGACTCAGGTTGCATCATTGACTGCATTCTCTCCAAGCAGGTTATCATCATACGATACAGGTATCCTTAACCTATCATGAACAGAGATAGGCCTTTCTGCAGAAGTTGCTGGTTCATGTTGATTCTGGGTTTGGGATGCAGGAAAATCACTGTCCAAAATATTGCCCTGATCCCTGCCAGCAAATGAAAAGGGCACTCCTTGAGAAGAATCCTCTTTCATTGGCACAGGTCGTTGCTTTACATTTGGCTGCTTGAATTGTTTCTGCATTTTTATAACCGTGATGAGAAATGACAAAAACAAAAGTAGTTATCACAAAGCAAAGAACAATTTGACGAGTTGGTTTCTCATAATTAATTACAATTGATAACAGTTGTCCTTTATAAGGGGAAACCATTGAACGAGAAGTTTTCTTTCTCCTATATTATGTTCATTCAACAAAATCTTCCTTTGGTTCATAACCCGTTCTTACTACAAACATGCAGTTGGGCTAAAATAATAGCAATCTTAGTTTTGTGAACAACCACACTGAGGCTTCTTGTTACCCTGCATGTATTTATTTACAAGAGCAGATGAGGTCATATTCTACCTCACTCAGTATCATAATCATTTCCCTCCTCTCATGAAATAAATATTATTTCCATATTTGTTGCCCCTTTTATGGGATCCTAGACAGTTCATGAACACCCCCACCAGACACTAAAAATAACCCTTCATTGTCACTGCATAAACGGAACATAACTACTTTTCTTTTTTAAAACGAGTATCACACTGAAAATTCAAAGGTTAATCACAAACCTCAAATTCCCTTGCTTTTTTCATTATCTCTTTGTAGACCTTTGGTTCTCTAACCTTTAAGATGCTCCACAATATGCCACCCCCTGTCCGGAATCGTCTACCATCAGCAGTTTTCTGGCCTCCACATGCTTGTATTGCATCCACCTGCAACCTCCATACATCATTATACAAGTTTACAACATATCAACTTGTACACACTAGAAAATAACAAAAGATAATAAGAATAAAAATGGGACATTTCAGTCTGAAATTTAAGTAATCATATCTCATCAATACATAATATACAAATAGTGGATATTATCTACTGTGATTCCATCAAAGCATAAGGCACATGTAACAAATAAGGCTTAACTGTAGCTTTTAGTCTTTTACTAATGCATGATTTACTCAAATTTAGTCCTATAATATTTTTTTATTGTTACAACCAAGTCCTTCAGTCAGTTTTTCTCTACCTAGAAACCTGAAATCCTCATTTTCTGCTAAAAAAATTAGGGATCTAGAATAGACTTGAGATCTTAAATAATTTGAAAGTTTTATAAGCCATAGATTTGGTGAAATTTTGATGAAATTTGAAGTTTGTAAGTAAGGTTGGTATTTTAAAGAGGGTGAAAAATTAGAGTTTTTCTGATCTTGGATCATTAAACTTGATGCTTTGATTGGTGGGTTTTGACTAGAAGGGGATTTAGAATAGTTTGACCAGTTTTGTTTGTAGAGATTTGAGTAGAATATGAGGATATGTAGGATTTAGATAGAGGGAGACTAACAGTAAGACTCAAGTGTAGCAATTAAAAAATTAAGGGAACATATCCATTGGGTGACCAAAATTAGTCACAGTAGAGGAAACAAGAGTGCTTGTAAACCGAAATATAATGCCAAAGTCAGTACATCAAATGGAAAAGGAACATATGGAGAGTAACTAGTCTTCATTGGCTATAATTTTACAAAATTTCAACCAAAAAGCCCCCAGTCCCACTGCTTAATAGTGTGCAGAAATCCTAGCATCCATACAGCTACAGATTCCAGCTAGAGATGCCCAAAAGTCAAAAGCTTTTCCAACAAAAGAAAACTAGAAGCACAGTTAAATACAACTTTCAGTGGGATTATTCCACATTTAGGTTTTAGGGTAAACCCAATTAAACTAAATGCTGGCCTACAAAGTCATTAAGAGAATGCCTGATAATGCCTAGTATGTTTACATTAAAATCTTAGCTGTACCATCAGTAGTTCCTTTATCTATTAGCTATTAGGTATTATCGTTTGATTGAGCAAAAATAAAGAAAGATACAATATTAAAAAGGGTCCTGCTAACCGGTACCCTGGTTAGCATTTGCCTATAAAAAACGAGATCATGTTAAAAGTGAAATAATCCTCCTGGCATTGCACTGTACATTTAGAAAGATCCAAATTTGCTTTGAAATTGTTCATTTGCTACATTGTGGGGAACAAAAATGACCAAGGACCTGTTTGTTTTCATTCCTTTATTTTATGGAAAAATGTTTCATAAACCTTAAAACAAGTTATTTTAGATTTTTTGTTCAGAAGCCAAAAAAGAAGTCTGAAAGAAGTTGTATCATAGAATGATTTTTTTAAGTTTAAACAAATGGACCCTTAATTGATAATCATCAGTTTCCTCTTCACCAGCCTAACATTGCACAGCTTAGTAATTTGATTGTGGGGATGAAAAAAGAAAACATTCGGTACATATGTATTATAAAAACTGACAACATGAAGCAAAAAATATGGACATCAACCTTCACTTTAGTAAAAAATAAAGTGGTTCAGCCAGGAACACTGAAGCTCAAGCAGAGAGTTGGAAGGAGCAAACTAGCATCAGGAAGAAAATCTGCAAGGTTAGGGACAAAATTGAACACATCAGAAATTATGACTGGCCATATGGTGCTTGAAAGAGTGGATAAGAACAACCAGGTCAAAGCTTGTCCAAATCTTGTAGAACCTTAACTCAACAACAGATGAACAAATAATGTGAACTCCCAACCATAGCCACATTCTCGATAAAGAAAGGAAAATAATTCACGAAAAAAACTATTTTTACAAAACACAATGCAGATCAAGTAGAAAACTAAGAGTGGAGGCCATTCAGCCAGCGAATGAAGCCAAGAATGGTAATATTCAGAAAGTAGCCCAATGACCATGTAAACCTTACAACATTTGTAAGATTAGAGCCAACGTTGTGGAAAGTTGCCATCACATGAGGAGTTCAAGTGTCTAAAATAAGACAAACTAGTAAATAAAGATCATTCTAACAACTGTGCATGGTGCAGAAAACTACACCTCAGAGTAATCCCATCAAACCAACACCAACATAGGCAATCAATCTTTAAGGACAACAAATTCCACATAATTGGGGGGAAAAAAAGGGAGGATTCACTACTCAGACTTATGAATTCAGTATAGGAGGACAGAGACAACTAGTAGGAACTAAGACAAGATGCAATGGTAAGAAATTTACTGAAGGGAGACTGCAAATTCCAGTACAATAATACAATTAAAAGTAAATCCTTTAGCAGAATTTGATGAAAGAAAAATAAGATGGTTGGGTTGGAAGATCCTATGGGTAGATAAAATCATATCAGTTGTTAAACTCTATCATCAATAGTATTCATGTCATATGATGCATTACTATTTAGCTAGTTCTTAAATTATTTTCCAATTTCCTAGTGGCCATGGTATTTCACATAAAAAACTTACAGAAGTAAAAACAAATACAGTAAGCTTGCTTATTAAACTAACTTGAGTGTATAACAAGGTTTCACTACCTCTTTGATGAGATCACTTAATGCAGAGACCCCAAGGCAACCTACAGCAGTGTATAGCATGTATGACTTTTTCTCTTTCAGACGTCGACATGTATCTAGCACAAATCTGAAAAACACAATTTGTTAGAAATTCAATCGTGCGGGCAAGAAAGATGCTAAAAATTTGTTAATGTCACAAACAGAAAAAAACCTTATACCCACATTTGATTTACTATGGGATTGAGAATTGTATACTATATGGCTTAGGATAGCAAAAGAGTAGCAATCAATGCTTCAAATTCTATTGGGTCAAAATGTAAATGAGCTTATTAAGTCATCAGCAATGCTTCACGGATTTACTATTGGATAAACCATGATTTAAATAATTGCAAAATTGTTATCAAATCAAAAGACAATTAAAAAAAAATCATAATTAATTATGAATCCAATTATCCTACATAATAAAATGTAAAGAACCACAAAAACTAGTAACTATTATGCACAACTGCAATGTTAGGTCTAATTTCAATTGCAGTTTCCAAATTTTGGGGCTCGGTGTTCCTCATTAAGCACCAGGTGGAGCTCCACCTCTTCCCCAACTATGGCTTTTCCCTTGGCTTTAGCATCACTTGTACTTCCATTATCTTGAGATCAGGGGAGAAGTTAGTGTCATTCCTTTCACTCAGACCATCTCTGCCTCTAGGTTAAACAGGGAGGAGAGGACAACATGGAAACAAAATAGGACAACACTGTTGCACGAGGTAAGAGGAAACAAAGAAGAAACAGCAAAAACGAATGGCCAAAGGGATCAGAACTGCATGTTCCAATTGTTTCTGAGCTGGTGATTTCAGTTCAGGGGAGACTGCAAAGCAGAGAGCTTTGAGCAGAAATTGGATATGAGATGTATCAAAACATTGTCTTTTTGGTGGTTCCACTGTCATTTATTTGAATGACATTTGTGAATAATGAGTACCATACTCCAATAAAAAAATAATTACAATGGTTTACTACACCTTAAAACTTAGGCAGTATAAGGCACATGAACTAAAGTTAAGAGGTTAAATCATATTTCACCCAAAATGAATCCATTTTTCTTATTGGGAAGAATGTTAAACCTGTTTATATCCACAGGATTAGATCCAGAACTCTTCCTCTTTCTCTTATTCTTCTTCTTGTTATCCCTACGCCTGTGGTTTCTGCTGTTAGGTTCTTGATTTGCTTCATTGATATTTCCAGCACTGCTTTGTACCAAAACATTTCGGGAATCAGGCTCCACCAACTCTCCTTCTTCAACATCAACCATGTCAACATCGTCATCCACATCATCGAAGTTATCCTCCTCATTTATGGCATCTAAAATGTTGTCACCGTCCTCCATTATGAAACCTGCATTCAGAAGCCATTGTCAATAAATAGATGGTGCGCAACACATCCATGATGTACACATAAAAACACAGTTATAAGAAATAAAATACAAAAACTATAATATAAACTACAATAAACACAGAACTAAAAACTAACAAGAAAGTTTTCACGTCTAAAAGAGAAAAGCAATATCCATTCAAACCCTAACGGTATTCAACGAGCAAGTTAGAAACTATTGAATTTAAAAATCCGGGGAGCACAAAAGGTTCGTACACAGAAGAGAAACGAAATTCAATGAATTGGAGTTTACTTACTATGCAAGTGCAGAGGCTGAGGAATGAAGCAGTATAAGGTGTGAAGTGAGAGTAAACAATGCTCGCATGGGTTCTCTCGAATGCATGGAAACAACTAGGATATCGAAAATTATGCATTTACTTGTTACAAAAATAAACGTTATTTCTTTAAATTAAGATAAATAAAACTGATAGATGTTAGGGTTAATTTTTTATACATACAATTTTAAAAAAATAATATCAAAATATAATATTTTAAAAAATTACAGATGATTATAAATCGTCACTAACAATTCTGAGTGTAATTAATATAGAATAACAAAAAGTTACTAAATTTTAAAAATTAACACGAGCGAAATTTTAAAAATATTTAAAAAATTAAAAATGATTATTAACAAATTTTTAAAAATAAAAAAATTTCATTTTAAAAAAACTCATACTTTTATAATTTTTTAAAAATTACTGTATTTTGATTATTTTTTTATTTTTTTTAATATAAAAAATTACCCTAGATGTTATCCCCACGCCATAATGAATTGACCTAAGTCCTTAATTGATTAATTTTATCGTCTATCGGCAGTTATGGATTTAATATAGAGATTTTTTGGTTCAACTTTTGTGTGATATTCAAGTGAATCATTAGTATAAAACATAGAATTTGTTTTCCTTTATTGGTTGATGGGGTATGGTCTTTTTCGTTAATTATGTTTACGGGCATATATTTGCCTTTTTCAAAGAAAAATATTACTTTTTCTTTATTTTCCTTACGTCAAATAGACAATAATTTACTATATTTTGATAATTTTTTACTTCGTTTATACAAATATAGTATTTTAATTTTAAAAACATAGTCATTTAAATTTTTTATTTGAGTCAATTCTTTTGCCTTTTTTTCATTTTCTTTCACTGGGTCTTGCCTTACACTTTTTTTTATCTTCTACAAATTTAAAATTATTTTTCTTTTTTTCCCCTCAAAATAGATGTTTTCATACACTTAAGTGGTGGTGTAGAAAAACAAGTGCCACATAATATTGATTAACGGTAAGGAGAATACCATAGTTGTGATAGTTTTTGTTTGAGCTTGAAATGTTATGACTAAGGATGTGGTAAAAATGTGGGAGTAATGGTCAAAATTGTCTATAACAAAATCAAACATGGTTAAAAGAGAAAATCCATTTAATTGACCTAAATTTAAAGGAAAAAATACAAGACTTTAAAATCTAGATCATTTGTATTGCCATTTACAATTAATCCAAATTTATATAGATAGGAAAAAACAATATATATATATTCTTATTTATTTAAAAATCTATTTATCGTTCATATTCTTTGTTTTAAAAATAAAACAGAGAATATGAAAACAAGTTGATCTACGTTTAATTAATTTATTCAGTAATCGTCGATGGTGGCAAATTCAATGGAGTCAGTTATAGTGATCCTGCTACTGTGAAAAAATATGCTAGACATGCTCAATTAGGTGAAATTTTTGAATTAGATCGTGCTACTTTGAAATCAGATAGTGTTTTTCGTAGCAGTCCAAGAGGTTAGTTTACTTTTGGACATGCTTCGTTTGCTCTACTATTCTTTTTCAGACACATTTAGCATGGTGCTAGAACCTTGTTTCGAGATGTTTTTGTTGGGATCGACCCATATTTGGATGCTCAAGTAGAATTTGGAACATTCCAAAAACTTGGAAATTCAACTACGGTGTTTATACAAGATTCCTCTTTGACAACGAGGAGTTTATAATTAGGTCGTAATTAATTTGTTTAATCGTAACAAAAGTAATTGAAATTGAGAATTTTTTTTTGACAGTTTGTTAGAATTTTAGGAAAAAATATATTATAAAATAAAATTGGATTGTTTTGTTGTAGCATTTTTTTTTATAACTTCTTGTTGATATTTGATAATAGTTAGGTGACGTGAGAATGAAAATTAAGTAAACTAAAGTAATTAAAAACATGGAAGTTTCACTGTTAGAATTGATAAATGATAACTACATACAATATTAAAGTATATAACAAGGAATGCAATACAACGGCAAGAGTAAAAGCTAAGTAAAACAAATCAAGACTTGTAAGGGAGAATAGATCGAAGAAACAAAAATTCAAATGTTAATTAAATAAGAATAATTGTAATATCTTCCAATAAAGACAAACTCTGCGAGATATTACTATTATAGGTGATAAATTTTTTTAAAAAAATAAGCGTGAAATTTTATTATTATTTATTTGTTATTTTAATGATACTATATCTATTATATATATATATATATATATATATATATATATATATTCATTTGTTGATTAAAGTCTTTCTTAATTTTATCGTTACATATTATTCAAATACATGTTTGAAAAAAATATATATGTGCATATTAATATTTAAATTAAAATATTATATATATATATATGTGCGCGTAAATTAAAAAATATATATACAAGACATTTTATCATATTAATTTTATAAATTTTTATATTATAAACAGTAAACATTAATATAAAAACTAATGTTTAAATTGTAAAAAAAAATTACATTTTTATTACGTTTGTGATAGATTCAAGTGTAATTAATCATTATTAAATAACATAAAGATTTTTTATTAATAGATTACAGGGATAAAAACATCCTAGTATCATGTAATTTGAAGGCTTTTTTACACAAATAAAAAAAAATATTATTCCTTAAATATCTTTAAAAGAAAAAAATTATATAAATATCCTAAAAGTACATGTAACATAAGCAATTTAAATCAAATTTTATTTTAAAATTTTTTACACATAAATCGATTTAAATCAACTTTTACTATAGGTATAATTTTTTTTACATAAAAGTCGATTTAAATCGACTTCCATTTTATTTTTGAAATTTTTTACACAAAAATCGATTTAAATCGACTTTCGTTTTTGTTTTAAAATTTTTTACACAAAAGTCGATTTAAATCGAGTTCTATTATATGTTTAATTATTTTTATATAGAAGTCGATTTAAATCGACTTTTATTCTGTTTGTAAAATTTTTTTACACATAAGTCTATTTAAATTGACTTCTATTTTATTTTTATATTTTTTATATAAAAATTAATTTAATTCAACTTTTATTCTGGTTTCAAAATTTATTTACACATGATTTAATTTAAATTAAATTTTACTCACACATAAATATGTTTTAGAAATAAGTCAATTATAATTAACTTTGTAATGCATAATTAAAGTTGATTAGAAAGAAGTCTATTATAAATAAATAAAAATTTGTCATGTGATGATAAGAAAATTTTGAAATTAAGTGTAAAAATTAGAGTAAGATGATAACATTTATTAGCAATTGTTTTGTATATTTGTTCTTAAACCTCACAACAAATTTTGATACAATGTGTTGCACACAATATGCATAATATATATACTGAAAGTATGTCACTAATTCCTTATAACTTTTAGAGCTAATTTAATTGCATGATAGAGATTGGGCTGGAGGTCGACAAGAGCAAGACAGGAAACCATACAGTCGACTACTAGCAAGAATAAGGAAAAAGATAGTAAAAGTTCAAGGGATTCATACTCCAGCGAAAACTATCAATTAAAAAGAAGATCGAGTAGTGGTAGTTAACCGGGGAGGGAGCAGCTCATCAACTCTAGAAGCTACAAGGAACGAGTGACATCCCTCAGCATATCATGCATATTGTGTGTAGCACATTGTGTCATTGTATTAAATTTTGTTGTAAGGTTTAAGAATAAATGTGCAAAACGATTGCTAATGAATATTATTATCTCACTCTAATTTTAACATTTAATTTCATTTTTTTTCATCCTTAAATGATAAATTTTTATTTATTTATAATAAATTTCTTTTTAATTAACTTTAATTATGTATTACGAAGTTAATTATAATCGACTTATTTCTAAAATATATTCATGTGTAAGTGAAAGTTAATTTAATTTAACTCATGTGTAAATAAAATTTGAAACTAAAATAAAAGTTAAATTAAATTAATTTTTATATAAAAATTTAAAAATAAAATAGAAGTCAATTTAAATCGACTTTTGTATAAAAAAATTTTAAAAGCAAAATAGAAGTCGATTTAAATCAACTTTTATATAAAAATAATTAAACTTATAATAGAAGTCGATTTAAATCGACTTTTGTATAAAAAAAAATTATACCTATAATAGAAGTCGATTTAAATCAACTTATATGTAAAAAATTTTAAAATGAAAGTTGATTTAAATTGACTTATGTTACATGTACTTTTAGATATTTACGTAATTTTTTATAATAATTTTTTTTATTTTATTTATATAAAAAAGCCTAATTTGAGAGACATATAATAATGCATTCTTATTATTTAATAACACGGAAAAATGTATCATCAAACCTAATATTAGAGAATGATTATTATATTTCTACACATCTTTTTATATGTATTTATTTACTACATACTCATTATATTTTTTATTTTGTATCCTTTCTATGATCACTTGACACTCGTCCAAAGTGTGTTAAATTACATTTTTTGTAACAATTTTATTTCACAAATATTACAACAATATCACATTCATTTAATGTTTTGTTTCTTTGTTCTTTTACATTTTATCGCATATATCAATTTTTTATGAGTGTATAAAATTTTATACATAATATATATATATATATATATATATAACATAATATAATACTTTAATAATATTAAATACTATAATTTTAATTAAAACTTACTGACTTTTTTACATACATTAAAAAATTATATTTATTATTTGTTTACCTTTTATTTTCTACTTATTTTTAAATATATATACTTAATGATACTTATATTAATTATTTTCTTTGTCACATATTAGATATCATATAAGTATTATTTTTATTTGTCTTAAATTTATCACTTTAAAATATTAAAAATTGTTTATTAGGAATAGTTTTTTGTTAAAATAACAGTTAAATCAACTATTACTTAACTACTCCAATAAATTTAGTATTTTTAACAGAAAAAAAAAAGAATTATCTTTTGAAGATGCGTCTAAATGATATCTACTACGAAACAAAAGAGTAATTTGCTTTTGAAAATGGAAGTCCTTGAAATGGGAATTGTCCTTTGTTAAAGTAGTTAAAGAGTGAAAGTGGGAGTTAAACGGGGAAAAAGTCATAGAAGGGCAGTGGGGCCTACAACGAAAGAAGCCTTAAACGACACTCAACTAGCTATCGTTCCCCAATTAATAAATACATGATCTCATATTTTAAGATACAAGACCGGAGGAGGAGGTTGCCCTTCTATTTTCTTCTTCTTCTTCCCCAACAATGGGCATCGACCGTTTTCTGATCCTCTTTCTGGTAGCCACCCTCGTCTCCGGTCACGGCGACGATCTCATCAGATTGCCCTCCCAAGCTTCCAGATTCTTCCAACCTCCTTCTGTGGAGGAAAATGAAGAGGGCACGAGGTGGGCCGTTTTAATTGCCGGTTCCAATGGCTACTGGAATTACAGGCATCAGGTCATTTCATACCCCTCACCTTCTTTCCATCGTTATTTTCTTCCCACTTCTTTTTCTTTATCCTTAAGAAAACTCCCTTTCACTCTTTTACTTTTTTTTTTGTGTTTGGTAGGACGCACACATTGAATTGTTCCATTATTTTTTTCCCCTTTTAAATTTCTCAGCTAATTTTTTTTTCTTTTTCATCCGGTTCATTTCTAAGTAGTTCATTCGTTTAGATTACTCCTAGTCACTTGATTCTGAAGGTAAAGTTGTGAGTATTGACTTATAATCCGTGAGTATTTACATCATATGGAATAGTCCTATGCAGAATATGCACCGCAATTAAAGCCTGGAACAATTGATTATTTGTGTTAAGTGGTTGATTTAAGAGCAAATTTCATTTTTATTGCATGTAGTTCCAGACTTTCTTAATTTACTCCCTATATGTATATTTTTTATGTCACTAAACCCCATGCAATGCTACTTTTTTTTTTCTATCACTTTATACCATGTGGGGTTTACTGACAGAAAAAAAATTATAATTTAGCCTAATTCTAACGCTGGCTGATGAGCTTTTGTCGTTTCATCAGTCTGATGTCTGTCATGCGTATCAACTACTGAGAAAAGGAGGCCTAAAAGAAGAAAACATCATTGTATTTATGTATGATGACATTGCTTACAACGAAGAGAACCCCAGGCCTGGAGTCATCATTAACAGCCCACATGGAAATGATGTTTACAAAGGAGTCCCTAAGGTCTGTTATCTTACTTTTAGTTTAGGTATCCCATATCCTGCTTCTAATTAAAGCTTTATAGTCTTGTAATATGGAGTTTGTTATGGCAGGATTACGTTGGTGAACATGTTACTGTTAACAACTTTTTTGCTGCTATACTTGGAAATAAGTCAGCTCTTATTGGTGGCAGTGGGAAGGTTGTGGATAGTGGTCCAAATGATCATATATTTATATACTACTCTGATCATGGGGGTCCAGGAGTGCTTGGTTAGTAGTTCTGAATCCTTTCGCCGAAACTTTCTAATGAAAATCATTAATTGTGTATGTTGTTTGTATGCATTTCGGCATGATATGAGCCTTCTTTCATCAGAAAATATATGCAGTAATTTGGCAAATATGTTTCCTTTTTCTTTGGTGGGTTGATTATGTGGGTTTTTGCTGGATTGTGTTGGAGTAGAATAAACGCTTGTTAGAAATTTTAGCATCACCTATAACATAGTTTTCACAAACTGAAACTTCTGTAATTGTCTACATTCTAAGTTAAAACTCTCTTTAACCGTCAAGATGAGCACAATAAGCTGAAAACATTAAACTCTTTAAGTGATGTTAGGATAATGGTTTAAGAACGACAATTGACATCTTTAAAATTTCATACCAGCCTTGGATTGTTGTTTAAATAAGCATCTTAGTATTATACAACATAGTTGAATAGTGTAACATATTTGTGGGTTGATTTCATGCTATATTATCTTATTACCTAAACATATTTTCATCAAATAGTTATATTATACCTTGACCATGTTTGATGCAACCATTTTTTTAACAACAATAGCTTCACAAATGTTCTAAATAAAGTCTTATTTCTGTTTATTTAGTACTTTATTACTTCTTCCATATGTGGGTAGTGTGAAGGGTAAGAAGTTCTTCCCTCACCAAAAAAAGAGTAGGGAAAAAAAATGGAACAAAAGAGAAAGAGAGGGAAAGTGAAGTGGGAATACATGGTCTTCAGTGTCAGTCCTCATTATCCATTTTGTGTGGATCAATAAAATGATTATTACAATTATTGGTAATTCTTCTAGTAACTTTTTGTTTTGAATTTCAGGGATGCCTACTAATCCGTACATGTATGCATCTGATCTGATAGAAGTCTTAAAGAAAAAGCATGCTTCTGGAACATATAAAAGCCTAGTAAGTTACTAGTAATCATCATCTGCTTAATGTTTTTATCAGCCTTCATTCAAATTATTTATTTACTAATTCTTAATATTTACAATTTATGTAACAATGGTGCAGGTATTTTATCTAGAGGCATGTGAATCTGGGAGTATCTTTGAAGGTCTTCTTCCTGAAGGTCTGAATATCTATGCTACGACTGCTTCAAATGCAGAAGAAAGCAGTTGGGGAACATATTGTCCTGGGGAGTCTCCTAGTCCTCCCCCAGAATATGAAACCTGCCTGGGTGACCTGTACAGTGTTGCGTGGATGGAAGACAGGTAGGATTGCATGAGTGTAAAAAGGAAACATGTTACCTTGTATTATTTATTTGGTACTTGATCCTAAATGATTATAAAAGTATATCATGCCATAAAATAGATATATTGGATGCAAAACTTATGCTTTTGTTTCTTGTCCTTAACATTTTTTTATGATTAATGTAAGGTCTTTTTGTACTGATTCCCCCCCCCCCCCCCAAAACTCTTTAACAGTGACATACACAATTTGCGAACAGAAACTCTACATCAACAATATGAATTGGTAAGATCCTGTTGCTAACTTTTTTTTACTTAATCAATCGGTATAAACTGAAAAATGTTTTTTGTCTGTTTTCATTTGTTGGGGTCACTCGAGGTTGAGGGTTTTTCAAATGTGTGATAGATGTTGTCTTAATCATATGCTCACAGGTTAAAGACAGGACTCTCAATGGAAATTCACTTTATGGTTCCCACGTGATGCAGTATGGTGACATAGAGCTTAGCAAGAATAATCTCTTCCTATATTTGGGTACAAATCCCGCTAATGATAATTTTACTTTTGTGGATAAAAACTCATTGGTGCCACCTTCAAAGGCAGTCAACCAACGTGATGCGGATCTCGTTCATTTCTGGGATAAGGTATCATGTTTGAAACGTGGTTTTACTTTATTGTATGAAATAATTGCTTGTTCCCAAAATTTAAATTGGTGTTGTATACATTCATAGCTGGGAGACTTTTCTTATTAAAGAGAACCACAATCCTAATAAAACATTGCTGAAATTAGTATCATGCAGTGAGGATATATGATAATGGGAGGATATACTATTCACCATTTAGTATTGAGAGTTTAAGTGTAGCATCATGTTTGGTTTGTAGAATGGTATGCAATAAGAATTTCCATTGATTCCATTCCATTTATGAAACAATTGAATGCCATCTCATTCTTGAAGTTGCCAGGCTTTAGACTGGGATTCCACGGAAACACACATACCTTGTACCAAATGTGCCATAAGAGTTTATGTATTGAATTCCATTAACGAGATCTTTTAGCTATTTGAACACAGCAGGTCTTTAACTAGCTAAATAAGTAATCTTTCAAGAGATAGTAATAGAATTAAATGGATAAGTATGGAAAAGTTGTGTGAATCCCATGCCTGTATGCAAGATGAGTGAGAGTGGTCAGTAGTTCTTTATTTCTTGAAATGTTGGTAATTGTCATTAATGTAATTCTAAAACTACAAGGAAACATGGGTGTTTATCACTGTTGTTTATTTCTTCTTTAAGCCATTCTTTTTGTTTATTAGTATTATATTCTATCTTCTTGACATCCTTTTACTGCTTTGCCAGTTCCGCAAAGCTCCTGAGGGTTCTGCTAGGAAAGCTGCGGCTGAGAAACAAGTTCTGGAAGCAATGTCTCACAGAATGCATATAGACAACAGCGTGAAACTTATTGGAAAGCTCTTATTTGGCATTGAAAAGGCTCCAGAAGTGCTAAGGAGTGTTAGACCTGCTGGGCAACCCCTTGTTGATGACTGGGACTGCCTTAAAACACTGGTACCGTTTCCCATGATTCCCTTCATTGAGTTTGTTCTCTGTTGCTGAAAGAATATGAAACTTTCTAATATGCACCCTAGAACTGAGGGTGCATTCATCATTCACGCACCTTTAATTTATAGTCATTAATTTGGCATGAAAAGGCATCCACGATTGGTGATAGAAGGTAAAAAATTTAGGTGAATGGAGGGGTGGAACTAGGTTTAGTGGTAACACCACCCCCCCAAAAAAAATATTTATTTTATATGTATTAAAATAGGGCTGATTATCAAGAGGCAATTATCACACAACTCATAACCCTATGCTATCATGTTGCAAATGCCAAATGTGTTACACGAGATGAAATTTCTTAGTAGGGTAGAGTACTAAAGTAAAAGTAGACACTAATAAAATTCTAAATATCCGCCATCTAAGACTTGTTAAGCCTGCCGTTGACATTATTTATAGCTTAATTTATTAGAAATTGAATATGCAGAAAACTTTAGCCCATCATGCTTATTTCTACTTGACTCACTTTTAGTCTTGGATATGATGCTAACTAAGTACAAGATAGATTCAAATTGACCAAGGTTATTCTTATTTTTCTTTCTTTCAAATTATGCAAAAGAAGTACTTCTACATTGACCTCCAATTACTTATAAGAAAACTTGGGATCAGCTCAACTTTTATCGAAGTTATTCAAATTGTTTTGTAAGTTATATTTTTATAGGGGAAAAAAGAGAGTAAAGTTTATTTTGATTTATGAGAATTTAAATAGACCCCTAAAGTTCAAGTTGTTATAATAATTTTCTCATTTTTTGTTATACTTGGAAAGACAAAATACTAACTTGACAAAAATAAAATAAAATTATTACCCTTAAATAAAGTCTTAGATTTGAATTTTGTGTGCAGAAAATTTTTTGGTTAAGAAAAATAGTCCCATAATGCAAATTTTTAGTTTGAATAATTAGATTTGAGTTTTGTGTGCAGAAAATTTTTTGGTTAAGAAAAATAGTCGCATTATGCAAATTTTTAGTTTGAATAAAATTATCTTTCATAAAAAATACTTGTAATTAAAAAAAGAAAAAAGAAATTGGTCAGTATATTTTAATTTTAATCTTTATATTTGTTCCTTAAAAAATAAAGTGCCTAGCTCCGCGGCCTCCGCCCCTCGGTGATGGATGCACCAATTCAAGAATGATGCATCGTGGAATTTGTCAAGAATATGATCGAATCATTGCTTTCCTGTTCGCTACTAATCCTCTACTTGACATAATTGCAGGGAGATGTTAACAAGCCTCCTACAGTTTATTCTTCCAATAAATGATGTTGTATTCGAACCAGAAATTAACATTCATTTCGAGATTGCAGTAAAGCTTTTGATTTGTGAGTGTACGGTGTGTCTTAATCTATTGTTTTTGCAGGTTAGGACTTTTGAGACACATTGTGGGTCCCTGTCTCAGTATGGGATGAAGCATATGAGGTCCTTTGCAAACTTCTGCAACGCTGGAATACAGAAAGACCAAATGGCTGAGGCCTCAGCACAAGCCTGCGTCAGTATTCCTGCAACTCCCCGGAGTTCTCTGCACAGCGGTTTCAGTGCATAATTCCTAAAATGCGCTCCATTAAAGACCCGACGTATAATCATTGTGGCATTAGGCTTAATCGTTGTGTGAAATTTATTTGCTGTACCTTGGTCATGATTTCTTATACAGACTTTGTAAATACAAATGGGACGCTGGGGGGTGCCTCTTTACATTTTAACCTTGTGCAAACTAGAAGCTGTAACAAAGGCATTTTACTTGAGGAGAGATAGTGGAACCGCCTTCATAAGGGCCCTTGGAACTTACAATATGACAAGGCACAATGGTTTGTATGTCAATGCTTTATTGTACTTAGTAAAATATATTTTAAAATCTATAATTGCAGGTTACAATATAGAATAGCACGCAAATAACAAAACATCTGCTGATGAAGTCTACTTAGACGTTAGCCACTAAAGACTAATTTAAAACTTCTAAAAGTATAAGAATAAAACGTGATTTAATCAAGCTATTTTAATGTATTTTATTTAAGAAATACTGAAGGTTTAAATATTTATTTAAATGTTAGATAAAAAAATGGATTTATGAAATTTATAGAAATCTAAATTAAGCATATGATACCGATGGCCAGGATTTAATGGAGTTGATCAATACGTAGCGTAGGTACTAGATTCAAGTAATCAAGTTTAGGTTTTATTTTTATGATATACGAAACAGGATATTCCCAAACAGAACTGTCGTGAAACCAAATCCACAGTTACTACTTTCCAGGTCGTGGATAACCAATGCTTTGGTTGGTTTTACACTAAACCAACCTAAGGACCAGGTTAACTAACCCCGGTTAACTTCTCACACCCTTACCTGACCTGACCTAGTCCCATAAATATCATTTCTTGGCGCGGGAATGAGATGAACTCGAAAGAGAAAAAACAAAAACATATTGAGAAATTTTAATTAAGGTTTATCTTTAAAATTTTTAAAAATAAATATGTATTTTAATATTATATTAAATAATACTGCACAGATTTTTATAAACTATGCTTAACCCAGAATTATTCAAATATATAAGAAATAAGAAATAGGGAGCACTTAACTTGATAATAATAAAATTGGGATCTGACGACTGTATAGATTCCGTTAATGTAGTTAACGTCGTGAGAGAGAAAACAATAACAGCGCAAGGGCAAAGATGAACGCCGTAACGGGGTTCGTAAGAGGAGACCGTGAAAGGTTTGAGGAAAGGCGTGGGATTGTTGATCTACGGTCATGAACTGAGGAAGTGAACGGTTGGCGCAAAGGAGTGTAGTATAAGATGTATATAAACACCTCCTTCAATGGAAACACACCATTTCGTTCTATCGCAACAAGAACCTGCTTCCTCTTCTACCCTCCTCTTTCTTCTTCTTCTTTTCTCTTTTCCATTATCTTCCACAACTCTCTGCTCCGCAATTTACAAGGCTAATTGTGATAACTGAAACTTTAATGTTGAGGATCTGACACTTCTCAAGATAGAATGAGGTTTAACATTTAGAAAGAAGGCCACAATTTCTGATTCTTCTTTTTTGTTTTGGCCCCGATATGAGATAAGCTTTTTTTACATCGAATTCGGTTTTTTTTTTCCCCTAAATATTTTGGTCTCATTTTTTGTTTTCAGATGCACGTTCGAAGAGTAGTTGCTGGAGTCTGTCGGAATTTCATTGTAAATTTTCGAGTGAATTCTGTTCTGAAGATTTCCTTCGTTCATTGTTTCATTTTTGGCCTCTTTGCTAAGTTATTCGTGGTTTCCTGGGCTTTTGCAGATACATTTCTCTTGAGAAATAGAAGGATTTTGGAACTGTCTGGTAGTTCTAGATTACATAGACGATCGTCGTTTCCCTGCGTTAATAGCTATCATCGCGGATAGAAGCACTCAAATGTCATTATTAGTTGAGTTTCACAAATAGATTTGCATTTTGAAAGCTTTAGAACTGAAATTCGGACACTTTCCCAGTTTTCCTACAACGTGGGACTTGAGTTTTAGCAGAACCGGATTTAGGTGAGAGAGACTAATGTACTTCATCAAAATTACAACTAAATAATTGATTCTCATCACATCCTTGAAGTCTTCGCCGCATCAGTTAATTCAGTTTCGATTTTCATTTCTGCTGGCTATACTTATCGGATTTCTCTTTGCTGTCTCATTTCCTGCAGGAAATTGAAAAATCTTCTCCTTTTCTCTTTCGGTTACCTTAGTTTCAGAAGGAGTTAATCGCTCGACAAGTGTAACTTTTTTAAGGTAACACATTCATTTTCATGGCTCCTTACAGTTTTTTGTCCGCTTTCTGGATCTCTTTCCCTTAACTCATAATTATGTTGCTTTTCTTTTTAATCTTAATCGCTTACAATATAATACCATGCCTTATGTCCCTCCCTGCATTTCACAGTTTTTGGATCTTCTTCCTTTCACAGTTTGTGAGGCCCTGATTTGGTTTGAGACTAAAACCAGCAACCCAGAGAGTGAAGGAAGCCGATTCCATGTTTAGTCATGTAATTGATTGGTGGTTCTAAGTATTTGAAAGGACGAGAGGCATTTGAGTAGAGCCTTCCAAGACCAGTTCAATTGATTCCTTTACGTTTTTTTCCCGACATTGTGTTAGCTGTCAAAACATTCAAGTTCTTTTTCCATGTGCAAATTGAATCTTAAGATTATATATCTCATCTTAAAGAATTTCATACTCTTCGGTTCTCCCTCTCGTAATTGTCATCGTCCAATTTTGTCTTGACGCATGCTCACGGCGCACAATTCCCATGGCTTGTCGGAAATCGTGGGCCGTCCGATGCACATCCTGTTATCTTTTACCTCGTTCGTTTGATTATAGTACACATAATATGATGTAACCTAAGTTAAAAATCGGATGTGGATGAGACCGTGAGTAATGACTATGTGCCATGGTGGTTGTCGTGGAAGCCAATTTCAATTTCAGTTTCAATTTGTTAGATGAAAATGTGTTAATATTTTTAATAATTATTGGGTTAATTTATCTTTTCAATGATGATGACGGCAGGCACGGGTGCTAGAAGGGAAGGGCAAGGAGATGGAGAAAGAGTCAGTTATTCGGAGCAACAACAACATATGTAGCGTTAGAGAGAAAAGTGGAGGGGATGGGTCGTTGCTGTTGAGGGGGAGTTCAGAAAGCACTCGGCAAACAACGACGTCGGATTTGGTGCTGCAGTGGGGAAGCCGGAAGCGGTTAAGGTGCATGAAGGTGCAGGTCAAGGACGACTCTTCCGGCCCGGTTCAGAGGACTACGGTTCGGGTCGATCGTCGGGTCGTTAGAACCGATAAGGATTCTTTAAATAAGCCCACGTTTGCTCTCAATAATAACAACATTGGACACACTCATAATAATAATAGTAACGGGTATCCAAATCTCCGTCAACGACCGTCTTCGCCGCAACAACGAATTCTCAGGTAACTACTGAATATTATTTACCCTTTCTGTTTTTTTTCTGCTTTAGACGAATGAATGAAATTTGGTTTAATGTTTTTATTTTTTTTATTCCTTCTAACTGAGAGAGAGGAGAGCGGATACCCCACGGGTTGAGATCTGAGATGAGGGTAATTTGGCTGTATGGCAATTGGCAAGATTCTGGACTTTATACAAAAATAGGAGGAAAATACGATATTTTTGTTTTGTCTTTAAAAATAATTAAAATCGTTACTTAAAATTAAACCTTGATCTTCTTTTCTTTCTTTTTCTTTTCGCTTGTTGAGTATCCATACTTATCTTGAGGGTAAGGTTCGTGTTGGTGGCGCACTGCCGCGTGGGCCAGCGTTTTGTTTGATTTTTTTTTATTTGGTTAAATTAAATAAATAAAATAGAGTAAGGGCTGCGGTCGTGTATTTTCAGCAAATGATAAAGAATTATCTTTGTTCTTATCGACGACGTTTTTTCATTATAAAATAGTGTGAATATAATTTCCGACCCAGCACATGGTTTGTGTCAAAGATCTGATGAACTTGTTGGAAGTAGTATTTTCGTGTGTGAAAATAGTGGTGGTTTCTTGGTGCAATAGAAACAAAAGTAGCATAGAAAAAGCATAGCGTGCCCATGGCCATGAGTTGAAAGTGTAGTGGCTAGTAGTGGGGCAAATGTGTGGAACTATCCATGCCCATATTTGGCAGCGCTTTCGAATTTGTTTAGCCCCATGTCTGCCACGAAATTTCGTTCCGGGCCGGCCATATGCCGATGAAGGCAACTTGCAAGTCTCATATCTTTGGCAACGAATCTTTAGCTTAAAATGTACTGTATATAAAATATAAAACATGGGACCAGTTCAATGATTTTTAAAAAAACCCATCTGGGATGAATATATGAGCCTCATATTCTGTCCACTCTCCAAATTGGTCAGGTCCTTGCGGATGTCTCATCCAAATTAAAGAACAATGAAGAGGAACTCACGGTAAGTGCGTGAGATCCCCTTCTTTACTTCCCTCAATTTATTTGTAATCATCACAAATAGGTAATGGGATATTAGTATTGGCTTGTGTTTAGGTTAATGCATGATATTTAGGCACGAGGAAAAACAGACGTGTAGAAGGATCTTCCCAAAACCCTAATTGGATCTAGTTTTAAAAAAATTAAAAAGAAAAAGAGTCCATGGCCGTGTTGCTTTACGTGCTAGTTTAGAATCATTGGACTAGCAAGTTTGATAATTTAAATTAGATTAGTATCAAAATCCAAACCTTGCTGCTTTGCTTCTAACGGATGGCAGGGAATTCAAGATTTCTTAAGAGGTTTAGGTTGATGTTCGTGATTCCTTGCCATTGTCATTTTTTCTTTCAATTTCTATCTATATTTGGTGTGGTTTTCTATCTATAAAATCAGTCTGGAAGATGCGAAAATAATTTACTTTCAATCTTCGTCTGGTATTTTATTTATTGTGAAAATTAACTTGATGCCTTTTTTTAGTGTTTACAATTGTTATTCATGCGATAGCATTTATATCAAGATCAACAAATCCTTGAATTTAGAAAGGAAAAAGAAAAAGTAAGGAGTAGCTTATTCAATATTCCCTCCTCCTCCGCCCCACTACAGATCAGGAACCCAATTGCAGTTCATGGATCTACATCTAGGATGCGGAACCAGAAGCACCTCATAAATTCATATTATCAATTAGTGCTAGACTTTGTTTGGAAACATGGAATGGAGGGTCTCCTTCCACGTGTTCACTAAAAGTCGTTTTCCATTACGGCCGTCGGATGGAGGCACCAGGTCGTAGATCCGGTCCCTCTCATTCAACGTTTCAACACGTAGCAATCCTTCATCTTCATTAGCCAATAAAGCTCTCTCTACATCCAACGGCTTCAAACGTGTCGTGGAACCAGCTTATAGGGAATCACACACACACGTTCTCTCATGAGTCTCTTAGGTGTCTCAAATATCTAATCTAAACCTTGTCATCTCATTAAGGAAAATAAATTAAGTACCCTCCTTGAAAGCCCACACAAAACAAATACAAAGCGGAAGGAGCCAAAAACGAGTCTTTATTCTAAGCTTAAAAATCCGTCTAGATTCCAGCCTCTCCTACCCTGCGGTCTAGATCAAATCCCCAAGGTTAATTCCGTAAACTCACCACTCCTAGTTACTTTTCATACATTTTTCTACTCTAAAATAACCTCTCAATGCATCTATTTATTATGTCTTTCTTTAGTGATGTGATTCACGTTCTTACGATTACGAAAGATACATAGAATAATTACATGTGGGTTGTGTTTTCATGTTTCGGTTTGTAATTTAGGAACTCAGAAACTTCAAGTGCCATGAGAGGAGGGCAAAGCAACGGGGGTGTTAGGGGAATTGCCTCACCGGACAGGGGTGCGCACGATAAGAGGGGGACCCATAACAACCACCTTAATGATAATAACAAATCCGCCGCCTCATCGGATACCGCGCACGATAGCAAGAAAGGTGGGTCGCCGTCCGGCAGCGGGGACGCGGCTGCTCCGCCCGTGTGGCCACCCAAGTTCGTGATTGCCTTGACCAACAAGGAGAAGGAAGAAGATTTTCTCGCCATTAAGGGGTCAAAGTTACCTCAGAGGCCCAAGAAGAGAGCTAAATTGATTCAACGCACTCTTAATGTAAGCTCCACTTCCCCTTTTTCTCATTTATTCCACTTTAATTTCTTCAACTTAATTGTTCATTACATGATCCTTTGTTAATGTCCAATATATGTTACAAATCTTAGCTCGGATAAATTCATGCTCTAGAAGAATTTTATTCAATGATAAATATAAAATAAAATTTCTTAATCGCGGATCAATAGTAAGAGGAAGTTGTTTTAGTACTACACAACAAGGATGGTATAATTTGCTGGAAAAAATTAATGTGCAAGTCAGCATAGCAAGATATATTATTAGGGGGGATGTGAAACCAATATTTTAATTTTTAGTATTTGATTTGTGTGGTGTTATTCTTTATTCCCTTGTTTCAGTACGGGGAGTGCCCCTTTTTTCCTTTTGTATTTTATTTTGCCCTTTTCCTGGAAAAGCCATACATGGCTGGCAGCTGTGGAGTGGCTTACACGCGTCAAGTGGAGCTTGGCTCACCCCAAACAGTGACCAAAGAGTCTACAGTGAAAGTTTACTGGTACTTTGCCTAGTCCACGCGCGCCTACGCGTGCATATCTCCATCCTTATTACTAAGGGAAAAAGCCCTACCCCGGATGGTGAACGTGCATTATCAAAAACGATATAATATATATATATATATATTAAAAAATAAGAATTAATCCTTCTTTTTACATCTTAATATTATAAAAAATCACAATTAATGTAGGGAATGTGAAAAGTAGTACTTGAATTTTATGTCCCACACCTAACCCTAGCGAGCCAATATGTGAACTGTCCTTGGATTTTTATTTTTGCCGTATCCTAAACCTGGCAGTGAAAAATCGGTTGCTTAATGAAGGAAAAAAACTGCTCTTATTCAAACATTTTAATATAAATTAAATACAAGTTATTATGCTATTATTATTAGGATCATGACAGATAGGTTGATTATTATTGACATTTGGCCACGTGACAAATCAGGCCAGTGTTTTCAAAAAACTATAATTAAAAATTGAAAAAAAAAATAGAATTAAAAGTTGATGCAGGGAAGAAACAGCAAACGATGCGCGTGGTGACACGCATTGAAGGTTGGTGTGGGGTTTGGATTCATGTTGGAGAAAGTAGAAGCGAACATACCGGTTTGCATCTTGTGGTTGGAATGAGTGGTGCCAGCTGTAGTGGATGGTCGTGATGGAATAATCGTTACCATAGACTTTATCTACCGAAGAAAAGGCCACACATCTCACTAACCCACTGCTCAAAATGGGAACTGGTTTCGGCTCTCATTTGTACCAGAAATTCTCTTCTCGTGAGCAGTTTTATAAATTTTAATATTACCAATTTAATAAAATTTTAATAAGATTTAAATCATTCAAATCACTATTCTATATATAGTATCTATTTCATTTTTTATGGCTGTTTTATAACCCTTTTTATTGTTTTATTTAATGGTTTTAATTTCTAGGTTTTAAATCATATAAATGTGTAACAATTCACGTTTAAATACTTGTTACTAAAACATCGAAAAGGAAAAATGAAAAATGGTTATTTATTGTTTTTGCATTTGGCTTTATTTTAAGAATATTTTTATTTGGCATTTTCATCAAACTCAACCTCTAGCGTGTTCAAACCCTCCCCTGCTTGGTGTTTCTTGACAACTTTCCATCTACCATACCCTTTCTTATCTATTCATTTATTTATTTGTGCTCTTTCTTTTCTTTTATTTCGATGCTATGCATTAAATTGAAATCATTATTCTGCTTTTGGTCCATTTTGATCTGTATCACAGCTCGTTAGTCCTGGCGCATGGTTGTGCGATCTTACCTTGGAACGATACGAAGTTAGGGAGAAGAAAATATCCAAAAAGGTAAATATAAAATGATTGAAAAGAATACCCGTTTCTGCCATCTGTCTTTGGTTAGAAGACTAATGAATAAATAGTACTTTTTGTCGCTCGTAAATAAAAAATATATATATTTTTTAAAAATTGGATGCAGAGACCAAGAGGTTTGAAAGCAATGGGCAACATGGAGTCGGACTCTGAATAGAGAGAGGAGTGAATGAGGAGAGAGGAAGAGACAGTGAAGGAAGGGTGCTTTATGTTTGCTAAGGATGTAAGAAATGTTGAGATATTGTAAAGCATAGCAAGCCATGGCACCGCAGCTGCGTGCCAACAAATCCAAATGAAAATATAAATATTTTAGCTTTGGCACTGCTTAATTTCCACGCTTTCACGATACTATTTTTTCTTTTACTGTCTGTGGAAAAGTGCTCCCCAGTTACCAATGACGAGGTGCCAATTTTACGAAGGATGAGCTTCTCGAAATGGTTTGTCGGATTTACAGAACCTGTGCAAAAATTGACAGCTCGAGAATCTTTAACGGCGATAGTCTTCACTCTTTATTCAAATAAGGAATTTTATTGTTTCAATCGTTCAAAATTAATATTATATATAATGTTTATTGGTGTCTTTTTAGTGGTATATGAAACATTATTGGAAAATAAAAGTCAACTCATCGGTCATTGTTTCATTTTTTATTTTTGCTCAACAAGATTATATGGAACAGGGATCTGAATTATAATTTACCGCTTTTTTCTTTTGAAATTTTGCGCTCATTATTTTCGACATGGCGCTTCGAATTTGAGAATTGAGAGTGAAGACCTCAGGGAAAGATTGGGTACAGTACTTTTTAAAATATATATATAAAATCCTTGTGCTTCTGAAATCTAATATTTTAAACACTTCACGGCTTGAGGATTTCAAACTTGTAATGTCATTTAACATTTATTTTATGTTTGAATGAAATAAAAGTGATTAAAAAGAAAAGTAGAAAAATATGATTAAAAAAATATGAAAAATGAGATGGAAAAACATGTATTGTTGAATGTACAGAAATAAGCGTGGACGTGAGAAAATTTTACTTTGACGAATGAAAGATATAAAAAAAAAAACTAGTTTATGTGAAAAAAATATTCTTATAATAGCAATAAAAAATATTTTAACAAAAATTTGAAAATTTTAATATAATATTTTTTCTTATGTTATTTTTTAATGTTTTATATTATTTAAAATTTTCAATAAAAATGACAATTTAAAAAAAACTATTATTTTCTATTCGTATAAAACTAAAAATTCAAACACAACATTTTTATTCTTACATAATATTTTTCACTAAAACAAACAAAATATTAAATATCACTTATTTTAAAATTAAGAAAAAATAAATGTAATCAAATTCATTTTAAAATATTAAATGTGATTGAAATGTATTTTTACCTTATTTTAATTAAATTCACTTATGTTGAAATGTTTATTAAAATAGAAGCAATTAATTTTAGTATTTTACTATAGACACTTGAGTGAATATATAATATCAGTTCGGCTGTAATCACAGGGATGGAAACCGTGGGAATGTTCGTTTATAAACTAGTTAATTAGATTCAAAGTGCTTGATAAAAATTTGTATTGAACTACTTGAAAAATATAATGACATAAGATTAAAATTATTTATTAGATTTAAACATTAAAATTTTAATAATTGTGTATTTCTTAAAATTATATTTACTGTATTTTAAGTTATTTAAGATTATTTATTATCTTAAAAATTAGAACAATATATTTAATTTTATTCTTATTTATATTTTTTATTAAAAAAAATAAGATGATATAAATAATTCCTTATTTTAATGATTTTACATTATAAAAATTATAATTTAATTATTTTGATGAATAAAAATACACATGAAAAAGTATATATTGTACTTTATAATTTTTATTTTTATTTTGTGACACTGCTATTGGGTTGAACATAGTATAAAAAGAGATATTTTATTTCTAACATTGAATGGGTAAAGGAGATATTACAAGCGAAGATTAAGAATAAAAATAAAAATACTTTCAATTAATAAGTTAAAAAACATACATGCTAATAACTATTCACATTATTTAATTTATTAAACAAAAATACTTTTATTAAAGAATCTGTTCAACTAACAAAACAAGTGAAAAATCTTATCGAATGCACTCCACTTAACAAAACAAGAGTGAAAATCCTAAAAATTATGTTAACTATTGGTTTTTTCTTTTTTCTCTTAATGGTAATTATAAAATACCATTGGAGTAAATATTTAATTTAGTCACTAAAAATTACTCAATTCAAATTATGTTTTTTTAAAAGGAATTATTAAATAATTTTTTAAGATCACTTTGGTGGGAAATGTTGACCCCTCCATCATTAGAGCTCCATTTAACTTAATGGAATTGCTTATTTAGCATGTTAAGTAGTTGATACCACATCTATAATTTTTTCCACGTAAAATGCTATTTTAAAACTCTTTCCTTTTAAAAAAGTTCAATTTAATCCTACGAAAACCACCGAGTATTTATTTAATATTATCACTCCATTTAGGTTTAAAAAAATATTATTGGCAATAAAAAAGAAGAAAATGTAAAGAATTACATATGTGCATGCATTGTAGCATAAATTTTCAATCAATAGTTCAAAATTTGCTAAATGCTGTTCAAGATGTCAAATACAAGTTTTCAGATAATTGTTTCATTAACACACGTTTGCAAAAGCAAAAAAGCTTCCTTCAATAAATATATACAGTTATTCTAATCTATATGAAATTGCATCTAAATAAACATTATATACAATAAATTTGTTTTAAAAAAATTCAGATTTAATACTGTTTTATGCATAAATTTTTTAAAAAATAAAAATTACTAATTATCAAATTTTATTATTTTATAACTTTATAAAAATTTAAAAATCATATCTATAAATTACATATAATATTACATGCGTTAAAAAATTCATAATAAAATTTTATATATAATATTTTTATTAAAAACTACAATGTATAATATATAAGTTAACATAATGATATTGAATGTAATAACTTGTAATAAAAAATCATTATTTCTTATATTGTTAACACGTGCCAGACAACAGAAAATTTGCATAGTGATGTGAGAAAAAATTGTATAAATAAATATTTTACGCCTACACTATGAATAGGCATACTCATGGATTCACAGCAAAACTTAAAAATAGAAAATACAGTTTAAAAATGAAACAATGGAAAGAAGCAGAAAATAGAATATGAAAGGAATCCATTATGTACCAAAACAATGATGACAAATGATAATACAGAAGATATCACAAAATAGCTAAAGATCCAGAAATGAACATGTAAAATCTCTGCATATCAATACAGGGGAAGAACTATACACTACTGGTCAAACCTCATCTCTCATAAATTCACACAAAAAAGGCACACAAAAAAAAGAAAAAGAAAATCCAAAGGCCGGAACGGAGCATGTTCAAATCCTGAGAGAAGATCCGAACAAAAGAGCAACGGCAGCGGTAAGAAAACCAACGGCGAAAGACGGAGAGATAACTGTGGCGGGAGAAGTAGGACTGGGAGCCGGCGCATCGGCGGCGTGAGCTGCGGCTAAGACCGCGAGAAAGATCGCCATTGTGGTGATGACTACGAGTTGAGAAGAAGCCATTAGTGAAGCTTTCTGTTTTGATCGGAGCAGTGTTGTGAGGAAAGAAAATGCTAATTGCGCAGAATGAAGAACAATGAAGAACATTAGAAAGGAAGAGCTGTTTATATAGAAAGAAAGGGAAATGAGAAGTTAAGGGTAGTTTGGGTATTTGGTCCAATTTACAGAGTGGCGAAGTAGCATTAGTGTTGAGTGTGTGCTGTGTGCTGTGCCAGCTGGTTCTGCTGTATCAATTAGGCAACTACTTTGGCAGAATATTAGTCTTAATTTTTAAAACTGAATTTAAATAATTGTTAACAAATAATTTATTTCTTTAATAATTTTAAACAATCATAAATATACTTTTTAAAATAAAAATAATAAAGATTGAAATTAACGTTACCCTTATTATTATTACTTTATTAGGAATTAGCAATGAACTCACTTTTGTGGAATCGTGAGGGGCCTCTGTCCTCGCTAGTGGAATCTCTGCCGAGAAACACACACCAATAATTCTTGTAACCAACAACTACTAAAGAGTAACGGTGAAGGTTTTTTTTTTTTCTTCTGTGGCAATAAATGAAATTTGATTTTTTTTTTCAAGTGCAAAGATATGTAAAATTAAAAATTATTTATTATTGACTCAAAATTAATTATGCTTATAAATGGGTAAATATAATAGTTAAATTATGAGCGACGACGACGACATTGTTACAGCTGTTTATGAAAAGGCCAAGTCTGCGTCATTACTCATTACCACTTGACGCCAACCCAGTTTGAGCCCCACACAACACATTCTCAGTCTGAGATGCTTCTGTTTCTTACCATCGCTTTGTGCTGTTCAAGGAAAATAAGGGGACCAAAATAAAAGTGCGAGATAGATATTACCTTTTTTAAATTTGTCAAGTTTTCCAGCTATTTCAGTTTTTTATTTTTTCATTCATATGAAAATTAAAAAAATTAAAATATAAATTAATTTTATTTTTAAGTTTTTTAAATATATATAACTTTTATGTGAGTAAGAAAATTTGTAAGTTAAAATAACAGAATTTTAGCATTACTTTTTTTTTTTATGATAGATAAAATTACTTAAAAAATAAGGAAACTACTTAGCTGGAGTCTCGGTTAAGAAATGCATGTATGGTATACATGGGTAATATGGGAGACTGATTTTTTCGTTTAAAGTGTTAAAATATACTTTTTAATTTAGACTATAAGTATTTTTTATTAAAAATAATAATGTTTAAGTTAAGTAAAATTATTATGTACAAAAAAATTCTTTCTCTGAATATTTAAAAAATATATACATATTTTATAACAAAAAAATTACATACAAGATAGTGTATAATTTATTAATTTCTTTTACTTTCTTATTTTCCTTTAAAAAAATAGAAATAAATTTATTTACTTTATATATATATATGTTATATAATTTTTTATTCATATTTCTCTTATTTATTTTTTATTATATAATGCATAAAAATAAATTATTAACTTTACAATAATTAATTTAACATATTCATTATGTATCGTAATTGATTGTCTATCTAAAAAATTAACACTAATAGTGTATTAAAATTTAACTTAAATGTAAATTATTATTGATTTATTTTAAAAAATCTTAAGGTTATTAATTACATCTTATCTAATTTTCAGTTACCTTAATTTTAACATTTAAGAAAAAATTTCTATTAAAAATGAAATATATATTATATATTTTCTAAAATAGGAGATTAGTTATGTTTTATTGAACTGTAGCCTCTTTTAGTAAAAAAAAATTATATATATACATATATATTATATTTCTAAAATATATAATAAATATTTTTATTTTAAAAATATTGAAATTTTGAAGATAATATTTTTAAAATAAAAATATTTATTATATATTTTAGAAATATAATATATATGTATATATATAATTTTTTTTACTGTAATATTTTTAAAATTTTAAATATATTTATATTTTTGTCACATAAAAAAATAATACTGAAATTTAAATATCAACAAGATATAAATATTTTAAATATTTGGAATCGAAATTTTGTTATTACAATAGTCTAATCCTATTAAAATAAAACATGCTTAACAAAAAAAATCCCATTAAAAAAAATTACTTCAGTAAACAATATATGTAATTAAAAAGAAACGCAAAGAGCAATTAAAGAATTGGATTGGGAGCCAAAAACATGATAGGCTTAAAAAATTTACATTTATATATATATATATATATATTGATTTTTTTTCTTATAATTTATTAATTTTATTATATTTTTAAATAAAATAAACATTTAATTTTTGTTCTTCTCTCAAACCGCAGGGGATCACACTCCGCTACAGATAAGCCAGGTGTTGGGTTCTTTTCATATGACATATTCCTGTGTTTTTCTCGAACCTTCCCCCTTACAAATTAGGACAAAACAATTTTTTTATACTAATTAATATTGTAAAAGCAAATTATCATTTTAATTTTAATATATTGTAAATATAAAAATTATTCTTTCAACCAAAATAAATAATATTTCAATTTAAAATTAATTTGCAGCAAATATATTATTTATATTATCTGTATATTTTTAAATCTATATTTTTAACTATACATGTGTAAATTTCTTTATTATAAAATGAAGAAATGTATAATTATGTGAAAATAAAAGTATGTGCGATGATTCGACTTTATTATACATGAATAGGTTTCTTTATCATAAATGTACAAGTTTACAGTATATGGAAGTTAATTAATTTATTTTTAACACAAAATTACAATAAACAATAAATTATTGATTAAAAAATAAAATAGTTTTTTTTCTTCTGGTGAGTGAAACTCTTTAGGAGAATGAGATGATTTTCTATTTGAAGGCGAAAAAAAAGTTGTCAGAAGACTTAAAAAAATACGTTTACTAAAACTTAGAACACGTTTGCTTATTTTTTTAAAAGATTTTTTTAAAAACAAAAAATAAGTATATCTTTTTTTATTATTTTAAAGAAATAAAACAAGCATGTTCTTGTACTTTTTATTTTACTCATTGACTGTTTATTTTCTTATTTAATCTCCATAATTAAATATTTTTGAAAGATATAAAAATATTTAATAATAATTTTATCAACAAAACTATAAAAACTTATAAAAAGATATCTGAAATTTGGATACGAATAGCCTGCCATTTTGGATTTGCTTAAGCGAAATTTTGGTAAAAAGTGATTTTGGCTTAAGTTAAAACAAATTTGTTTAAGCCAGAAAAATTCGCTTAAGTGAATTTAAAAAATACACTGTAACATTTTCTCTTCTTGTGTATTTTCGCTTAAACAAAAACACGCACAAAGAAAAATATGCTTCCTTCTCTATGTTATTTTGGTTCCTTCTCTTCTCCTCTCTTTCCAATCAAATCACTCTCTTTCTCCCTCCCTCTCACTCAGACCCTTTCTTTCTTCCCTTTCCCCATCTCTTATTTTTTCTGCCCACTCAGTCTCCTTCTTCCTCTTTCCTCGTCTAGCTCTCCTCCCCTCCCTTCCCCTTCACCCCCACTCATCCCCCTCCTCTTCTTTCTTCATCTAACCTTTTTTCCTTTTTCCTTCTCTCTATTAGTCTTCTCCCACTCTTCCTCTCCCTTGTGCTTTTATCCCCATCTCTGATCTCCCTCTTAGTCTCTCTTTCTTTCTGTTTCTTCTGATTTTTTTATTACTCTTTCTAAATTCATTTGAGTAAATTTTTTTGGCTTAAGCAAAAATAGCTTAAGCGAATTTATTTTAACTTAAGCTAAAATTACTTTATAACAAATTTTGCTTAAACAAATCTAAAACTACAATTTGCAGTTTTTGCCAGAACTGCATACGATCTGGACCTCTAAAATTTAAAGTATTCATAAGATACAAATGTTTATATAAATGTCTGAAATAATGCCTAAATAATTTATCGTTTATGGTAATCCTATAAATATCATGTTATTCATGCATTAAAAAAATTTATTTGAAAAATGAAGGCATACACGTATAAGTGGACAAATGTAATTCTTTTAGATGAGTTTGATGTTCACGATTGAAATTATGTTTAAAATTTTTATGCTTGTTTCCTTTAATTTATCATAACAATTTACACATTCCCAATTTAAAGGTGAAAAACAAAATAAAGTTTTTCATTTGAAGTCAATGAATAAGTTATTTAATAATATTAAAATATATAATTATATACTATTGACCGAGCAGGTGTATCGAGGCATAATTATGTATATAAATGCAACTATTTGACTTGAATTTCATTGAACTTTCAAATTCATGTCATTAATAATGGACAAAGGTTCTGATAGTTATTAGGATACCTTTTTAGTAATGAGTTTAAAACTGGACCTGATCATTAAATTAGTAAAAATTTTATTTATGATTTTAATAAAATTTTTATTAATCTCAATCCTTAGAGTTAAGAATAATAATAAAAATAATTTTTTTAAAAAAATTATTATATTTTTATAACTTTAATATAAAAATTATGATTTTTTTTCATAAATTTTTTTTATTTATAAATACTTAAATTCAGTTCTAAAGATTGAAGTTAACCAAACTCTTTTAATAATTTAGTTATAGTTAAATTTAAATAGAATTAGAATTAGTTATATATTAAATAATTAGTTAGTATTATATAACTTTAAAGATAAATAATAAACAATTAAATATTGGTTTTTTAAAATTAGAATTAAATTTAAAAAAAAACAAAAAAAAATACAGTATATTTTTTATATCAGTTCAAATTCAACAACACCAATTTATACAAAAAAATTATTAGTTTTTGACTAATTTTTTATTCTATCAAAATTATGTGGATTTTTCCTATCAATTCTTGAATATAATGGTCAGTCCAGGTGCAATTGGCAACATTTATTGATTGTCAAACATTTAATAAATAATTATATACAAATAAAATTAATGTTTTTTATATCAAAATTTTAATTAATTAATTAATTAATTAATAAGCACATATTCAATAACAGTTATCTTAATAATATTTCAAATATTTATTATCAAAATATGAACAATTAATGCATATTTCCAATATCATTAAGAAAATGATGTCCCCAAAAAATATTTAAAAATATTTGTATACGTTGACTTATATGACATTATTAATGATATAGATTTTGTTGATATTTTTTTTTTAATTTATAGTATATATGGAAAACTTGTGCAGCTGAGAGCATAACAGAATTCTCTGCACAGTTTAATAACAATTGTTACATAATATATATTATTTACGTTATTTTTTAACATACTTTGATTGTAGACAAAGATATAAAACTTTCCTAAATTGGTGTATAATAACATGCAAAAATTGATCTAAAGAACAAAGAAATTTTAATTCTTTATTGATATAGTTTAATTTACAGTGTCATTATTAATATCAGTGTATAATTTTTATATCGTCAGCTAATTAAAATAAATGTAAATATATATATTTGAAAACAATTATTATAGAAGTAAATAATCGAATAACTCTCACTAATATGACATTTTAAAATTAATGATAATATAATTTATTTTTATACCATTAATATATTTAATTATATTTATTGTTACATTAAATACTCTCGTGACAAACTATTATTATATAATTGATGTCATAGTCAAATTTATTAATGACATAACAATAAACAAATAGACTGAGAATTGAATTTAAATATTTGTATATATGTTGGTGGTCGGATATAGAAAGATAATAAGAGTGGGATGGGGAGAAGTACGGTTGGAACGTTGCTGCTTTGGCTCTTCTTTGTACTGAGTATGAGACCAGATTTCAGAGCCAAAGCAAAAAAAGAACCACCTTCAGAAATTGAAATCGAGGCCAAATTAAAGCTCCTCAACAAGCCTGCGTTGAAAACTATTAAGGTTTGCAATCTCGTTATCCCTTTCTCAATTATTATTATAGAAATTTTACATTCCCTTTTAGCATATTTTCTTAACATTTTATTGAAACATTAAATTCAAAAAAGTCAATAATTGAAAATTATTTGATATATTTTTATTAAGAAATGTATTTTAAAACAGAATAATAATTCTAATTCCAAAATGAGTTTTATATTGTAAAAAATTGTTAAGATATATTGTATTAATTAAAAATAAAAGCAGAATAATACTCTTTACAAAAATTAGAATAATATTTTTCAAAATAAGTTAAATTTAAATTTAATCTAGTATTAGAGTTTATTCAATTTGAATGTTAAACTATCTATAAATATCTAATTTTATTAAACCAGAGTTGATACTCTTGGTGTATAGCTTATCGTCAAACGTTATTTTTTTTTTTCCCATTGTTATTTTTACATTTGATGACTGAAAATAACATTTATTTTATTTTCTAAATAAAAAAAATACTTAATAAACATTTCTGTCACAACTTCAATATTTGACTACTGTACAATCAATTTAAATTATACTAAATTATTTTTTCATAGATATAATTTTAAGTTTAATTTTCTTTAAAGTGCTAATCTCATTAAATTATAAATTTTTAAAAAATTATAAAAAATATATATCAACATCTATGTTATAAATATGAATGTTTTATTTAGAAAATACAACAATTAATAAGTGTAGTTTTGTTAACTTATAAAGTTTTATTTTTTACAAGGTCATTTATAAAAGTCAAAGAGGGTAGTTTTGTTAACTTATTTAAAAGTAATATTTTTTATTAAAAATATTTTTTATATTAAATATACAAAAAATATTAAATATTTTTTTAATAAAATCTCACCATTATGAATTATATAGACTTAGTCATAAAGGATGAAGATAGCAAAACTGCATTATTCAAAGGAATCCTGTATAAATATTATTTTTTTTGGTATAAAAAATTTTTCTAAAGCAAATATTACCATTGCTTAATATATAAGTGTAGTTATATTACATGCCTTATATAAATTCTGTGAACCTTTCTTAATTAATAAAAGCGCATATTTGATATCTTAAATGTAAATAATATTTAAAGTTTAGACATTAAGCTATTATATTTGGATACCCAATTTACAATACTATTTTTCTGCAGAGTGAAGATGGAGATATTATTGACTGCGTTGATATTTACAAACAACCTGCATTTGATCATCCTGCCTTAAAAAATCATACTATCAAGGTACATTGTTTAATTATTATTGGATATATTTTTAATCTGTCTTTATACTTCTTAAACTGAGTGAATTGCGCAGATGATACCAGATTTTTTTAGAGAATCCCAAAATTCAAGCTCAAAAAATGGTTCCCAGTCAAAGACATTTATACTTCAGACATGGCAGAAGAGTGGAAGTTGTCCAAAAGGAACTGTCCCTATTCGCAGAATTCTAAAGGAGGACTTACTTAGAGCTGCTTCTCTCGACCGCTTCGGACGGAAACCCCCAGCAGTATTTAAGAATTCAACAAATAGCTACAACCTTAATTTCCCCAACTTCAATGCCACCAATAAATTTATTCCTGAAAATCGATCGGTACATATCACAATTGATATTAATTTTATATCATTATGCTTTCAAGTTTCATCTGTAAAACTAACACGTTGCAATAATAATATGGTGATGTAATTAATCATGCAGGCAGCATATCTTGTGACAATGGGATACAATTATATAGGTGCAGAAGCAGATATTAACACTTGGACTCCAAAGGTGGACCTGCCAGATGATTTCACCACTGCTCAAATTTGGCTCAAGGCCAACAATGGTCCTGTATTTGAAAGCGTTGAAGCAGGCTGGACGGTTAGTTCACGTCACAAGACTTGCTACTTCCAATTCCAAGTTAACCATATGCACCAATAGCTAGCTTCTTAATTCTACGTAGTACCAGATACTATAAATATACAAACGTATGAAAAATGGTATATATCTATTATGGTTCAGGTGAATCCCAAGTTATACGGTGACATGGCCACTCGATTGTTTGCCTACTGGACTGTAAGTACTGAGTACTACATCTTAGTTGCATTTTGTAACCTCGGATTCTGAGGGTTTGGTTTCTTGATTTTGTGTGCAGAGGGATTCATACGAGTCAATAGGATGCTTTGATCTTACTTGCCCAGGGTTTGTGCAAGTACAACGAGTCTTAACGCTTGGTACTGCCATAACAGCTATCTCCTCCAAATTTGGCAGACAGTTTGACTTAAATGTTGGAATGTTCTGGGTAATAATAACTTGTATATTATTTATATAGAAAATCCTATTTATTGATTGATTTGTCTTGAACGCTAATAAAACATTTTATTTGTTTCAAGGAAAACCACACACTCTTTTGGTGGGCACTGTACATTTGCGAACGGAAAATTTTCCAAGATGATATATATATATATATATATATATATATATATATATATATATATATTTAACATACCTTACATATAACTTCACATATATATGGTCAACTCATGTATATATATATTTTTGTTTTTGTTAGGATGATGCAGGGAATTGGTGGCTTAGAGTAAACAAGGACATGCCGATAGGTTATTGGCCCGCGGAAATATTGGGCAATTTAAAACACAGTGCCATATTGGTTGAATGGGGTGGACAAGTATTTAGTACAAAGTTAAAGAAGGAAACCCCTCACACGGGAACTGGGATGGGAAGTGGTGATTTCGCAAATGGTCTAATGGGGGAAGCATGCTACATGAACAATGTGAGGATAAAGGATTATTCGCTTTCTCTTAAGTACCCTGAATTTGTGAGTGCAATGGCTGATGAACCCTATTGCTACAACTCCCTCAATGATGTTAAATATGGAGTGGAGCCTACATTTTATTTTGGAGGGCCAGGACGAAGGCCTCCCTATTGTCCTTGAACTTTCATTGTAAAATATGAACTGTAATGTGTTTCGTTTTGTTGGATGCTGAAATGCAAATCCACAAACTGTTAAAGAAAAGCATAAATGTCTGAGTCTGCATTTTGGACTAAACTGTTCCCCACCACTTTCTCTTATTGGAACTAAATGGCCAAGCCTTACCCATATCACACATGGAGTTTTCTTTTCAAAGGGATAATGCTTGTGAATGCAATCAATGCATATGTTATAATTGACAGAAACTAGGTATAAAATTAAAAACCAATTGAATACAAACACCATATGAGTCAATTTTAAATGCTATAATTGCACAAACAGCCTGATTAACTGAATTAAATACAGAAATATTTTAATTGCATTGCTCTTCCTCTATTTTTAAAGAGTATATACTTTATTTATTTATTTATTTTTGGCGTTTGTTTTAAGTCAAGAATTGTGTATAGAGTTTAAATTGAATGTTAAAATTACTTGGGCTTAATTTCACTTTTTTATTCTCTTAGTTTGAAATATATGTAATTTTAATATTTTTTTTCAGCTAATTAAGTTCCTTTATTTTTAAAATTGTAAAAAAAAATTCTCTCATCTTTTTTTCCTACCTAAAATTCTTAAATTCTAATTTTGTTCTAAAAAATTTTGCAAATTGAATTATTTACTATTCAAAATTAACCAACCAACATATACAATTTTATCCAAAATTTAAAAGATTTTATTTTCTCTTAAAACCTTAGTATTGTGTCTTGTAAAATCTTTTAAATTACATCAATTGTTCTTTAAGTTAATTTTATTACTTTTTAACTTTTAAAATATATTATGTTCTATTTTCACTACACACCCTCAAAATTTTGAATAAAAAATTAATGATTTCAAATAGAAGTAAATTAATTAAAAATAATTAAATTTGTACAATTTTAAAAATAGTAAAATATAACTAACTCAACAAAATTTTAAAGGACTATAAATTAAGCTAATTAATTTTAGTTTTGACATTTAAAGTATAAATTATTCATCACTATTGAATAAAATTATAAAATATTTAGCTTGAGCTCTTTCTGATTCTTAGCCAATATCTTAAAAATGTTCATCCCGTGTACTCTATAACTACTCCATTTGTTTTGGTATTCGCTTGTATTATCTGTCTCATATTATTATTATTATTATTATTATTATTATTATTATTATTATTATTATCATCTTTGTTATCATATAAATATCATTCTCACTGATAAGAGATATTTTTTTTAATCTAAATCAATTTAATCCATAATTATCTCCTTACTAAATTATTTGTTGAGAATTGTAGCTGGTTAATAGCAACAAAATACACAGAGATTTCTAACTATCCATGTGGTTATTAAAGTTTTAAAACATGTACATGTGCATAAAGTTGGTTTGGAATTTGCCTAATTTTAGCAAACATGGGTCACTCAAGAACAAGCTCGTTATAAAAGAGATTAATGCAGATGGGTTAAATATTTCGAAATTTTTTAGCATTTAAATTAAATTTTACTTTATTTGAACAAAATTAATTTTAGTAAAAGGATACATGTAATTTAGGGGGAATAATCGATTCAAAATAAGTAATTTAATAAAGAAAAATATAAAATAATATAAAAAATTCAAGGAAAATAATACAATTCAAAGGAAAAATATAAAATAAAAGTTTATTATATATTTGAAAATTGATTACTGTATATTAAATGTTACTTGATTTTTATGCATACACTTTGATTCCAGACGGCGACAAAACAATTAACAGCACGACTTCACCGACATCAAATTTTATTAAAATGGTGCAGAATAATATGCAAAATTTATTATTATAAATAGAGTAAAAACTATTATTTAATTTAACCTAAATATGTTTTTTATAATTATTTGTTATGTAGTCATATTGTAAAAATATGATTATATAATTCGTATTACAAGTCAAACTGGTTAATGAAATAACCAAATATATAAATAGGTGTAACCTTGAAAAAAATTAAAAATGCAAACGGACAAACTTTATAATAAATACATAAGTAAATGACGCTCCTTAATTTTGATAAGTTATATGCATGAATTTATCCTTATTTATTGAGGGACAAATGGAGAGAGGTGTCAAAGTTCGATGGGGAAAAGAAAGGTTGCAATGTTGCTGCTTTGGGTCTTGTTTGCTTTGTGTATCAGACTACCCTTCAACGTTGAAGCAAAAACATCATCGTCTTTAGAAAAAGAAATCGAAGCCAAACTGAGGCTCCTCAACAAGCCTGCTGTCAAAACCATTAAGGTTTGCAATTTCATGTCCCTCTTCCCATACTCAAAAATCAACAAAGAATGAATATGTGACCATTATTGAAAAGAGGGTTATATTCCAAATCTTAAAAAAAAAATGTGAAAGAGAACTTATTGACTAATAACACGTTACAAATAAGCTTTCTTTCTTCTCCTACCTCAACCCTAATTACTTAATTAGTATTATTTTCAAATTCCGTTTTGAAAACAGTTTTCTTAATTTTCAAAACCAACAAGTTAGTTACATCTTCATAATCATTGTCATGGAAAATTTTCAAAATAAAAACTAATTAAAAAAAAGTATTTAATGCAAGAAAAATATTAAATTCATTTTTAACAATTAAAATTAAAATACAAAAAATAAATATCAAGTAAATAGAATAACCTACAACAAAATTAAAATTAAAATTCGTTTTTAACATTGTGTTTGTCAGTATTTGAAAATTTTGATTCACCAAAATATATTTTGAGGGCTTCATTTATTAAATAATACTTAAATAAACAACTTTTAAAAATGAAAAATATAAAAAAAATTGCTTAAAATCTAAATGTGAATAAATAATGAACTATAAAAAAATAATAACTAGTGTGTAGAATTTATATGATTTATTGATTGATCGTGGGTAACTGCTAATGCTTAAAAATAATTTAAATTAGTTAGAAAATTAATTCTTTAATTAGTATTATTAATTGGATAAATAAGACTTAGAATCAGAAATAAATAATTCATTTCTAAAAAAATATTTATGAGCATTTTATACATTAATTAGATACTTTTGTATATTTATTGAAGGTATCTATTAATTTTTAAAAATTATATAAAAATATATGGAATATATAATTTTAAAATTTTAAAAATAATTATAAATGTTTTAAATTATCGTTTTGCATATATTATTGTTTTGAGTTTTTTTTTTTTCAGAGTGAAGATGGGGATATTATTGATTGCGTGGATATCTACAAGCAACCTGCTTTTGACCATCCTGCCTTAAGAAACCACACTATCAAGGTATGTTGTGCTATCATTTTTAGGGTGCAACTATTATTATTTATACACCTTTTTTTCTTACATTTACTTTCTATTTTTTGCATCATATTATTATATTTCTTTCTTTTTCTTTTTTTATCTATCTCTTCCCTCCACCTATTTAACTCTCATCTCATGGATATTTAAGCTATATTTAGATATGAATTTAAAAATGAAGGAGAAGAAAAAAAAGAAATTAAGAAAAGTTAATCTTTATTTGTAAGTTATTTAATTAAAAGTAAAAGGTTTTAAGAATTTTTATAAACTCTTTAATACCTTTCTAACACTAATTTTTTTTTTGAGTTTTCATAATTTAGAGAGTTTTTTCTTTATTTTACTTTTTCGTACTCTTCTACGCTTGAAATTTTAATTTTTTAAATATTAATTTTTAAGTGATAATTTTTTTAAAAAATTATAAAAAATAAAAATTTTAATTTTAAAATATAAATTTTAAATAATTTTAAAATTATTAATTTTTAGAGAAAAAATATTTATTTTTTTAGCAAATGAGTTTTTAGTAAAAAGTTGAATAATTTAGAAAATTAACTTTATGCTCTAAAAGACCCCACGCTTTATTTTAACTGATAAATTACAAATTAATCCCACACTAATCATATCATCACCCTAATAAATTGACTTCATCTTAATATTCCAAAAGCTGATAAAGAAAATCCTGACACTCCAAACACATTAAACTCTATATATAAATTACCCAATTAAAATTATAAATTAACTTACTTTTAAACCTTTCACCATTTTATTCTTAAAATCATTATTTTTTATTTTGAAAGTGTTGACACTATTATAAATAACATCAAGTTTAATACCATTTAATTTACTTTTGTCGTTAGACACATGGACATCGTCCAGAATAACGATAAATTTCTGAAACTCAAGAGTAATACTTTTTATTACGGCAAAAAGGAAAAACAGTATGAATGATGGTGGTTTATGAACTGCGCAGATGATGCCCGATTTTCTGCTGGAATCCCGAAATTCGAGCAGCAATGATGGATCGGATTCAATGATATTTCAGACATGGCAGAAGAGTGGAAGTTGTCGGAAAGGAACTGTCCCCATTCGAAGAATTCTAAAGGAAGACTTACTCAGAGCTGCTTCTCTTGACCGCTTCGGGCAGAAACCCCCTGCAGTTTTTAAGAATTCAACAATTGGCTTCAACCTTAATTTCTCAGACCTCAACGCCGGAAGTGCATTTATTCCAGAAAATCGCTCGGTATTAATATTATTAATTTATACATTTAATGTAAAGAATTAAATGGACGCGTGAATGGTAATATTTTATTTTGCTTAGCTAATTTAATATGTAATAATAGAACCAATGGTGTCTGATATGGTGATGCAGTCATCGTATCTAGTGACATTGGGGTACAACTACATTGGTGCACAAGCAGACATCAACATTTGGAATCCAAAGGTTGAAATGACAGACGAATTCACCACTGCTCAAATATGGCTTAAGGCCGGCAACGGTCCTGATTTTGAAAGCGTCGAATCGGGGTGGATGGTTGGTTCATGTCACAACACTTGCTACATCCAATTCCCAATTAACCATATAAAATAATTTAATTTTGTTATATGATTGGTGCATGATCAAGTATACATTGATTGTGATTTTCAGTATATTTCAAACGTGATTTTTAATGATTATTATGTATGATGTAGGTGAATCCAAAGTTATATCGTGACAGAGCTACCCGGTTTTTCGCCTACTGGACTGTAAGTAGTTAAATATTGAAAGATAAGTGATTATTTTGTTTGTTGATATTCTTAAATCTTAGTTGCTTTTGTGTAACCTCAAATTCCAAGGGGGGAAATCAAGCATTGGATTTTGGTTTCTTGATTTTGTGTTTCAGAGGGATTCATACAAGTCAACGGGTTGCTTTGATCTTACTTGCGCTGGGTTTGTGCAAACAGGCCAGGTAGCGCTTGGGGCTACCATAGGTCCTCTGTCGTCCGACTTTGGTCCACAGTATGATCTCAACGTTGGGTTGTTCCTGGTAATGATTACAATTACATGCTTTTTTATGTTCATGTGATATTGAATTGCCTTAAACATTAATAAAAACATTACGTAACTAGTAAGGAAAACAATACAAATTTTTAGGTGTGTGTGTATGTATGACCTATCTTACACAACTTTACATTTATACGTCAAACGTTTGATTTGATTCCCCGTATGGTTATGTCAACTAACGTAGTTATTTGTTTTTATAGGATGCAGATGCAGGAAATTGGTATCTTAAAATAAAGAACAACGTGCCTGTTGGTTATTGGCCTGCGGAAATATTGGGGTCTTTAAGGCACAGTGCCACATTGGTTGAATGGGGTGGACAAGTATCAAGTGCAAAGATAAAAAAGGAAAAACCTCACACAGCAACAGGGATGGGTAGTGGAGATTTCGCAAATGGACGATATGGGCACGCAAGCTACATGCGCAATGTGAGAATTAAGGATTATTCACTTTCTCTTAAGTATCCTGAAAATGTGAATGCAGTGGCTGAAGAACCCTACTGTTACAGCTCCCTCAATGATGTTAAATATGGAGTGGAGCCTACATTTTATTTTGGAGGGCCCGGACGAAGACCACCCTATTGTCCTTGACTTTCCAATTCTATTGTAAATTTTGTATTTATGTGGTTGTTTCGTCTAAATGCGATTGACATATAATAAAAATGCATAAATGTAATGGACTCGACTGTTTCCCATAATTAATTTCTCTTCTTTGGAGCCAAACGTCTAAAGCCCAAGTAACAGCTGTGAGACCTGAAATTTCATCTGAGATGTCCTTTGAAAAATGTCATGGCAACCCACAAATTTTGAATGTTTGTGGGTGCATAGATTGTTCCGATATCTTAAGTTACTCCAATGCGGCATCATATTCTATGTTGAATTCAACAGATATTGACAGCCACTAGGCACCAAGGCCACTTGAAAGTGAGCCAATTGATTATATATGCTTTAACTATACAAATGACTTGGAAAAATAAATGGTCTATATTTTTTGGTGGGGACGAGAAGGTTCAAAATATATGGTCTATACAAAAGGAAATATAAATTAATAAATAAAAAGAGTAAATTATAAGTCCATCTAAAAGCATTTCAAATAAATTGTTTTTCCTCTTTTTCCTAATAAAATTCACTCTTTTCTCCGAGAGATAAAATGTCCTACACTTTAATCCATTTTAATATAAATAAACCTCACATCAACGTGAAAAACTATGAACAAGCCTTTGGATGTCAGTTTTCCTCTCTTTGCAACTTAGTGTCACGTAACAAATTTTTAAACACATCACAGCTTAAAACCTTGTACAAGATAAAACCATCAAACACCCTTATTATTAGTTTAAGGATGTTATCCAAAATTATCTTTTTATTTTTAAAATCTCAAAATGGACAGTACAAATTTAAAGCTAACTGTTGATGACATTAAAGATTTATATGACTTAAAATAAAATTAAAGTATAACATATTAATCTCTTAAACAAAGTGAATATAATTTTTTAAAATTGAAGAAAAAAGGTGCAGTGGGTTATGGATCTCATAAAAGAGAGTATGGTTCAGCCAAATAAACCATCTAGAGAGTTTTGCGTTGCTGTGAATGATTAGTTTAAAATGAACGAAATAACATTATGGTTGAGAGTACTGGGAGATTTCTCCTCGAGTGAGCTGCTCCGGTCTTTAAATCCCGAATCCCATGCTTCTACTGGAGTAGAATCAACGTGTGATTAAAGAGACGCAATTACGTATTTCAAGAAACAGAAGGAAAGGTCAAATAATTTTTGGAATGGCGTGCATGCGTCCCCACGTAAAGAAAATGTTAAAATATTTATCATATGCAAGTTGAGAGGAGTGATATATCCGGTGGCTGATCAATTACAACAAATTATCAATTAGAATAACATCTAACATGTATTACAATCACTAGTGTTGTCTTCCAGCAAGTAATACAATACATTATACATAGTGGTCAAAAACCTCCTCCCGAGCACAGAGGGAGCAGAGCACCCACTCTGTCATAAATCAATAAGAAACAAGTAATTGTGAAGACAACATACAATTAACATTACATTTCGACCAGTTTTGATATGCCATATGTAGCTACATACCAATGTGCTGTAACAAGGTCAAAACCAAAACCAAAAAGTATAAAATACAACAGGCAGTTACATGAAGCCATACTCCCAGGAAGTAAGGAACTAGCAGTTACCTACTGGAACGATCCTTGTCAACAAACATCATTAGATTGAGTCATACTGTTTTCTCTCTTCTTGAATTGATTGAAAAATTCTAGCTGCTGATGCAGTAGCAGATCTTCGGTTATGTGGTACAACTTTGATTACCCGAGTTTGCTGTCCGGTTTCAAGAGACTGGGGAGCAGACTCTGGTTCAGCTGGAACCATAGGGAAAAGGGGAAGTACATCTCTTTCTTCAGCACTTTGCCCTGTGTTGGTACCTTGCGCCATTTCACTGGGACTGCTAGCTGTACTCCCCTGTAACTCAAACTCCTTAGATGTCTTATGTTTCATAACATGTGATACTGCTCCATTTCTCTGAAGTGGTAAATTACATGAGCTTTGATTATTTGTATTAAGATTGGCTTCCCCTCCAGGTAAATGACCATTTTGCCCCTGCGAACCTAGTGCAGAGAACTGGTTCACCTGTTCAACAGCAGATTCTGACATTGCTGCATTCATAGCTGGCATGCCATATGGAGGGAAGTAAGCATGACTGCCGGGAGGAGTGTCTGGTGGAGCCCCAATTCCTTGATGAGAAGCTGGGACTCCATACGCAGGATTCATAAAAGTACCACCAAGAGGAGTAGGCCCAAAAGGCCCACATCCTCCACAAACTGTTCCTGTGAATCCGGGCCCAGGATATGGCTTGTAGACGAGCCCTTCAGAAGGAGTCATAACGGGAATTAACCACTGATGCCCAGGTGACTGATGGAAACACCAGGGACCCATTCCACTATCAGCAGCACCAACATTTGCCTGGGGTGCATTTCCAGGAAAGCGGGTGTAATTTGAAAGGTGGCTACCATTTTTCACTGATGAAAGAGATGTTTTACCAACTGCATTCTCTGCAGAACATTCCATTTTATGATTTAGCTTTTCAGAATCATCTTTGTGCTTAATATTTTGTTGCTGAGGTTTTACAACATATTCCAGTGTGAGTTTTTTGGGAGTAGCTCCCTTTGGGGGAGACTTTCCCAGGAAAGCACCATCTTCAAGCAAAATATCTGGTGATCCAGCAATCAGCTGTTGGACCTGCTTAAATAAAAGGAATTACTCTGTACGAACAGACAATGTGTGTGTGTGTGTGTGCAAGAAAAGCTAACATGCTTTCCAATTTGGACTAGCACAAGCTGCTGAACAGTGTCACAGATAGTTTACCTTTATCAGTCTATGCAACTCAAAAACTTGAACAGCAAACACTCTCTGTTGACTGTAGAGAGGAACAAGAGTTGGATCAAGAAAATTGCACAATACTTATCCAATGAGGCCTTGAGATGTATAATCAAAATAAAACGGAAAATGAAGCATTTGGAACAATATATGATCATTTTGGAAGCACTGATATGTATAAAACACTAACTAACAACATCAAAGTATCTCCAATCAGCAGGTAACTGGTGACAATGAATATCTTCCAGTCTACAATTGATATATATTATATCTTCATAGAAATCCAAACATGATTCTTTCAGGAGGATTGAATGTAAATTAACAAGACATAAATCTGATAACCACACCTGCATCATAAAGATAACATGCCTAATCTTTGGTCATAAGACTTTCTCGTGTGGTTTAAAATAGTAAAAAACTTGTATATAAGACCAATTAAATTAACTGATTGCAGAAAATATATATAATTCAAGAGAAATATTTGCACAATTTCATTGTCCTTCTTCAGAATAAAGACCAGACACCAGGGAACATTGGGGCATACAACCAATTTTGGGGACATTAATATTCTGCATTCACAGTAATTCAACCACTCCAGAAAAATTTGTAAAACTGTATTCTTCTTTCTGGGGTCTTGAGCTGGGAGCAAGCACATATATATCAAAATCAAACAAGAATATCTATATGATAAGAAATCTGGTGGAGCTAAAGATGGCAGGAATCAGAACACCTCAACTAACTAACTGTGTATTATAAAAGAAAATCCCAACCCAAAATGTCTTAAGCAGAAAACAAAGACACTAGATAAGTTGGAGAAAAGGTGGGGGACAAAATCCCCTTATCATCATAACATCCATTGAGGACACATCATATACTCTCCAAGTGTTCCTACCATACATCCAGATCCAGGGTCATCCTGCATTACTTGGTTCCCTTCTTAGTTCAAGTCCATCAGTGCAGTGTAAAGAAACTTGCCCCGGTGCTGACATGGAGAACCAAGTAAGAGGAAACCAAGACAGGAATATATCCAAAATCCAGTTGCTAGAAGACAGTGAATCATGAGATGATATGCTGTCACAAGGGTCCCCTCCAACATAATATAATATTAAGACTGCTCACCACCCTGTTGTAACCAGTACCCACCATTAAAACAATGTCAAGGACTTTGAATGTACAAACCAAAAAAAAAAACCAATTTCGAAGGGACCCCAGGACTATCAATTTTTCTTTCTTCAATGCCACATGTACAACTCCTTAATTGAAATGAAAGTATCTAGCCCATCTGCCTAGTATGTATAATTAAGGATGCAAGAAATATGCTTTACATCTAATAACAAACATAGGGAAAAAACAGACATCAGTAAGGAGCAGTTTCCTGAAATTCAAGTTTTCTGGTCCTACATTTCTTGTCTTTACATATTCTAGCTAATCAAACATGGAGGTAAAAATAAGAAAGAAGGTAAGAGGATATCCCATCATTCCAACATACTAAGGACAATCAAATCAGTGGACATATCAAGCATCTACCACAGATAGTACCTTTGTGTATTCTAAATATTTAGGGTTGTCCATGAAAACAAATTAAGGATTTTTCATGACAAAATTATAATATTTGCAAAACTCAACAATGAAGATACTGTCAGGTCCGAGAAATTAAACAAGTTCACAATTTATACATCAGAAAAAGATTTCACAAGATAATACTTCGCATTTAAGACCACTATAGGAAATACCGATGTTATTGACATGTAACATGACTTACTTGGCAATTGCTCTTCTAGCTTTCCAGAAATGTTTTTGACCTATTATTCCAACGACATCATCTGGAGAAATTTTCATGATTGACAAATTTTCTACCCTGGAGATCTTGGAAACACTATCACTTTTGTTTAAATTTACCCTCCCTGTTGGACTGTCATTCCTGGTATCATGACGCTCAGTGTCATTGATTGCCTCAGCTGGACTGGTTTGGTTCACTGTAGGTGCATTTCCCTTATCTGTCTCCCTAGTAGACTCAACAAGACAACCACCATATCCAATGTCATTGGGTTGGATCCCCACTCCACTGTCCCGCCGTAAGCAAGTATCATTTTGACGTAATCTGTTAAGTTTTGATACACGACAATCTTGAAATTCTTGATTTGGAGTTACCTTCGCTTGCCTTACCGAGGTGTCAATATTTTCTCCAGTTGATATGTTTCTGATGGGTATTAATGGTTGCTCCTTACTTGTACTTGCTTGTGGAAGACCATCAGTTTCACTCCTCACATCTTTTCTCACGTTGACATGCAAGGAGCTAAATTGCTTTGGATCCCTTTCAGAATCACTTTGCCCTGCTACTGAACAACCAAAAAACCTAGAGCCTGTTGGAGGGAGTTCTTTCCCATCAAAACTCTCAACACTTTTATCATTAGATTGACCATTCCTCGAATGAATGAATACAGGAACCCTAAAGTCATCTTCATCTACCTTCTTTCTCTGTTCAAGTTGTACCAACGAAGCATTCAAATTCCCCCCTTCCAATTGGCGAGAAATACATTTTTCAGATCGACGAATAGGTTTTTGTTGGGGTAAATGAAGAGGAAAGACATAATTTCTCTCAGGGACAGTACCCTGCAAATATGTTAACCACTTAATCCAGACTTTCAAAAAGACAAAAACAACTATCTCTTACAGTTGCACATGCACACAGTTACACAATATCAGAATACGACCAACTATTAGTCAGAACATAAAAAACAAATAGAATCACTAATTGCCAAATTAAACTGTTCTTATACTGAAAGAAACCAAACAAAAATCATAGCAATAAGAATTAGGATTATAAGCAAAGCCACAGTCACAGGATCTAAAAATTACCTGGCTTGAAGATGCTGGTGGTGCTGTACTACTAGAAGTATTTGGGTTGAGTGGCAGAACACCAGAATTGAACCTTTGAGAGGGAATACTAAAGTGCTCATAGAGGGCCATCTTATTCCTAGGTGGTGCTCTTGGGCCTCCCTTCTCCGTATCATTCACATGGAGTCTAGGGAACATTGGCCCCATCACCTTCTCATCATCCTTCCCTCTCTTCATGCTATTCTTCCGAATAATATCACAAAACACCCCCTTTCTTTTTCTCTTATGTTAGATTGCAAACCCGCAACCAAGGCATAACATAATCCCCTAATCTAATCCACACCCCCAAATCAATCCCACCAACACAACAAAATCAAATCTCGTGAAACCCCCAAGCAAACGATTGGCTATGCAAATACCGAACTTCAATTACAACTGTCGAATTTACCCACTCTCTCCATGTGATCCAAATCTCAACTGTCCTCAATTGGCTACCTAAAATACACGCTCAATATAGCTTACAGTTACAATAACTAAGAGCAGTTGCCAAAATCCAAACCCAGAGAAAGGGAAAGAATAGTATGTAAATAAAATTCACAGAGATATCGTAGTTTCCAAATCAAAATAGAGGTTGTGATGGTGAGTACAGTGGATTTCGTAATAGAAAATATAGGGACAGTAGTGAAGAGGAGCGGGTCAGAGCAATAGTACTTGATGTGAGAAAACACAGAGGAAAATGGTAGAAAACCCGAGAAATTCGGAGCCAAAAGGGGTGATGTTGGGAGGGGACAAGGGAGAGGGAACAAATTCAAGAAGAGAGAGAGAAAAAGCTGTAAGAAGAGATAAGGTGATGTGAGAGACAGAGTTGTGTTTAGGGATTCCTCAGAGAAGAGAAGAAGGGAATGGAAGTAAGGATCATCATTTTACAGAAGAGAACCCCGAAAAAGTGCATACTTTGTGGGGCCCTTTGGATAGAACTAGAAGCTCCTTCCTGCCCTCAATTTTTTAATTGGATTTTCTTGTCCTAATCTACTCTTTCCTTTTCCTTCTGGATAACTTCATTGTGTTTTTTGGCTACTTACTTTATAATATGACACTTTTCTACTTTTCTTTTTCTTTTTCTACTCTTCATTCTTTATAGTATGAAAGATCATCCAACAACTCACCTCCTCCAAATTAGGGAATTATTTTCCCTTTAGCAGCAATCTCACATCTAATCAATATTCTTTTCGTTTCTTATTGCCTAATCTTTTTTCCGGTTATGGTTCATGCCCATTCTTTTCTACAATGTTTGATATACACATGTAACATTATAAATATTATTTTTAAACAATATGTGAATTGTTTCATTATATGTTTATAAATTCCTGTGGGCCAAATCAGGAGAAAAAAGAAGTTTGGCTGTGCATCCAAAAATTCTGTGTTAGTGGAATGCTCTCCTAAACCAAGTAGAACAGGCCTGATGATAGTGCGCAACGTTGAATCATTGGCGACAAACGAAAAGTTAATGTAATAACGCATTTTTTATATGTGTATTAAGATATTAAAAAATATTTTTTATTAAAATTAAAATATGTGTCTTTAAATACATAGAAGTAGAACAGAAGACTCACTCAATTCAATTTAACTTTAGTTGAGTAATTATTTATTTAGTAAAGTATATGTATACGGAATTTTCTGTAAAAAAAAAAATGATTGGAGCATTTTGTAAGTCCATGTGTTGGGCTGTGATTGTTGCACGTAATTCTGAGTGGGTCCATGGGGGATCTTAAAATGACAGGGTGCGAAAAGCACCAAATACACCAAATAAAGCAGATTCGATGAAATCCGCAATGGTCACTGATATGTTATCTGTTCTGTACCCAACAGAAGCAAAAGATGGCAGAAGTGCCCAATATGCGCACCCAAAAAACCCATACTTATTTTCAGTTTGAAAAACACATTTCATGTAAATGTTTATAAACACTCATACTGAATAATTTCAAGTCACTATTCATGTAAATCAGACATTGTTCTCTTTCCTTCAAATTTTAAAATCTAAATTAAATATGTGAAACAAACTTCTCTACTAATGAGAACAATTAACATCGGACACGGTAATAGGTTAGTTTAAAAAATTTATTTAGTTTTTTTTTAAAAAAAATATTACTGACAAAAATAAGTAATCAAATGCACAAAACATGCAAAAAAGGAAAAAAAAAAACTCTTATGAAGTCAAAGAATTAAAAGCACATACTAACTAAAGGGGCTAGGTGATATATTTATTTTCAAATATTAAAAATTTTGAAATAATATTGAAGGGTCAGTCTGAAACTATTCCAGTGCTTAACTGCCCGTTAAATGTTATTATCGATATTCCAAATCTAAACTTCTTCATTGCCTAAACATAGTTTTCTTTAATATTTCAAGAACCAGTTTGCATTGACTCTAGGCCAAAGTTAAGAAGTAAGAACTATATGCATATATATCAAGTTCTTATTTAATACGTACTTTACGTTTACTAAAACGTAAAGTTTACTCTCCTTTTCAAAAACACTAGAGATATAAGGGAGATCTAAGTAAAAAATGCAAATGTAGTAAGCAATTAGCATAAGAGTATCCGAATAGCAATCAGTCCAAATGGCCCAAAGTTTTTTTACATGGTCTGGCCCATCTCTAATGGACCGGTACTTCACATTGAGCAGATGTTGATTAGAGAGAGAGCCTCCTTTTTGAACAAAAATAAAAAAAGAGCCAGTGCCTCATTTTGTTCCAAGAACCCAATTCCAAGACTGCTTCTTTTTCTTGCTTCGGTCCACCGTAAAAAATAATAATATCTACAGTACTATTGTTGAAATTAAATATGAATAAAATCTACATTTGCTAATTTTGAAGCATTGGATAGTCAACCCTTTTTTCAATTTTCAATTCGTCAAAATTTCGTATAAAAATTCGGACCAAATATTAGGTTAATAAGTAAGATGATAATGGCACAAATCCCCACCTCAGCCCACCTTTTATAGCGCAAATGCAAACAAAAAGTCTAATTTCAGAGTTCTAAGGCTAATCACCGTTTACTGTGACTGATAAAAATAAATCACGAGAGTGAGGGATAAAAGAAAGATAGAGAATCTTTAATGGTAAAAGAATGAATCAGAGGGATCCGACATTGAATTCAGAGGATTTGACTTGGCCACACCGCCAGGCAACTTTCGTGAGCTCTGATCAAACTAAAAAATGGCAGACATGCTTTTGTCTTGTCACCATTTCCACATCCCAGAAAAAATCAAAGTAACCCAAGTCTCCAAGGCCCCACAACCACATTCCCCTTCATGCACGAACCTTAGCAAAGACGCAGACATGGGAAATTGTACGTTGGTCTCCACTTTTTTAGTATAAAGTAAGTGCATATAACATGTTTGTCTCGCATCAAAAATGATTTTTAACTGCTATGTAGATGTAGTGCATATTTAGAAATAAGTTATTAATAACTTTAAATTAAACGTAAATTAATAAATATTTCAACATAAATCAAGCACTCATGCGTCTTTATTTTAAAAATTAGACGTCCATTCATACAAATTTTACGTAAATTCAAACACACTAAACAGGTAGACGATATAAATAAAAATAAATAAAGATATAATTAACGATATTATAAAAAAGAGAAAAATAAAAGAAAGAGAACCCAAAAAAATGAATATAGGATAGTATGAAATAATCTTATTTTATTTTATTTTTTGTATATATATATATATATATATATATATATATATATATATATATATACAGCATTTGTTGAAAATATAAATCTCTCCTATTTGCTTAAAACAAACGATGACCTTGTGCTATATATTCCTATCTGAATTTGAACAATACAGAAGTACTGAATTATACAGGATCAAATGGGAAAAATGTGAACTAATTCTTCTCTTGGCACTTCTAGAATCCCTTAACTTATAACATTTTTTATTCTGTCCATTTGGCTCAACACTTGCGCGGCTATAATCAACCAATTAACTAAGGATAGCTACTTGGCGCAGATTCACGTATCTCATGATAGTAAAAAGGCCTCAACAATATTATAAGGAAATCCATAGTCAAAATCCAACAACAAATCCATTGCTTTATGACCTTCATGTTCTGCCACACAATCGTTAACGTTGTCCACTGCAAAGGAAGACAAATCTGACATGCTTGAACCACCTTGAGACAATGACACCATGGAATTATTACTCCATTCAGCACCAGTTTCTGAGACTATGGTAGAGCTTTGATTTTGTGAAGCATGAAAATATGAAATTTGAGTCTCTTCATTTTGAGTTTGAGTGTCATCGTCAGCTATCGTTTTGAAGCTAACTTTTCCAGCCATTAGCTTCTTCTTTAGTTTCGTGTTCCAATAGTTTTTGATATTGTTGTCTGTTCTGCCAGGAAGCTGAGAGGCTATGGTAGACCATCTGGAGAACAACACAAATTTCACGATGAAAATTCCATATTTAGTTTAACCAAAACGCAAAAGGTGTGCACCTATAAGTATAACAATTAACAATCAATAGCTTATCCGAAAATTAAAGTAATAAAGTTTTGAATTAGAATAACTACAAAATATATATATATATATATATATATATATATATTTACCTGCTTCCCATTTGACTGTAGAGGGTGCAAATGATGTGGTCTTCCTCTTCAGTGAAGCCTCCATGTTTGATGTCTGGCCTAAGGTAATTTAGCCACCGAAGACGGCAGCTTTTACCACACCGCCTAAGGCCTGCAATATAATATACATGAGGACCTGAAGTTTTTTCCTAACGAAACAAAAGGGGCAAAATTAAAGCATATAGATAATGATTTACTGATTTCACAACATTATATCATAACAGTGAAACGCATATGTGTGTATGACGAACAAGAAGAAAAAGTATTCCTTCCTCAAGCATGTGTCCCTCTCAAAGTTGAATAAACTAAATGAATAGTCGTGTTTATCTGAGCTCCTATAGAGTATTAAAAATAAAAATACTTATTCATGAAAATGGGTATCCGTGGGGGAAAATATATAATCATACCAGCTTTTTTGGGCAATGCAATCCAATTCCCCCCGGTGCCATGAATCTCTACATACCCTTTGAGGGTAGCGTCTTCTTCAGGAGACCAAGGCCCTCTCTTAACATTTGCTTTGTCACAACAAGGAGCTCTTCCCATGGCACGCGCTAGGGACTTGTGCTGAGCTAAACACAGGACAATAACCTTCGAGCGTCCGATGAAGGTTTTATAAAGTTGGTGGAATCGCTACAGTAACTTCCAAGATATTGACTTCTTATTTTTGTATCATTCTATTGTTTATAACAATAATGATAATCCATCTCAAAATTCTCGATCATGAAAATTTTTCACATTTTTTATTTTTAAAATATTATAAAAAATTAAATAATACTACTTCTAGTGTTTTTATAAGAAAGAAAATAGAGTAATTTTTTAAACAAATATTGTTAAATTTTTTTATTTTTTTTAGTAATATCATTAAATATATAAATTACTAACTACACCATTTAATATTATAGATATTTTTAAAATAAAATTTATATTTATAAAAAATAATTAAATTAATTATTTTTCTTGATCCTAATAATTTAGTCTTTTATTTATTATAAAAAGAACCAAAAGTAACATAACTATATTCTATGTTATTTTATAGCAAAACCAATTATCTCTCTATTGTGATTATATATATATACTTTTTATTGAGCGCTGTAACATAAACATTAAAATGGGATGGGGGATTTCTCACCCATTTTCTACTTTTAGACACCATTTTTTTTTTAACCTTCAAGTAGGCATATATAGAGCATTTGGTGCCATACCCAATCATTATAAACCAAAAAAAAGCCCGAAAGTTTAAAGATTTAAAGCAACCTTATTTGGCTAAAGCATTAGCAAAAGGATTCAATTCTCTAAAAACATGGAGTACATCTTTACAATTCCACTTCTTCTCTTAAGAAATCAATTGTATTCAGGAATAACAGTTTAATTTCCTTGGCCTACTTTGGTCATTATTCACCGAGTTCACAGTTTAAAAAAACACTTTCAATGATAATGTTAATTTAAAACTCCACAACAACAGAAGAGTATCCGGGCCAAGAGCATATACAGTCTACACAACAAAAAACCACCAACAGCTTTAGAAAAATAGCCCAAGACCAAGATTTTCTGACAACATAAACGATCATACTTTATTAAAGCATATCTTTAATACATGAAAGGATCCTTTGCGTTGACAAAACACAAAGGATACTTTTCAGGTCAATCACCAAATTTTGGTCAAGTTTCCCCACCCAAAAGTGAAACACGGATGTTTCATTTAGTTATCCAAGCGACTCATATGCGAGTCTTAATTTCTAAATAACAATATTTTTAAAAATTAATTCAATTTTTTAAGTTATTTTTTTATTGTATTGCATATTTGTTCTTGTATTAGCTATTTCCTTTTTTTCATTTAATTTTAAATTTTAATTTTAAATACTTTATTTTTTAATTTTAAAAATTCTCTCTTTAACTTAATATGATTTAATGTAAATTATTTTTACCGGCATACGAACCTAATCATTATGATATTGTCTTCCATTAATTATTATACCTACTAATAACGCAATGTATATATAATGCTTTAAAACTTGTTTTAATATAATAATGCTTATATATTGTATAAACTATTAACTAGTATGTGTTAAATGTAAGTTTTCATCATCAAATCAAAATATTTTTAGGACCCATCCAAAATAACAGCATTTTTAAGAATTATGTTAGATAAGAGGATTAAAAAAACAAATTATTAAACTGTGTATCTTTTTTATGTTATTATTTTCAAGTGATACCACATTCACGATTTGTAGTTATCGTTAGCCTAAATAAAATTTTGAATCTAAAAAGTTTCATAGTTTTTTAATTTTGAATTATTTAATGTAATAAAATATTTAATAATAATGATGATAATAATAAAATACTTTTAAATTTATTAACTTCAAAATAAAATTTAGATTTTTAGATCTTTATTTTAAAATGCCATCTTGATGATATTCCGTTGATAAGTAAAATTCTGGTACGCTTTTTGACTTACAGGGTCAGGATAGCTAGCTATATGTATATATTTTTAATATGTTTTAAAAACAAAGATAGAAACCAACAAGAAGTAGTTTACATGAACGGAACAAATGCAATGCATCATGACACTCACCCCAAAGTCGTGTTTTTAATGACCGCTAAACCTTTTGACGAGGGTTAGAATAATAACTTTTATTGTATTCTTTTTAATATGTCTTTATTTATTATTTAAATTTTATTAAAATCATATAAAATACGAACAGTGATTATTAAATTTGAGGTTCGCGTTACTTTTATAATTTTTAAAAAATAATTAATAATAAAAAAAGTATTACGGTACTGATGCAAACGGTGTTATAATTAAAGGTATCTATTCTTTCGAAAACAGAGTTCAATACTTTATATTTTCACAATTTAAAAATAACTGGACTTCTGAACCAAACTTTCGAAATATCATCAACGCCCATTTAAAAATTTAATTCAATTATTATTTGGGGTATGAAAATTTTTTTAAGTTATAAAACTATATTGAAAGATATGCTTTTTAAGGAGTTTTGAGAGTTCAAAGAAGCATCTTTACATGCTAAAAATTAATAATCTTTGAGAGATCACGAAAAGAGCTCTAATATTTTAAGTCCACGGGACTGAAAGTTATTTGAGAAGTTTTAAAGTCTCTCACACTCGAAACTGCTCAAAAATAGAATTGACAAAAATATTCTAAGTCTGTTTTTTGATAAGTTTTGAAGAGTTTTTAAGTTTCTTGTACCTAAAATTGCTTGAAAACAGTACTGACAAGAAAATATTTGAAGTTTACAAGACTAAAGGCTTTTTGAGAATTTTTAAGGTCCCTTACACCCAAAATAGAACTGACAGGAAAATATTTTAAGTCCACAAGACTGAAGGCTTTTTGAGAAGTTTTTAAGTCCGTTACACCTAAAATTTCTCAAAAAATAAAAAGTGGTCAATATTTTAAATCCACAAACCTGATTGAGTTTTAGAGTTGCTCAGAAAAAGCAGGAAGTGATCAGAGAAATATTTTAAGTCTACGAAACCAATAAGAGCTTTAAGATTCTTCAAAATTAGTCAAAACGAGAAACCAAAAACAAATTATCCTAAAGTCATAATTCTAAATGAGCTTCTTAGAATTCTCTCATATAGAACTCAAATGCTATTGCAAGACTTAGAAGCAATCGTCAATGGTTATCAACAGTTGCCACCAGGCAAAGGTTTCACTACATGAAGAAATAAAGTGGATGATAGCAGTTATGGAAGAAGCCCTAATCGACAGTACGATCACAAATAATCGTGGATAATGCACATCAGCTGTTGAAGGCAATTACTAAGAAGTGTCTGCTAAAGAAGGAGAACAGGGATGGTTCTTCTGCTTATATATACTCCAAAACTTTACTTTCCAGGGGATAATTTTCTGTACCTAAAAATTTCTGCACGCTGAAAACATGCATCACACTAGACACTAGCTACATGAAGATATATGGTTGTTGCTTATCATTATTAGGAGTCGTATGTTTATTTTCTTGCATTATTTACATTCGTGCATTTACTTTTAATTTACTCTGCTTTATTTTCCGTTTTTGTAATTTCAGTTCTTGTTTGAACACATTTCTGTAAAAGTCTCTATGTTTAATTTAATTTTATGTATTTACTATTCACTATTCTTGTTAAATACTCTTTTATGTCATCAATTTGGACATCACATTTAAACAATACACTTAAAAAAACTCAAGAGGACCTAAATCTAGTCTCTAGATTACTCTTGAATTATTTGTTTATAAATTATCATTTTTACACCGTAAATAATTATATTTAATATTTTTTATAAATATTAAATCTTGTTATATTCATTGTTAAATAAAATTATATGTTTCTGTTATTATGCATAACGCATTTTTAAATAAATTGAAAAATCATAAATATTATACTCTAAATATTTCATTTTACTTTGTTTTACTCTTTATATATGGTATATGAGCTATTTATTTTTTCCTCGCAGTCGCAGATTATGAATGTCACTGATTTAAAGAAATTTAAACAAGTGACTCTTTTTGATTAAATAGATTAGCCAAGTACACAGGTAAACGCAACAAAATTTATATTACTGTATTAATTCTTCAAATTATATCAACTGAATTTTTGTATATGCACCACCTTATTTGTCAATGAGATAAATTTTCACTCACTATAAAAATTAACTGTATGTTATTTAAAAAATGACAATGATAATTCGTATTTGACGTGAACTAAACTGATATACTTTTTTATTGTAACGTGATAAAAGTTATCTTAAACAAATGAATAATTTTTTTATATAATGCTTAATTGTATTTTTTTATTTTTTTATTTAAGGCTACATACGATTTCGGTTTTTTTAATTGATTCATTTATATTTTAAAAATTACAAAATTTTATTTAAAATAAAGAACTCTTTAAATTTTACCAGATATTCATTAAATTTTTTACTTTTGTACTTTTAAAAATAATTTATGATTCAATTCTATTATTAATCTTACAAAAATTTGAATAAAGAAATAAAGATTTAAAGTAAAGGAAAAGGAGATCGCATTTATGCAATTTAAAAAAAAACAAATAACTTGAAAATTTTCAAAAATCAAATTTTTATATAACTTAAACACCAAACTAGAGGGACCAAATTAAAAAATAAAAAGTAGAAAAAGTACAACGCTACAAGAAAGCAAAGCTAATGTGGCGCGTGCATGCACGGATAACAAAACGGTGTGGGCCAAACAAATGAAACAATGAATTAAAATGGCAGGTTAAAGTAATAGGATGAACGATGAATTAATCCATTGTCAGATATTAGGTGAAAGCCACCTTTCGTTTCTGGCATTAAAAAAATAACTTATATACTTTATTATTATTATTATATGACAAAATTTATCCCAAACACAAAAATACTTTATTCTGTATTTTTTATAAATAGTTTCTAAAATTTCATTTAAAAAAAAACTAATTTTCGGGAGTGTAATTTAGGTGTTAATAATTAAAAAAGGGTCAGTTCCCTTAGTTTGAGATACGGACTCCAGCTTCATCACCGCTTTCAAGTGTCAACAACCGACCAAAATGGC